GACCGTCACCCCTCCGGGGTTTGCGGCGGGGTGGTGTGTCGGACTCGGACCGACTAAAACCACACGGTGTGCCACTCTGCGCCTGTAACAGGAGGGATCCGGGAACAGCTGTTGTTAAGACATCCGGACCCCTCCTAGCGCCAGCCCGCTCCTGGTGCGGGCTCCGTCTCGATGTTTTTCCTCTCTTTATAGGCGACGTCCGGCACACGCGGACGCCGCCCCCTCGCGGCTGGCCAAACTAATGCGGGTGGAGGGGAAACCCACCCCGTCCACCCGCGGCCACACTCAGGGCGGCATGAGGCTGTGATAGGCGGGCCCTCCGCCGCCCGGTTCGCCGGCGGCGGATCGGGTCCGAGTGGAGGTCGTCCTCCCGGGCCCTCTCCGCCGCCTCCTTCCGCGAGATTACTACCTCGCAGAAGGTTGCGACCGCGGTAAAACAACTGTCGCTACCGGCCATGGAGCGTACTACGGCCGGTAGCGAGAGATCCACTCCGATGACTGCAGTGAGGGCCCGGCGCTGCGCCGCCCATGCGGGGCAGACCGCCAGCGTGTGCTGGGCCGAGTCCTCACTGCAGTCGCAGTGGTGGCAGGCGGGACTCAGTTCCCTCCTTGCGACCGTGTGCAGGTACTTTCCGAAGCAACCGTGCCCGGAAAGCACCTGCGTCAGCCGGAAGGAAAGGGTCCCGTGCTGCCGCCCTGCCCACTCGGCGATGACCGGCTGGAGAGCCTCCACGGCGGCGAAGCCAGCGCGTGGAGTCTCCAGCCGGAACGACCAACGAGCCATCGTGGCTCGGCGAGCGGCTTCGCGCCACTCGCGCACATCCTCGGGCGGAGGGCGAAATCCGCTCTCCGCCCGGAAGTCAGCCACTCGCCGATAAACTTCGGCGAGCACTTCCGCCTCCAAATCCCACGGGGGAGTTCCGGCCAATGCGCATTGCCACCTCCGTCGAAACGGTGCGGTAACCGCGTATGGCTCTGACCGCCATTACCCTCTGAGGGCGCCAGAGGCGTACCCTATTCTGGGCGGTCAGAGCCGCCGCCCACACCGGTGCACCGTACAGTGCCATTGACCGGACAACCCCCGTGTACAGCCGTCTTGTCGCGACGCTGGGTCCACCCATATTGGGCAGAAGTCGCCCTAGGGCAGACGCAGCGCCGACCAGCTTTGGAGCAAGCTGTCGGAAGTGCTCGTCGAAGAGCCACCTCCCGTCGAGGATCAGGCCCAGATATTTCATCTGGGCCCGAACCGGTACGAGGACCGAGTTGACCACGATTGAGGCGCCAGGGGGTGGACCACGACGGGGCCCATGGAATAACAGGGCCTCCGTCTTATCTAGGGCCACCCGTAAGCCCAGCGCCTCAATGCGCCCTACCACCAGGGAGACTCCCCCTGTGGCCAGGCGCGCCGCCTCTTGGAAGTTTGCCCCCCGGGCTGTCACGAGGGTATCGTCTGCGTAACAGATTACACCCAGCCCGGGGGGGAAATCGGCGCGAAGGGCCCAGTCGTACCCTATGTTCCACAAGAGGGGTCCAAGAACAGACCCCTGTGGAACACCGCACGACATGGGCCGACACCTCAGATTACCTTCTCGGTCCTCGTACACGACGGTACGCTCCTCTAAATAGTCTGCCACCAGCCGCCTCAGGTACTTTGGCACCCCATGATAGTGGAGTGCTTGTCTAATGACACCGCCAACAGCACGCCGCCACAGCTCACGGCCTCTTCGGTCACGGCCCTCAGGCGCAACACGGCGTCGACCGTCGAACGCCCCGCCCGAAAACCAAATTGGGCGTCCGACAGATCGGGGCCCACCTCGCAGAGGTGCCGGACGATGCGGGCAGAAAGAACCCTCTCAAACAATTTGCCCGCCTCGTCCAGCAGCACGATGAGCCTATAGGCCGCGACCGAATCGGCAGGCCGTCCCGGCTTCCTCAATAGGACCAGCTTCCCTCTCTTCCAGCACTCAGGGAAGCGTCCCGACGCCAAGCTAGCGTCGAACACCTCCCCGAGGCGGTCTGCCATGTGGTTGAGGGCCAGGGCCAGCACTCGGGCCGGTACCCCGTCTGGCCCAGGGGCGGTGTTCTTGGAACGGATCCGTAGAACAGCCGCCCCTACCTCCGATTCCCGGACGGGCGGAACATTATCCTCCCCGTGCTCCCCGTCGTCTCCGGCCAAGGAGGCCATCGACGGGGGAGTGTGTTCCGCCCGTTGTGGGAAAAGGCCCTCAACCACTTCTCGCAGGAAGCTGGGCTGGAGAGTCTCCGTAAGGGGGGGGCCCGACGCGCGGAGCTTTTGTCGCACCGCGCGGTAAGGGCGACCCCAGGGGTCACGATTAAGACCCTCCAGCATCTCCTGTCTTTTTTCTTCTTTGGCGCGGCTAATGGCCAGCTTCAGAGTTTTCCGCGCCCGTCGGTACTCCTCATGAAGCCGGTCCTCCTCACCGTCTCCGCGGTGACGCCGCCGACTGCGCGTGTAGGACCTCCGGGCACGTGTACAGGCCGCACGGAGGTCCGCCAGCTCCTGGGACCACCAGTAGACCTCCTTCCTTGGAGGCCGACGACCTCGAACGCGGGGCATGGCCGCATCGCATACATGCGTAATCGCATCGCGAAAGCGGCCAGCCCCCACGTCGACCTCCTCGGTCGGAGCCTGAGGAGACAGCCACGAGTGAATTATGGCTGCCTCCTCTAGTAGGTCCCGGTTCAGCCTGGCAACAGCCCACCGCGGAAAGCGGGATAAACGCCGCGCCACGTGACCCCTACTGGAGTCCTGGGTCCGGGAGAGCTCAAATCGGATATACAGGTGATCCGAGAGCGTCTCAACCTCTTCCAGGACACGCCAGTTCCTTACTCGTGCGGCGAGGGCAGGGGTAGCGAACGAGAGGTCCACTATCGACCCCCCCCTGCTGTCGCACGCACGTGTTGGTGGAGCCTCTGTTTAGGAGACAGAGGCCCACCGAGGCCGCCCACTCCTCTACGGCCTCGCCCCTGGCGTCCGTCCTGGGGGAACCCCACGCAATGGACTTTGCGTTGAAGTCCCCCAGCACAAGGACGTGCCTAGACGCTAGTCGCCGTATCGAGGTCTCCAAGCTGGTTAGGAAAACCTCGAAGTCGTTCAAACTCCGGTTGGGGGAGAAATATACACCATATATGGTGATCCCCCCCCCACTCGACGGCAACATATCCAGTGCCCTTGTCTCTTAGCGACAAGGGCGGGGAATGAGCCGTCGTGGAACCGACGACTGCCACGGAGCCGTCCCAGTCACCCATCCAGTTTGGACGGGGAGGGACAGAATAGGGCTCCGCGACTACGGCAACACCTATCGACCACTGTGCCATGGTTTGCAGGAAGAGATCCTGCGCCGCGGCACAGTGGTTCAGGTTCGTCTGGACCAGGAGGTTGGAGACTTGATCCATTACTGGATCGTCTCTACAACCTCCTCCATGGGCGACGACGTCGACGCACGAACTACATCGGAGGCAGCCTGGGTCGACTGGCTAACCCGCGACGTCTGCCGAGAACTGCGGGGAGGCTTGCAGCCTCTCTGCCCCATCTGGTGATTGGCGGGCTTATTGCCCGCCGCACACACTGGGCAGTGAGGGGCGGCAGAGCATTCTGCCGCCTTATGCCCCGGTTGACCGCAGCGGAAACACAGTCCGCCGCAGTCAAAACAACTGTCGCACTTGACGCGCGTGTGTCCCGATGCTAGGCATTTGTAGCATCTCATCGGTCTCGCCGCCAGGACTGTGATCCTGGCGCTCACGAAACCGATGAGCAGCCTGCCGGCGTCGGCCAATACTTTGGCCGCTGACAGCTGACCCACACGGCGCCAAGCCCTCCTGGACCGGGGCGGATGGTGCCGACCCTGACGTTGTCCGCGCTGCACCCCGTCTTCTCCCGGATTACAGCGCGGACATCTTCGGCCGTCACAGAGTCGTCCAGGCCCGAGATGCGCAGCTCTGCGCACTTAGTAGGCCTGGCGATCTTTACACCATCCGTGGCTGTAAAGAGTCCCCGCAGCTTCTCGGCAAATGTGTCCGCCGTTTTAGCGCCTTCAGCCCCAGGGAACTCGAGGACTCGAGCTCCCGTCTGGGCGAGGCGCATTCTGACCCCCACCGTTCCAAAATCGTTGGCGAGGCTGTCCCGGGCCTTTTTGAAGACGGCCGCGTAGGACAGCCCGCCGTCCGCCGCCTCCGGGGACACGGTCACCACTACAGCCGCGGTTTTGGGCGGCTGCAGCTTCCGCGGCCTCTTTGTGGAGGCCGTTGCCACCGGCGGCGAAGGCTGGGCTGCTTTTTTGGCAGCCTTTTTGGCCCGCCTTCGGGACTTCTTGGAGCCCCTCGCCTCCTGCCAACCCTCGTTGGAGGGGGCAGGTGCGGAGGGGCCCGGCAGGGGTGTCGGAGTGGGGAGCGGAGGGAATGCCACTCCGCTCCTCGGCGCCGTTTTAGGCCCCGTCTTGGCCGGCGCCTGGGGATGTGCCTTGGCCGGCGCCTTAGCCGGTGCCTTGGCCGGCGCCTGGGCCGGTGCCTTGGCCCCCCTCCTCGGCTTTTGGGGAGCCGATGGAGTCGGGGCAGACGCCGCCGCCGCGTAGGAGACGCGGCCTCCCACTACGGGGAGCGCGGTCGGAGCGGCGGCCTTAGGCCGCTGTGCCGACGCGAGCGGGGGGCGCATAATCGGCGCAGGAGGCAGTCTCGCCTCCAGGCCAGCCAGGCGTCCGTCCAGCATATTCCCAACTGCGATGAGGATTTCTCGCAGCTGGGAGTCAAATGCCCCTGAGTTGGTGGTAGGGGCAGGCTGGGACGCGGACGGGGCTTCCCGCTCGGGGATTGACAGAAACCCTATACCAACCCGTCTGGCCAGCGTGGTATAGTAAGCCAAAACCTCCTTTCTAAGGAGAGCCCTATGTCCAGCTGTGGACTATTATAGGCTGTTGATGATGATGTGACTATTTTAAAGCTTGCTATTTTTATTATTATTAACACAGAGGTGTAACTTTTAGGCTCTAGAGCAAGAATTAACGCTATGGGAACATAAAGCTACCGGTTTAGAGGCGCAAGGACAGGACCTGGTGTCTGAAGGACATTTCGATGCACCGGCCATCGAGAAGGATTCCGCAATGCTGCTGCAGGCAGTCAAGGGTCTGCAGCCCAACGCTGAGAAACGAAAGCAGGCGCTGGAGAGCAGTTTGCAGTAAGTTTTTATTTCTTTTACCTTTCAGTGGTTGCATTTCCGGTTCCGGGTTCAACAATATCTATTATTTCTATTAAGTATCCTTATCTGACTTCACCTTGACTGCACGGATAGTGTAGTGGTTTAAGCGGTCGAACGCCGCTTCCTACTACGCCAAGTGTTGTGGGTTGAAATCCCACATGGGACGACATTTTGTGTGATCCACAAATTGTTGTTCTGAGTCTGGGTGTTCTTTGTGTCCGTTTCGTGTATGTTTGTAAAGTCTCCCGCGACACAGGATATATTCCTAGTGTGGGAGTGGTCTTATTAAAAAAAAAGCTTCCCGATGTCCTATTGGGCTTAAGTTTAGTGCACGTATGTATCTTGAGTGTGAATACAAAAATATGGTATCATAAAGCTATTCTGATGATGGAGCCGGTAGATGGCCATGGGAACTTCTTAATTAAACAAGATAAACTCATTAAGTTTGAAATCATTTGTTTTGTCTTCGTGAGTACTTTGGAGTTCTTAGGTAACAAACCCAAAAAAGTAAATTTAAATGGAGAACCTTCTCCATTTAGATTTACTACTCTGTGTCTGGGTGTAATTTATCTATAATATGTATGTATTTAGAAATATACAAGTATGTTTATCAGCAGTCTGGTTACCATAGTACAGGCTCTGTGTGTGAGTGTGTGGGATATATTATTATTATTAATAGTGGTGGATTATAAATTAAAATATAGTCTAACCAATAGATGTTCATAATCCTGTCCGTAATCTTCGCTGGATGCTGCCGCATACTGCTCCTGGATCCAGCTCTCTAGTTCAGCACTCTCAGCCAAGTATTCATGCCTAGAAATAAATTAATCAAACTTTTCATTTTCATAACTTAAAGTTTGCAGGATTTCAGTTGTCAGGACTACAGAAAAGGACATAGTGTAATCTATTTTTTTTAAAGACAACGTTCGCTCTACGAATATATCCTGTGTCGCGGATGACGTTTCATACATTCATGAAACAAAGAACATCCAGACTTAGAACAACAATTTGTGGATCACACAAAGTGTTGTCCCATGTGGGGATCGTACCCACAACACTCAGCGCAGTAGGAAGTGGAGAGGCGACCGCTCAAACCACTACGCCATCCATGTCGTGTCATTTCCATGAAATACGTTAAAGAAATAAGAGAAGTACGAAAGACACAGACACTCTCTACAAGAGCATTCTGTCTCTGAGCGGCAGAATGAACCTTCTCCATTTAGATTTACTTTTTGGTTACTTGAAGTTGGTTGATGAGAATCATTATCAAATTCGTGATAGTCGCTTTAATTAAAATAATTATTTCTCATTTAGACTCCACAAGTTCGCTGCTGAAGTGGCAGGTGAGCTCGACTGGTTATCAGAGAGGGCTGCAGCGGCCTCTTCAGACACCAACCCTACTGATCTACACGCTGCTCAATCTGCGCAGAAGAAGCACGGCAAGCTCAAGGCTGAGCTGGTGGGCAGGAGACCCTTGATTGAGAGGGTCATTGCACACGGTCATGGATTGGTTGAAGATGAACATCCACAGAAAGAAAAGGTAGGAGAAAGTTGAGTTTGAATAGAGTCGCTGTTTAATTTTTAATTTGCTCTTAGTATTAAAAAAAAACAGAATACTTACAAAGTCTAAGTCATATTTCAAAGCATTTTTAGTAAGAAAACACCTAAATAAAATCGTTAATATATAAAATTGAAATAATTAGTCCATAATTACAATCATCATTTTTAAACTCGACACGAAAGTAAAGAAAAAACGGACAGAAATAGATGGATAAAGTTTATAAGAGTTTCCCTTCGAACTCTCTCTTGCAGATCTTGGAGTTGTGCGCGGAGCTGGAGCGCGCGTACAGCGACGTGTCGGACGCGGCGGAGCGGCGCGGAGCTGCGCTGGAGGGGGCGCTGAAGGCGCAGCAGTTCTACCACGACGCGCTGGAGGTGGACGCCTGGCTCGCCGACAAGGCCGCCGCGCTCGCCGCAGCCGACGTGGCGCGCGACCGACACCGGGCCACGCAGCTGCTCACCAGGCACAAGGTAAAGGACCTACTGTACTGCCTTGGGGGACACCTCACTCCACGAGTCACTTATTGTTAACGATTTCGTCATAATTTTGTACACAGCAAAGATAAGCATTAAATAATATTAAAACAATTTATACACTTAACGTTTACCCTTGTAATTAAACTATTTTTAGATATCAATTCTTAGTAAAACAGTGTCAAATGCTTTTGATACGTTTAAATTGTTTTAAAGTCCAAATTCTGTAAGTCATTAAAGTGTGTGTTGTATAATTATCTTTAGTAATAGTGTCAGTATTGACCAAGGCTATCTACATCATGTACAATCTACCTAATTTCCGTCCTGGCTAAGCAGAGACGGTAGACTGCACTTTATCGCGATCCTAGCATGTAACATCCGCTTCTTCGACATTCGCTCTATTGTTAATAATATTTCATATATATGTCGGAGAAACATTATTCTCGTTGACATCGTCATTCGTGGTTGCGGGCTTAGTGGGCGTCATTAGGGTAAAATGCGAGCACAAAACAATGATCACAATTTCTTACAATTTTAATTGATAGTTTGGTTTAATCAATAATTTCCAACGAAGAATCAACACTTAAGACCCAGCAGCGGGTTCAGGGCACCCTTCTTACTTTAATCCAAATAAACTCTCCAAGATCCAACTCGATCAGTCGCTGTCACTCAAATGTGTTCCAAAACTGTCAGCCCTTCTAAAGTAAAGATGGCGCCTCGACCCCGCTCGAGACATGTGTTCTGCTCTGATTGGTCATTCCGTAGATAACAATATTCCTAACTTTTATTACATTAGTAAGGTTTTAAGTTATAGAACAATATACAAAATATGTTACAAATCAAATAAAATAAAATAAAGAATTTTAAAGGTAATTAAAAATGTAAACAAATCAACAATCAGCAATCACATCAAACAGCAATCAACCCGACTCCTAGCTTCCTCCGACATATATTTATTTATTTCATATTACTTTTTATAGGCTGTAGAATTGGAATTAGACACATACGCAGCCATTATCGCTGAGATGGGTCACGTAGCCACCAGCATGGCTAACAGCGGCCACCCAGAAGGAGAAGCTCTAGTAGCCAGACACGCACTCCTAGCAGAGAGTCTAAAACGGCTGCAGAGACTCGCCGCTCAGAGACAGAATGCTCTTGTAGAGAGTGTCTGCAGGTAATAACTTTCGAACTTCTCTTATTTCTTTCATTTATTTTATGGAAATGACACGACATGGATGGCGTAGTGGTTTGAGCGGTCGCCTCTCCGCTTCCTACTGCGCCGAATGCTGTGGGTTCGATCCCCACATGGGACAACACTTTGTGTGATCCACAAATTGTTGTTCTAAGTCTGGGTGTTCTTTGTTTCATGAATGTATGTAACGTCATCCGCGACACAGAATATATTCGTAGAGCAAAAGTTGTCTTTAAAAAAAAATAGATTACAGTATGTCCTTTTCTGTAGTCCTGACAACTGAAATCTTGCAAACTTAATTAAGTTTGATTAATTTATTTCTAGGCATGAATACTTGGCTGAGAGTGCTGAACTAGAGAGCTGGATCCAGGAGCAGTATGCGGCAGCATCCAGCGAAGACTACGGACAGGATTATGAACATCTATTGGTTAGACTATATTTTTATTTATAATCCACCACTATTAATAATAATAATATATCCCACAAACGGCCGTCTGATCCCAAACTAGGCAGAGCCTGTACTATGGTAACTAGACTGCTGATAAACATACTCATATATTTCTAAATACATATATATTATAGATAAATTACACCCAGACACAAAGCAAATGATCGATCTTATTATACAATTATTTGTCCTGGGTGGGAATCGAACCCACGTCTTCCGGTTTAGCAGTCAGGATCGCTAACAACAGGTTAGTCAAATGGTCTTACCTTTGATCTAAGAACGAGCTCAATGGGCTGCATCTCGCTTTTTATTCCTGAGTTGCAGGAGTCCAGAAGTGGCTGTAGTCACCATCATATACCGTACCACCCCTGTACCATAAAAAATGGGTGTTTCTATGTAAAACATGTACTTATTTACAAAACAATGTAAATACATATACAATGTAAATACAGATGGGCCTGTTGGTCTAGTGGTTAGTGACCCTGACTGCTAAGCCGGAGGTCGTGGGTTCGATTCCCACCCAGGACAAATAATTGTGTGATGAGCACGATCATTTGTTCTGTGCCTGGGTGTAATTTATCTATAATATGTATGTATTTAGAAATATATAAGTATGTTTATCAGCAGTCTGGTTACCATAGTACAGGCTCTGCCTAGTTTGGGATCAGACGGCCGTGTGTGAGATGTGTGAAATTATTATTATTATTATTACATATGTATCGTACATCCATGTCCTAGAGCCCACAGTACCAGCTGCACATATATCTACTCCTCTCAACATCCAATTCTTCCTCAGATCCTCCGCTCGAAGTTCGACGAGCTCCGCCACCGAGTGGAGAGTGGAGCCGAGAGGTTCAACCAGTGCGAGGAATTGGCCAAGAAACTGCTGGCCACGGAGAGTCCATACATTGGTGATATTGAGAAGAGACAAGAGGCACTCGGGTAAGAGATTTCTTTATGCTTCTAGACTGCCTCGGTGGTGCAGTGGTAGCTTATGCGACTGCTCTGCTGAGGTCTCAGGTTCGATTCGTGAGTTGGACCAAATGTTTTTATAATCTGCAAATATTTCTTTTAGAGTTTGCATGTTTGCTTTGTATTTACAAAAAAAAACGTATTCTGTAAGTCAATCTAGCTTTCATAGTACAAGCTCTGCTTAGTTTGAAACTAGATGGCGTTGTGTGTCAGATGTCCGAATGAAAACTTGACACAAATCCTATACCAACCCGTCTAGCCAGCGTGGTAAAGCAGGCCAAAACCTCCTTTCTAAGGAGAGGCTTATGTCTTATGTCCAGCAGTGGACTAGTAAAGGCTGTTAAAGACCCATGCTATGGTACAAAGACTGTCCCCAAATGACTGAGGTTCATCAACAGCCTTTAATAGTCCACTGCTGGACATAGGCCTCTTCTTATAAAGGAGGTTTTGGCCTACTATACCACGCTGGCCAGACGGGTTGGTGTAGGATGACGGACTGAGGTTACCGTAGCCCAAACTCTCTCTCCCCTTGATTCAACGGGATTATCAAGCAGCAGCAAAGCACTCGTTGCATCGGTGGAAGTGACTTACCATCAGGTGACCGTATGCTCGTTTGCCCCCTACACCATGAACTTTGGCAGTCAATTCCCATATTTTTACGTCTCTCTCTTTCCAACAGGGAATGGTGGCAACGTCTAGTAGAGCAGATGGAGTCCCGCGCGTCACGACTCCACGCCGCTGGTGAGATCCATCGGTTCCACCGCGATGTTGGAGAGCTGGTGTCCAGGGCGGCTGACAAGAGAGCCGCCCTGGCTGCTCCTCCGCCACCCAGGGACCTGAGAGCTGCGACCAGCTTGTTAAGAGAACATGAGACTACGCAGAATGATTTGTTAGCTATAGACGCTCAGATGCAGGTTTGTTTCATATATACTAATATTATAAAGCAGAAGAATTGACTGCACGGTTAGCGTAATTATTTAAGCGGTCACCTCGCCGCTTCCTACTACGCTGAGTGTTGTGGGTCCGATCCCCACATGGGACGACACTTTGAGTGTTCCACAAATTGTTGTTCTGAGTCTGGGTGTTCTTTGTGTCCGTTTCATGTATGTTTGTAAAGTCCCCCGCGACACAGGATATATTCCTAATGCGGGTGTTGTCTTTTAAAATAAGAAGAAGAGTTTGTTTGTTTGGTTGTACGCGCTAATCTCAGAAACTACTTGTTTGAATTTAAAAAACAACTTGTATTCCTCGGGCACATACATTTCGGGATGAAAATATCTAACATTTTCTATATCTAGTCCATGTGTATGCAAAATAATTTCGTGTTGAAAGTTCTGTTAAGGAATAAAACCTAACATTTATTTTTTTATGAAAGGCTTACTAGCAACTGAAATTACTAGTATTCCCGTTACCCCTCCCGTTAAGCTAAATTGCTTGTGTTAGGAGTGGGTTCATGTCGGTGGTGTACTGGTCAGGATACATTCACTTAAACATACATAATACTTGTTAAGAATGATAACAAATACACCTGCCAACATTAAATAAATATCGACTCTCGCTTCTGTGGAATAAGGTACAATTTAATCACACAGTACTCTGTACGTATAATTAAATTATACGTATAATTCACCTTCTGACAGAGAAGTCAACAATTATGTCCAGTTTTAAAAGAAACGTCTGTTTCATGGATAATATTTGTTCTCTTTCACAGGTCTTGCAAGAAGAAGGGTCCCGTCTCCAAAAGCTATATCCTGGCGGGAATGTGCAGCAGATCGGTCTACAGCAGCAGGCGCTGGCAGAAGCCTGGGCGCAGTTGAAACAGGCGGCGGATGAGAGGAAACATACGCTGCAGCAGTATTTGCAGCTTCACCAGTTCTTGACACAAGTATGTCTTTTTGGATCTTAAGTAATCTCTATAAATGTCCAATGTTTAGTAAGCTTTTAGCTTAACATGTTCACCGGGGAGTTCCCGTTCTAATTATGCAACATGTACCGGACATGTCAATACGTCAGGCCCGGAGACCGTCATTTCATATTTTTATTTATTCATACAATAAACGAAAAACTATGAAAATAAAAAGCCGTGGGACACCCGATAGGAACGAAGTTGTGACGATCGAGTAAAACTGATTCGACACGATTTTAATTACAACGCCATCTATGAAAGCGGCTATTACCTAGTTGGTTTCTAATTAAAACAATTGAGGAGTGTCTTTTCAAAAGGGTTTATTTCTCATTTTGGAAAATTTCTTTTTTTTGATGCGATTCGATCCTAACACTATATTCTCAATGATTTTCAATGATATTTTGATTCTAAACAGCTTATTTCCTTTAGAAAATCGATTACAAAAAAAGCCTTACGCGTCAAATAGACTTATATCCATAGCATTTTAGTCCATTTAATCAATTTAAACATTCTCTTTCAAAACAGCTTAATTCTAATAGAAAATTGTTTTTTTTCTAATATTTACGGAACAAAAGGGCTTATATAATTTATATATGTACATCGCTGTCCTTTTTGATGCTTTTTCCCCATTTAAGTTTTTGAACAGATACATCACACTTGGCTGTATGGCTTATGAGGCTCTTGCTTATTCTATATTAAGTTAATAAAAAAAAAACGATCCAAACGCTGATCCAATGGCTGTTTTCAAAATCTCCTATGCATCTTAAGGCCATCCATCTGTACTTTCCAGTTCGTGGTCATAGTTTTTTGCCAGCGGATAGGGTGTTTGGGCGATTAGAAAAGGAAATCCGCAAAAAAACTATTATAAATACAAGGGATGGCTATGACGAAATTTTGAAAAGGCACGGCAACTTTGAAATTATTAAGGCAAGATTGGCAACTACTCGAGATAAAAGATCTAAAAGAAAGTTTTAATAACTTAGAGGGATTGCAAAAAATGAAACGGATTAAGATAGAAAAAAAAGTCAAAAGAGGAATGACAGTAGGCTGTGAAATAAAAGCTTTCGAAAACCACAGATTTGAGACTAATGAAGTCGCTCAAACACTGTTGAAACGGGGAAAAAGAATACCTAGAGAAATATGTACTGCTGTATTTGAGAACAAGGAACTATCAGCAAATAAGAAAAAAGATGTAAATAATTTACTCACTAAACAATTTGGGAAAGAGTGGATCAATATACAAGAATTGGCTTGGTATAAAGATATTATTAACAGTTGCAGACCTGCCCCTGATACAGACATGGAAAATCCAGATGAATCTTTGTGTAATTGCCTTGATGATGATGTAGGAGAAGTGCGTATTTAGGTTACAATAAATAACTTGATTTTTCTTTCTAATTGTGAGACTTAATAAAAAATAATTCATTATGAAAGGGTTTTATTAGTACAGATCAAAACAGCTTATTTCCAACAGGTACTAAACAAAACAACTTAATTCTAAAATTCTTTGTCAAAAGTGCTTATTTCTAAGATACAGCCTTAAATAATACTTTCGTGGGGTCGGTGGTTAAAAAATAACAGTGCTATAAAAATCATGTCAACATTATGTAAACATAGTATTAAAATTCAAAATACATTTAATCATCAAATCATTGTTTGAAGTTTTTTTGATTTTCTGAAAAATATGTTAGTGATGAAATAAGCCCTTTTGAAAAGACACTCCTCAATTTATACATTGGTAAAATCTCCTGGAGAAATGATTTCCTATCTATTCGATAGATGGCGCTGAATGACTAACAAGTAACAATTCAAAATAAATACTGAGACGAAAAGTAATGACTGACATAAAAAGTGTCGTTACAACTTTTCGTGAGATTTTTTTCGGTCTAGCCCCCTTTCACAACGCGCGATAAGGAACTTCGTTCCAATATATATCGTTTATTAGTATTTTTGACGTACAAAAGGAATCACAAAACAAGTAAAAGCAAGTAAACAAAATAGAATTACCGATATTGTTTACCCGATATTGTTTACGCCTGACGCATTTATACGTGTCGTCCGGTAAACAGGTTAATGTCTGAATCTCGATATTAGATTATTCGTAAGGGAAAATTGGGGTTCATGGCTAAATGGTAACCGGGGAGGTTAACACATTGCAAAGTTAGCAATCCTAGCCTGGTCAGTGTATGGATGGTAACCATTAACACTTAAAATATTGAGTTCTCTTGGTGTCTCGGAGAACGTTAGTCCCTCCCTCCTTTTTTTTTCCGTACGGAAATCCCCTCTGATACCACCTGTCGGTGGCATGTCGGACTCGAAACGACTAAAACCGCACGCCGTCTCGGGTACTAATAGCCGGGGAACAAGGTATACCCTAGAAAGGAAGTCCCTGGTGCCCCGACATACCTCGGGTCATCTACACATCTTACAGGTAGTTTGAATCCTTTTTTATTTTTTTGACGGGTTGGAAAATCCTTTGGATCTCCTACTCCTCGTGACTCAGGAGCCTGAAGTGGGAATGTGGTGATTTCACTAAAAACTCTACTCTGAGAGGAAACGAACCATGTTTTTACGGGTTCTTCCTGTAGTTTGTAGTTGGAACTCTAACAGTCCGATTACAGTCTACAGAACTTCCATTTCGTTTAGTACTTGTGTTGTGGAGGTCTAATGGGAGTCGCTCCGTGTAAGAAATCAAATTTCAGCCGTATTGGTGTAGATTTAAAGTCGACTGCAACCTAGTTTGGGAGAAAGAAGAAAAGTAAGGGAAAAAAAACATTTATTGTCAGTGTTGTTAATACTTCTCTGTGTAGTGTGTAGCCGCTTTTCTTCTCAGGCGGACTACTCACCGGCTGACCCAGTGGAGAGATCTATGAGATTACCTCAGGGCGCCTTCTAAGAGAAAAGAAGTGTGTGCGTGTGGGAAACCTACGGGACTCTTTAGAGGAAAACAACTTACACCTCAGTCATACATACATGTATATTTCAAAACAAAATTAAATTTACAATAAAAAAATCAGAGGGTATATAAAAAAAAAAACCGCAGCGGAGCGCGTCAGAGCCGAGCTGATGGTGCTCGGTGCCTCCTCGTCGTCCCTCCAGGAGGTTACTTCCTCTTCCGCCCGAGTCGGCTATTTATATTAGATATGGATAAAAGTTTAACAAATTTGTAATTATAAGTTTAAGTACGTAACTCTTGGGTACGGCTGTCCGCTTGCGTCGTGAGCCGCGCAATCACCAGCCTTGCCAGAGGGTAGCAAGAAACTTGAGTCTGTACCAGAAGGCCACAAAAGAGCAAGCACGCCGTCTGAGACTGACCGTCTTGAGCCCGAAATCTGGGACCCTACGAATGGATTAGCACTCATATAATTAAACAGGTACCAGAAACAAATAGGTTTAAGAAGAATTGAGAGAATACTCACCACATTAGTGGGTAGATTATAACAGACTACATATTACGAAATTCAAATTACACGACAAACAAAACACTATTTTAGGTTGGAAGACACGAGATAGCAGAGTGTCTCCCGTGGCAGAAAGCCGGACCTATATATCCTCGGTTCAGGAATCTTCCAGAAGTTAACCCCTCCTCATCATTTCACTTTGACATTTACATTGAGAAAGAAAACAACGCTAACAAAATCAAAAGTAACTTGCTTTCCACCATAGCTGAACACTCCCAATACCTATGCAATTTGACATGACAGAATAACAAAACAGATTAAAAAAGGAAGTCTTTTTATCAATCTATTATGTCTCAAACCAACGCCATCTAGTGGTCCGAAAGTGAACAAAGGAGATCAATACCGTAGCTACAAACTACTTTAGATAAATCAACAACAAAGCGATGCGGCCAACAGGTGTCGCTTTACTAATATACCAAAAAAATAACTGTTACACCACCCCCTCCCTCAAAGTATTCCCTGCGTAGTGTGCGCAGGGAATATCCTCAACAGGGCCAAAATCCATATGTGGTTTTACGAACCCCGTGGTTTAGGAAAACATTCTATACTATGACTCGCGACTACAAAGCCTGTGGCTATCCATATAGGACACCACATGACATAACCTGAAGCCATCCATATGGGACCCAAACACGACAGTAGGCCGGAAGCAATCCTCATAGGACACAAATAAGAAAAATTTTGACGTAGTCCGAGACCACAATTGAAAGAACATTTCCCATGTAGGAAATGTAGTGAATGGACCCCTCAGGTCACAAAGGGGTGTCCTGAGAAGGTCTAGTCAGTTATAACCACACCGGCTAACCTATCTAGAAGGTATCTAGCCCCAACTCTAATAAGACAATTTATAATACGAAACGGAGTCACCTGAAGAAAAAACCTGTTCCAGTTCAAAGACCTTAAGCCCGCTGACAGACCATGTCAGAGGCGGAAAAGGCAGGAACAGCGGCGATGGCCTTAAAGCGGCCACGCCGGATAAGCCGCAAAGCAGTACGCATCTCACTTCGCAATCCGACAACCGTATCCTCAGGATTCGCTGAAATCCCCATGGAAGACAGTTCATTAATAAGTTCATCAATTTTTAGGTAGTTAATGCACTTACGAACATGTGCCATGGTGGTTTACAATTTAAATTCGATTATACAAAAAATAATCTTAACAAGTTAACAAACCAGTAATGCAGACTTAATGTCTTTTACAGTTAAAAAAAAGTAAAAAAATAATGATATTGAGTAGACTCCTTCACTATCAACAGAGTGTGAGAAGTTTAAAGTAAATTAATATTTAAAAAATATTATAACAAAATATTAAAACATCAAGTAATATCTCAAAGTAAAAAATATTGCTACTGAGTATATTTCTTCACCATTAAGTGTGAGAAAGCTAAAGCAAACTAATATTTTTAACAAATATTATAATAAAATATTAAAATATCAAGTAATATTTCAAAGTAGAAACTGAGTATACTTCTTCACTATTAAGTGTGAGAAAGCTAAAGCACACTAATATTTTTAACAAATATTGTAATAAAATATTAAAATATCAAGTAATATTTCAAAGTAGAAACTGAGTATACTTCTTCACTATTAAGTGTGAGAAAGCTAAAGCACACTAATATTTTTAACAAATATTACAATAAAATATTAAAATATCAAGTAATATTTCAAAGTAGAAACTGAGTATACTTCTTCACTATTAAGTGTGAGAAGGTTAAAGCACACTAACATTTTTAACAAATATTATAATAAAATATTAAAACATTAAGTAATTCTCAAAACTTGAGAAGCAAATTCAACTAAAGACAAAGATATTCTTGTTTCACAATTCAAGACACAAGTTATATTATCTTTAGAACATTAACCCAGTAATCCAATGAATTGACAAAGTTTAATTATCATAAAAGTTATTTCGACATAAATTTTAAGTAGGGTATGTATATCACAAAACTATTTTATTCTAATTTTAAGCCAAGAGGTTATATAAAAAATGGAGGGTACATAAAACTTTATAAGTTAAGTTAAGTTTCAAGTAAATTACACCAGTAGTACTGGGAAAAAAAACACACTGAATATACACGTATGCACAACTTCACGCTACGGACCTCAAAGGTACGAACAGAAGTAGCTAACACAAAAAAAAAAGAAGAAAAAAAACTAGTTAGGCCAAAAAATGTTTCAAACTCACCCGAAATATGTGCAGTAGGAATTTTGAGTTAAATTTGGAATTTAGGTGTCTCACTGATTTTCCTTGCCTCAGGGATGATGGTACGATAGGCTGAAAATACAATGAGGGTAAAATTATTACATGCGTACTGCACCCGCACAACCAATTAACGTCCTGGGGAGTATCGGACGGAGGGAAGTGTCTCCTCCAAAGTGAATACCCTCAGGCACCCTCACACAGCACACACACAGAGGTTTGGATCACTGGCCCCACGTTGGGCGCCAATTTGTAGCCGCTTTTCTTCTCAGGCGGACTACTCACCGGCTGACCCAGTGGAGAGATCTATGAGATTACCTCAGGGCGCCTTCTAAGAGAAAAGAAGTGTGTGCGTGTGGGAAACCTACGGGACTCTTTAGAGGAAAACAACTTACACCTCAGTCATACATACATGTATATTTCAAAACAAAATTAAATTTACAATAAAAAAATCAGAGGGTATATAAAAAAAAAACCGCAGCGGAGCGCGTCAGAGCCGAGCTGATGGTGCTCGGTGCCTCCTCGTCGTCCCTCCAGGAGGTTACTTCCTCTTCCGCCCGAGTCGGCTATTTATATTAGATATGGATAAAAGTTTAACAAATTTGTAATTATAAGTTTAAGTACGTAACTCTTGGGTACGGCTGTCCGCTTGCGTCGTGAGCCGCGCAATCACCAGCCTTGCCAGAGGGTAGCAAGAAACTTGAGTCTGTACCAGAAGGCCACAAAAGAGCAAGCACGCCGTCTGAGACTGACCGTCTTGAGCCCGAAATCTGGGACCCTACGAATGGATTAGCACTCATATAATTAAACAGGTACCAGAAACAAATAGGTTTAAGAAGAATTGAGAGAATACTCACCACATTAGTGGGTAGATTATAACAGACTACATATTACGAAATTCAAATTACACGACAAACAAAACACTATTTTAGGTTGGAAGACACGAGATAGCAGAGTGTCTCCCGTGGCAGAAAGCCGGACCTATATATCCTCGGTTCAGGAATCTTCCAGAAGTTAACCCCTCCTCATCATTTCACTTTGACATTTACATTGAGAAAGAAAACAACGCTAACAAAATCAAAAGTAACTTGCTTTCCACCATAGCTGAACACTCCCAATACCTATGCAATTTGACATGACAGAATAACAAAACAGATTAAAAAAGGAAGTCTTTTTATCAATCTATTATGTCTCAAACCAACGCCATCTAGTGGTCCGAAAGTGAACAAAGGAGATCAATACCGTAGCTACAAACTACTTTAGATAAATCAACAACAAAGCGATGCGGCCAACAGGTGTCGCTTTACTAATATACCAAAAAAATAACTGTTACAAGTGACGGATTAAGAATACGGAATTTCACCACCCCAATTCATCCCGCGGGTGTCGTAAGAGCCGACTAAGGGCGCAAAACTACGCAGGACACCAGCACTGCAAAAAGAAGGAAAACTTGACACAAACCCTATACCAACCCGTCTGGCCAGCGTGGTATAATAGGCCAAAACCTCCTTTCTAAGGAGAGGCCTATGTCCAACAGTGGACTATTAAAGGCTGATGATGTGATGTGTGTTAATACTTCTAAACTATACTAACTATACTCCGACTTGTAAAAGTTTCTAAAAAGATTTAGTTGCAGAAATAAATATCGTGTCAGAAAAATCTGTTACACCTGTGTTTAAATAATACAAGTTCCAAGAATTGACATCTGCAATAAAGATGAGGTATTAACCGGGGTCCGTGTGCAGGTGCGCGACCTGACGTCGTGGTCGGTGTCGCTGCGCACGTCGATGTCCCGCGCGCTGCGCGTGCGCGACGCCGTGTCGGCGCAGTCCGCGCGCGCCGAGCACGACGCCGTGCGCGCCGAGCTGGACGCGCGCGACGACAGCTTCCGGGACGCGCTGCAAGCTGGCCGGGCGCTGCAGGCCGAGAATCATCCTAATTCTGCTGTAAGTACCTTATATAGCGATATAACCTACTCTAGCGAACAAAACCCGGTCAAGTGTGAGCTAAAGTGGAGAGGATTTCGTGCAATTACTCTACTACATTAAACTAGATAAGTTTTTTTTATGTTAGAGAGGACAGACGAGCAGACGGGTCACCTATTCCATAAAAAAAATTGTTAAAAAATACAGTCGAATTGAGAACCTCCTCCTTTTTTTGAAGTTGGTTAAAAATTAAGTTCATTTTTAACAATAACTAAACTACCAGGAAATTGAAGAAAAATGTGAAGCGTTACTGGAGGAACGGAACCGTCTGCATGGCGCGTGGGCAGCCCGCCAGGTGGCGCTGGACCAGCTCATCGACCTGCACTGCTTCCTCAGAGACGCCAAACTCCTGCACGACCTGTGCGCGGCCCAGGAGGCTGCACTCAGTAAGTATCTGCTTCACCTAGGAGTTGAGAAATGAACTCTCCATCTTACTACTTCTTTTACGAAAGTCTTACACTAGCGGTGATCCACAAAGACTGGTATCCTATCTTTTGGAGACATTACCACAGTAATTGTGCTATATACGTACCAGCTGGAGTCAGATGCTACTGGACTTGTTCAGCTATCATTCTTTTACGAAGTCTAGGAAACTACTCTATAGTAGTACTAGCTGAGACCCGCGGTGTTACCCGCGTTTGTTGTTATAACCGCAGGCAACGCCACGGGGCGAAGCTAGTCTAAAAAAAGTAGCCTAAGTTACTCCTTATGTCATCAGCTATCTGCCAGTAAAAGTCCCGTCGAAATCGGTCCAGCCGTTCCAGAGATTACCCGGAAGAAACAGACAGACAGACAGACAAAAATTGTAAAAAATGTTATTTTGGCATATGTACCGTGTAAACATACATATGCATTTAGTAAAAGCGGTTATTTTAATATTACAAACAGACACTCCAATTTTATTTATTTGTATAGATTATTAGGAGACGTTGGTTGTTCTGGACCAACTATCTTCTATTAGACGACCAGCTGTTTTAGTAATTGTTTACCCAGAAGACTTTAACATCATCATCTAACCAGTTCATCTTATACACAGCTTCTGCACCTACTTGATTTATCAATATTATGATTATTATGATCTTTTGATGACATGTGTATTACTCTGTACAGGTACTGAGGTCTCCCAAACGAGCAGTGTGGAGGAAGTGGACAATCAGCTCAAAAAGCACGAAGCCTTTGAGAAGCTGCTGGCTACACAGGTACGTACCCGTTAACTAAATGAACCTTTACTATGTTAACCAGACTGCTGATAAACATACTTATATATTTCTAAATACATACACATTATAGATAAATTACACCCAGACAGAACAAATGAACATCCTCGTCGCACAGTTATTTGTTCTGGGTGGGAATCGAACCCACGACCTCCGGCTTAGCAGTCAGGCTCAATAACCACTAGACCAATGGGCCTGTCTAACCAATTTTAACATGTTAGTGTTCAAGTATTAGTGAATAACTACAGTAATGTTAATAAAGTAAATAGAATAACAATCATTGTTACGGCTAACGGATGGCGTAGTGGTTTGTGTAACGGACTGCTATTACAAAGGTCTCGAGTTAGATTCCCACTCAAGTCAAACATTTGTGTGCATGAACATTTAATGTTTGATTTGGTCTGGATGTTTCTATGTATAATATGTATGTATTTACAAAAAAAAAGTATATATAATATAATAATAATATTCTACCACATACACACAACGCCATCTAGTCCCAAACTAAGCAGAGCTTGTACTATGGGTACTAAACAACTCATATAAATACATATATATATTTTTTTTGTAAATACATACATATTATACATAGAAACACCCAGACCAAATCAAAATCAAATGTTCATGCCCACAAATGTTTGACTTGAGCGGGAATCGAACCCGCGACCTTTGGAATAGCAGTCCGTTACACAAACCACTACGCCATCCGGTCGTCAAAGTATGTATTTATATCAAAGTATGTATATATTATCAAAAAAGTATGTATTTATATCAGTTGTCTAGTACCCATAGTACAAGCTCTGCTTAGTTTGGGACTAGATGGCGTTGTGTGAATGTTGTAGAATATAAAAAAATAAGAAATTTATCCTTTTCTAAGCATATTTCGTTAACGAAAAAATGTAGATGTTAAAATGACTAAAGGTTAAATATAGAAGAAACAAAAACTAATTTTTTTTAAATATGTGTTACACATTAAAAAAATATGTGATTACAGTTACATCCACGTACCAGCATCAAGTACGTACGTTGACCTGTCTTAGAACGGAAAGTCCATACAATCATCGTTCAATTTATACTGGAAATTATTAGATATTGATTTTATTTATTTGTGTTCCAATTGAGACAAAGAAATGAAAAAATTGATAAATATTTAATGAATACTGTTCTATGTCCGTGTGGTGACGGATTAAGAATACAGAGTGTCACCACCCCTATTCATCCCGTGGGTGTCGTAAGAGCCGACTAAGGGAAAAAAACTACGAAGAACAACTGCAGAGAGAAGGAAAACTTGACACAAACCCTATACCAACCCGTCTGGCCAGCGTGGTATAGTAGACCAAAACCTCCTTTCTAAGGAGAGGCCTATGTCCAGCAGTGGACTGTTAAAGACTGTTGATGTGAATACTGATAACACTGGGATTATTAGTGTTTAAAAGAACTTTACTAATAGAAATTATGCACATTACAGGATGAGAAACTGGCGACACTAAACAGCCACGGAGACAAGTTGCTCCAACAGAACCACGTGGAGAGTCAACGTATAGCTGATGAATTACAGCATATCAATGAAAGAAGGAAAAAGGTAAGATTATTTTTAAATAGTACTGTTTTTCAACCATTTTAATTTTTTTGAATAGGTTTCTAAAATTACAAAAATTAAACGCCCTATAGTATGCGTATAGATGTGTAACATTAATTGTATTCTTGTTACACATTTCCGTCCCCTTTTGTTGAAATCACTTTAGCAGATTGCAGAAAAGTGAGAAAAGCATGTTAAAGATAATAAAAGTAAATTAATTAACCTATTGTCTTGTACAACCAATTTGTGGAACAAATTATTAGTATTTTTTGAAATTGTTTGTAATATCTAGATTATGACAGATAATCGTTCTTACACCAACTCTAAAAAAAATCTTTAATATTAAAGTCTTGACTAAATTAGAAAATTAAATGTTAGAATTATCTATACATAAGTGGAGACCGTCGATTAATTATTTTTATTATTATTCATTTTTTTCGAACCAAGATCCATAGTATATCGTTAGTTACAAAAGTGTTAACCTAATATCCCCCCCCCCCCCCCCCAGCTGTACGAGTCAGCGCGCGCGCGGCGCGTGCAGCTGTCCCGCGCGCGCGCCCGGGCCCAGTTCGCGCGCGACGCGGCCGAGGCCCGCGGGTGGGTGGCCGACAAGCTCGCCAAGCTCGCCGCTGAGCACCAGCACGGTATGGACTGCTCCATTCTTCATCAGAACATCATAACTAACCAACAAATCATACTTTTTAAGACAACTCTCGCATTAGGAATATATCCTGTGTCGCGGGGACTTTACAAACATACATGAAACGGACACAAAGAACACCCAGACTCAGAACAGAAAACCGGTGTTAAGCAATTCTTTCGTTGCCTTTCACTGAGTGAGTGAGGTTACCGGAGCCCAAATCCCCCGCTGTCTCGAGCGGGAGGGACTCCAAGGACGGCAACGCACTTGTGACTTTGAGTTGCAGGTGTCCATGGGCGACGGTAGTTGCTTACCATCAGATGACCTGTCGACTCGTTTACCATAAAAAGAAAGAACAAAAATTTGTGGATTACACAAGTGTTATCCCATGTGGGGATCGGACCCACAACACTCAGTGTAGTAGTGAGCGGCGTGGCGACCACTGAAACCACTACGCCATCCGTGCAGTTAATATGACTCCAAGAGGACTTTACTAGTACCATAGTCAGATCAGTTCCAATATGCCGAATTATAACATCATCAAACTTCATATAAAGAGAAGGAAAACTTGAAACAAACCCTATACCAACCCGTCTGGCCAGCGTGGTATAGTAGGCCAAAACCTCCTTTCTAAGGAGAGGCTTATGTCCAGCAGTGAACTAGTATAGGCTGTTGATGATGATGAAACTTCATATAATAATTTCACACATCTCACACACGGCCGTCTGATCCCAAACAAGGCAGACCCTGTGCTATGGTAACCAGACTGCTGATAAACATACTTATATATTTCTAAATACATAGATATTTGATTTGACGGATACATGACGTAGTGATTTGTGTAACGGACTGCTACTCCAAAGGTCACGGGTTCGATTCCTACTCAAGTCAAACATTTGTGTGCATGAACATCTAATGTTTAATCTGGTCTGAGTGTTTTTATGTAGGAATTTTCAAAAATAATAATACATATATGTACTCTGCTTAGTTCGGTACTAGATAGCGTTGTGTGAATGTGGAATAATATTATCATTACTATATTTTAGATCTTGAGTGGGAATCGAACCCAGGTCCCCCTGACTTAGCAGTCAGAATCCCTAACCACTTTACAAATATACCTATCATTTTATATTCACGATTCCATTTCTTTAAGACCATAAATTATAAAAAATCAAATAAAAATTAATTTCTAACATTAGTTTATATCGTTAGACACCTCTGCTTTGGTGGTGCAGGGGTAGCGTATACGCATACGCATACGCATATTTGCTGAGGTCTCTGGTTCGATTCCCAGGTCAGACCAAATATTTGTATGATCTGAAAATATTTGTTTCGGAGTCTTTGTGTTTCCTATGTATATATTTACAAAAAGAAACATAAAAAAGTATTGTAGTCACTTTAGCTTTCAAAGTACAAGCTCTGTTTAGTTTGAAACTAGATGGCGTTGTGTCCGAACAAATAATAATAAAAACAAATGCTAATTAATTTAATAATATAAATATCTAAAATGTGAAAAAAAACTGGTTTCTCAGGTGAAGTAACGAATCTCGAGGACAAAATCAAGAAGTTGCAGAAACACCAGGCCTTCACCGCCGAACTTGGCGCTAACAAGGCTCGTCTGCAAGAAGTCCAGGCTTTAGCTGAACAGCTGAAACCTGATGAGGAGGTAGAGCAGCAACTCAAACAGTTGCAAGGAGACTGGGAACGGCTGCAGCAGGCCACCGAACAGAGAGGTACAGGATTAGACTTTTAATTTTCTTTTTGTTCAGCAGTGGTCTTTCGGCTGAGGTGATGATGGTTCTTTTTAATGTGTATGGGTGTCGTAAGAGCCGACTAAGGGAGTAAACTACCAGGGCTTCAATTCTGCTATTTTAATATTGTATCAATAGACAGTCGATTTAATGTCGTCGGAATAGTTTTGCACTTTTCGTATTCTACTAACTACGTAAGACCAGTGGCCTCCCGATGAATTGTCACTAATACAAATATCGTCGATGTCTTTGAAATGGTATGGTAAACAGTACATTTTAAATTTGTAAGAAAATTATATATTTAATTTTCATGATATGGCAATGTTGTTGATATCACCATTGATGATTTATATTACTATATCGACAGTCTATTGACACTGCATTTATGTTAGTAGAATACTGATATTTTGACCGATGTCAGTAGCATCTCAATGACATCTCAATAGCGTCTCAATGGAATGACAGTGGCTTGACGTTAACATAACATAGCAGAATTGAGGTCCTTGACAACAGCATTGCAAATAGAAGAACAACTTATAACAAACCCAATACTAGCCTATCCTTAATAACGGACATACTGGCACACATTGGAACAATGTTGTGTTATATTTAATGATTCCATTGTATTTATCTGTAAATTGCAAAAGAGTGGCCATGAGTTTGTTTGCCCTTTCTTCTCATAAGGCTCAACCCCTTGGAAACGGGCGGTTGTAGATCGGCACAGGCATATCATAGATTTTGTATAAGAATAATTTTTTCCTTGCTATTTGATAAAACAGAGATTGTTGCTATTGTGTGTGTTGATCTATGACTTTAGAGTCTACATAAAATACGATTTCAAACAATTTTAATTTTTTTATGAGATAAAGATATTTTGAATTTGAATTCGTCTGGCCAGCGTGGTGTAGTAGGCCAAAACATCCTTTCTAAGGAGAGCCCTATGTCCATCCGTGGACTGTTAAAGTCCGTTGATGTGACGTGATGAACAGTCATTTACCATTAGACGACTCGTCTGTCTGTTTGTCCCACTATACGCGGAACAAATTGAATTGAGTTGGAATAGAAACCACCATTTCTGACTTGGCAGTCGTATGTACTACCGCTGAGCTATATGTCAATATATTTGATGCAGGTCGTGGATTAGAAGAAGCCCAAGATATATTGGAGTTCAACCAGCATCTGGACAAGATCGAAGCCTGGATCAGAGATAAGGAGATGATGGTATGGATTTTTAAACACGCATTTTTAGAGTTTACTCCTTAAGAATCGATTGTCATATAAAGTGTCTGGTATGAAAAAAAAATGAAGAGTAAAATTTTTGTGATCGAATGACTTCATTACATTTTTTTGCGCATCCTATCGTACGCATCTTTCATTCTTTTTAGTAATGTGCACTCACAATTTTTGTTTTAATAAACTAAGTATGGTTAGAAACATACGTTTTGATGTGACTTACTGGTGTTAATTAGTGATTTTTTTCTACCAAAAATCTTCTAAACGAACTTTTTAAGCGGTTACTACTACCTATAAATCTGATTTCTTTATCAACTCTATTTTTAAAGAAAAAAATATTAACTTAAGCAGAAATGTGCTCTATCACGGAAAAAAAAATATATGGCCCCTCACCAATGTCCTTAACCAAAAGCTCCCTAATACACAGTATATTATATTAAACACGTGTAGTGACGGATTAAAAATACGGAATGTCACTACCCCAATTCATCCCGTGGGTGTCGTAAGAACCGACTAAGGGCGCAAAACAACGCAGGACACCAGCACTGTAAAAAGAAGAGACTTGACACAAATCCTATAAAGACCCTTCTGGCCAGCGTGGTATAGTAGGCCAACACCTCCTTTCTAAGGAGAGGCCTATGTCCAGCAGTGGACTGTTAAAAGCTGTTGATGATGATGATGATACTATAACCCGGCAATCTCGTGCGCGACCGTCCCGCGGGGTGACAGACAGTGGCGGGGGCGAGGTAACGCGTCATTCTAGCACACGGCTACACACGAAGAGAAGCGTGTCCCTTCCCCGCTACACCACCAGCTACCCGCTGACATCTTGAGTACCTCGTCCCCGCCACCGTCTGTCACCCCGCAGGACGGTCGCGCACGACGTTGATGGACTATAAACATCCATATTTATATTTTAATTGTGAAAGTGAGTTCGTTTGTTACGCTTTCACGCCTAAACCGCTATACAGATTTTAAAAATTCTTTCTCCAATATACAGCTATATTATCAGCGAGTAATATAGGCTACTTTATACCGCGGATAACCGAAACACACGCGGGCGGAACCGCGGGCAAACGCTGGTATATAATAAATGTTATTTTTTTTAATTTATTTTAATAGAAATTGCAGTAAAAAGTAGTCAAGTAGTGGTCATAAGGTATTAAATATGAGCTGTTACTATCCAGGTCCAAGCTCACGAGCTTGGCCGTGACTACGAGCACTGCAGCGCGCTGCTGAGGAAGCTGGATGACATGGACAGCGACATGAAGGTGGACGACAAGAGGGTCAAGAGCATCTGCGCACTCGCAGATAAACTGCTGCAGCAGGTAAGAGAAGAGAGAGAAGATATATTATATATCAATATAAGAGACTATGAGGATTTAGTTGTTTTTAGTTTTTTTAAACCAAACGGCCAGCGTGGTATAGTAGGCCAAAATCTCCATTGTAAGGAGCGGCCTATGTTCAGCAGTGGACTGTTAAGGGTTGTTATATTTAAAATATTGTTTTAATCATTAATAAATTAAAAAAAAAAACTGTTTCATCAAAATAGGCAGTCGACAGTAAAGGTTTAGAATTTGATATAAAACACTTACCAAGGCGACAATTTGCGATTTTGGTTTACTGCGATCAGATGTCGCTAGATGGCGTTGAAGATCTAGCAAAGTTATGTTATACAGGGTGTAAGGGACATCGTAACGAATACTGAAATAGTGTATTCGGACCGTGTCTTCTGAGTCGAAAATCATTGCAATTTTCTGCCGGAAAATTCATATTTTTTTTCTATTATTTTTCATTTTGTTCCTTAAGAAATGATATCACAATGAGTAAACCGAACATTTCACCGAAAACAAATTAATGAATACCGAATACTCTGGCCGCCAACTTGTGTTAGTGCGCGTAGACTGTTTGCACGGAATACACGTGTAGTTATTACTTTTGTGCGGTACCTTAACCTTTGTTTTGTTTTAAAAAATACAGTCTTTACAAACATACATGAAACGGACACAAAGAACACCCAGACTCAGAACAACAATTTGTGGATCACACAAAGTGTCGTCCCATGTGGGTTTTGAACCCACAACACTAGCTGTAGTAGTAAACGGCGTGGAGACCGCTTACACCACTACGCCATCCGTGCAGTTTGACGGCTGATTGCATAATAAGCTTAATTTTCCGGCAGAAATTTCCAATGATTTTGGACTCAGAATGATGGTCTGAATACACTATTTCAATATTCGTTACTACGTCCCTTACACCCTGTATATGAAAATTATTATTAAAATGCATCTAAGAGTATTTCTTGCAGATCCTTTCTCATTTCTTAAACATTTGATTACTTATTTTTTTAATTATAGTTTTTAATTCATGAATTTCACTTTGCTTCACCATTACCAATATTCTCTGTCCTTATTCCAGGGTCCGACCCAGCAAGCTGCAGCAGTAGCCCAGCGCCGTGACCTATTCCTGGGCAAATGGAACGCTCTGTCAGGAGCTCTGCAGAAATACCGGGATAATCTGTCCGCCGCATTGGAAATACACTCTTTCAACAGGTAAATATTTTGAGTCATGGTTAAGAATCGAAAATATACGACCCTTTTTTCGTTCATACACAGCACTAGCTCTGCCTTGTTTGGGTTCAGACCGCTGTGTGAGTTGTGAGAATGAGTGACCACTATCGTTGGTATCAATAAAGATAGGGGAGAGTAACCAGGTCAGCTATCCGCCGTAGATGGCCCGAGGTACGTCGAGGTACCAGGGCTTTCCTTTCTAGGGTACACCTGGTTGGCTACTGGTACCCGAGACGGCGTGCGGTTTTTATTTCTACCAAATTATTTCTGTATTTCTACCAAAATGGCACTATTTGGTTTAGTATATTGGCACAAAAAGGAGCGCTACAAAATGGCGGAGTATTAGTGGCGCTGCTTGTGCTCCTTTATGTGTTGCTAGTGTAAAATTAATAGTGCCATTTTGGTAAAAATTCAGAAGTGGTTCAATTTAAGCGGCGGTTCAATATTGGTTACTCTCCCCTATATTATTATTACGGTCTCGGGTTCGATTCCCGGGTCTAATCAAATGTTTCGATGATCTGCAAATATTTTAATTGTAGAAAAAACAAAGTATATAAGTATTGTATCAGACAAGCTAGCTTTCATAATACAAGCTCTGCTTAGTTTGAAACTAGATGGCGTTGTTTAGATGTCCCAAAAATATTAAGGAAATATACAGTAATGCTTTCTTTCTGTCCTCAGGGATGTAGAAGACACAGCCGAACGTATCTCGAAGAAGGCGACGCTGTTCAGCAGTTCAGAGCGCGGCAGAGAACTGAGTGCCGCTCACGAGCTCAAGAGGAAACACCTGGCGAGGGCTGCGGAGGCTGGAGCTATAGGAGACAAGATCAACCAGCTGGAGGCAGAAGGGAAGGCCCTTACTAAGAAGTGAGTTGTCTCACTAATTTTATGCAGTATTATAATCAGGTGTGGTCGTGGAAGAGTCATTGACGTGATACCAATGCTTTACGGAAAACCGGTGTTAAGTAATACTTTTATTGAGCATCATCAATAATCCCCCTTTCCTAATTCCGGGGTGGGGGAGGGTGCGAACTCAAAGAGTAACCACAGATGGCGGGAGTCACTTACCATCAATTGACCCGCCTGCTCGTTTGTACTCTATATAAAAAACCTCTCCTCCTCCTCCTCCTCCTCCTCCTCTCCTCCTCCTCCATATGCGAATCAACTCCTCAATATGCGAGTCAAATTGTGGCCACAGGGTTGTGACCGCTTAAACCACTACACCATCCCTGCAGTCATAATTATGTGTTTGTGTCAGCTCGCCGCTTACTACTACGCTGAGTGTTGTTGGTTCGATCCCCTCATGGGACAACACTTTGTGTGATCCACAAATTGTTGTTCTGAGTCTGGGTGTTCTTTGTGTCCGTTTCATGTATGTTTTTAAAGTCCCCCGTAACACAGGATATATTCCTAATGTGGGAGTTGTCTTTAAAATCAAAATTAGTAAAATCTGAATGTTCCCAGGTATCCGGAGCGTGCGAAAGAGATAGAGACAAGTTTGCAAAGCCTACGCGAAGGTTGGAACAATCTGCAGGAATTGGCTGCCAAACGTACCGCACTCTTGGACGAAGCTATCGCTGAACATAAGTTCGATGAGAACCTCAAGGTATGTATTATTTTGGCACTCTAGTGGTATTCCGCAGTCTTGTTAGAGGCTGTAAGTTTACTTGGTTAATTGTTTGCCACTATTAGAGTAAATAAGTACTAACGAACTCCTTAGTAAAATTGATATAAGGTTTGAATCAAATTAAAAAAATATGATCTTCTTTTAAAATCTTAGCGAACTTGGACTACTAAGAATAGCTGAGCGAAAATGTCGATTTGTTTAAACGTTTTTCTCATATTTAGTGTTAGCAGTCGTATCAAAGATTTCTATTCTATGTATAATATGTATGTATTCACAAAAAAAAAAGTATAAATGTATTTATATCAGTTGTCTAGTACCCATAGTACAAGCTCTGCTTAGTTTGGGACTAGATGGCGTTGTGTGAATGTAGTAGAATATAAAAAAAAAAATATAAAAAAATTTATTCAAAACTTAGTGAGAACTTCAAATATTTTATCAAAAAAAACACACTAGTTTAGAAAACTTTCCCACTGTAGTATTTTCTTTTTGCAAGTTATTAGCACAAGAACTTAATATTATTGTTAAAAGCGGGGTATATAATAAATAAAAGTTGTCGGTTAATTACTTTATTTCACTGTATTTACAAACACTCACTATAATAAACTAGGAATCACTATATATCTCGTTAGTCGCACTAGAAATTCACTCCGATTTTAATTAGCTGTGTCATAAAACGAAACTGTCTCGAATGAACAACACGCTACGCTTTTATCGCGCTTTTGAATTTTACTACAAAGTTCCTAGTATTCGATAGTCCGTTCCAGACAAACAAGAATATTCCAGAATCAGTGACGCGTTACTTGCAGCGCCATCTAGCGCTGTAAAGGTCAGAACTATTAACCATAATCTTAATAGGTGTACTTTACTCGATACTAGATGGCGCTGTCCCCTATATTCCATACGATTCTGGAACAATCGAACCATTTAATCTCATACTAATAACTTATTCAAAAATGTGACCCAAGTCATTCATACGTGTTACTTAACTTTTACATATGCGTTACTAAGGCAGACCAAAAAAAAACTAATAATCTTCTACAGGAACTGGAGTTGTGGGTGTCAGAGACAGTCAAAAGGATGGACCAGAGTGGTGCCCCGGAGACAGTTTCTGATGCTGAGGCGCTTCTGGAGCTACACCATGAGAAGAAGGTATAGTCTTTACTAGCTGGTACCCGCGTGTAGTACAATACGCGACTACTGTTTATGAAGCCTCGGATTCAATCCCCGGGCAAAAAAAATATAGGGTTTTTTAGAAGGAAAATAGCCTAAGTTACTCCTTCTATAGACAGCTACCTGGTAGTAAAATATTATCAAAATCGGTCCAGCCGTTTTGAAGATTATCCAGAACAAACAGAAAGACAGAATATTTAAACTGGTTTTTAGGCATAGGTATCGTGCAAATAACCGTGTGAGCATGAAAAATCTATTATTTTGAAATTACAAACAGACACTTCAATTTTATTTATTTGTGTAGATTATGTTGCGTAGCCAGCTTCGAACCCCACTCAGCACACTACCGAAATGAACCGACTTCGTCAATTAGTCAAATTTCAATACTGTGTTCTTCAAACAGGCGGAGATCGATGGTCGTCAGAAAGCAATCAGCACTCTTCAGAAGGAGGTTGAACAGGTCCCGGAGAAGGTCAAGAGAGTGTCTCACCTATCCACCACCCTGGACCAAGCCTGGCTCAAGAGGAAACAGTATTTAACTCAGGTATGTGAAACTCCGTGTGGTGACGGATTAAGAATACGGAGTGTCACCACCCTATTCATTATTCCCTATTCATCCCATGGGTGTTGAAAGAGCCGACTAAGGGAGAAAACTACGCAGAACAAAAGCACTTCAGAGAGAAGGATAACTTGAAACAAACCCTATACCAACCCGTCTGGCCAGCGTGATATAGTAGGCCAAAACCTCCTTTCTAAGGAGAGGCCCAAGTCCAGCAGTGGACTATTAAAGGCTGTTGATGATGTGAAACTGAAAATGTTTGTGTACTTATAAAGCTATAGCGGGACGATACGACGGGATGGCGCAGTTGTTTGTGTAACGGACTGCTATTCCAAAGGTGTCGGGGGTTCGATTCTCGTTCAAGTCAAACATTTGTGTGCATGAACATGAAAAAAAAAAAAAAAAAGCTCTGCTTAGTTTGGGACTAGATGGCGTTGTGTGAATGTGGTACAATATTATTATTATTATGCATAATTATATTGGATCGCTATACAGAAGTATAGGGCCCAACTTTTCTCCCTCAAACTCTGGGGGGAGGACTTAAAGGGTCGCAACTAGGGATGGAATAAAATCACAACCACCTCTAATAAATCATATGATTTAAATACCGTATTGGTATTGGTTGTGGGCTTCGGTTTCCACATTTAGACTCAAGAGTGGTCCTCTATGCGTCGAGGACTGGTTAGCTGGGTGAGCCAACAAGCTCCTTCCAGAAGCGCAGAAGCCTCCTGGGGCGGTCACAGGCTTCTAGGAGCGATTTTGTCTCAAATTTAAATGTGACTAATTTAGAAAACCACTGCTAACGCTAGCGACAGACTCGCGAAAGGTCTAAATTTAAAAAGAATGGTCATAGTAAACAAATAAATACATACATTCCTTTTTTTGTAAATTTTTATATAAGAAAAAGTATTTATGTATTTATATCAGTTGTCTGGTAGCCATAGTACAAGCTCTGCTTAGTTTGGGACTAGATGGCGTTGTGTGAATGTGGTACAATATTATTATTCTCTTTATTAAATTATATGTACATATTAATTACATTTTTAAATATATTACAAAAGAAATAAAAATACATTTAAAAATATAAAAAATAGTAGACTACCGACATCGGGTACAGGGACCAGGACAACGGTGGTTAGGACTCCAAAGGTAGGAACCTCCTCATTATACGAGCCGTGTCAAGGAGGACTGCCTTCTGCATCAGACCCTTGATCTAGTCGTCCAACGTGAGCCTCTTAAGGTCTTAGTCTTTGATAATAAGGAAATTCAATATATTTGGTTTTTGACGTGACAACGTCTTATAATTCGATGGAGCCGGCTGTACGCACGAAAAAACATGACTCATGCGGCGTTACCTCGCTCTGAGGCGTTCCATTTAAGGCGTGAAGTGCAAGCGAGAGCGCGGAACGAGCGACAAAGAGGCACAATCGGCCTCCGCGTTCGGCAGCGTTCGACATCTGTCTAACAAATAAAATTAAAATTTTCTTTTGAAAAATGCAACCATTCCATTAGTATTTTCTTATGACGTTGTCACGTTCAACTATCGTCAGTAAACCGACTTTACAGACAACCGATTTTTTTCTTTGTTTAAGTTTAGATGGTGTGTGTATTATAGTAGTGATTTATCACAGGTGAAATCGCAGTAACTAAATCCAATCATTTCTGATGATTATGATTAAAACTTTGTAATGAACTTTTTTAGTAATAAACTTAAATTTTAACTTTATAATTAATTAAATTACATTCTGTAGGAAAACAATTATCAGTAATTGTTATTCATTATAAAATTCTTTGTGTGTGTCTCCAGGGTCACCAACTGCAGCTGTTGAAGGAGCAGGCTCAGCAGACCGAGGACTGGCTCGCCTCCAAGGAAGCCTTCCTCAATAACGATGATCTGGGAGAGAATCTCGATGGTAAGTGTGATACAGTCCGGTGCAAAATTAATGGCGGCTCGGAACATCAATGATAGACAGCAGCGGGACGTACAGGGGCGCGGGGGCAGGGTGACACACGACACGCATGCCTTTTACTGTGTGAGTTACATCCGTACACTGCGCATGCGCGCTTATGCCTCTCTACGTACAGTTGAGTCAAATTTCAAATTCTTCAAAATTCACGATCTTTATTTCATAAAAAAAATAGTTTAAAATCGTCTGCGGTATTTCCGGACCTTCAAGAAAAGAGCGTACTATTTCCTAAAAGGCCGCCGACGCGTTTGTGACTCCTGAGTTGCAGACGTTCATGGGCGGCGATGGTCACTTTCCATCAGGTGACCCGTCTGCTCGTCTGCACTCTCTAACATAAAAAATAACGTCTTTTATGTAGACTCTAGAGTCGTAGATCAACACACACACAATAGCAGCAATCTCTATTTTGTCAAATAGTAAGGTAAATATATATAATAAAAATAATGCTTATACAAAATCTATGATATGCCTGTGCCGATCTACAACCGCCCGTTTCCAAGGGGTTGAGCCTTATGAGAAGAAAGGGCAAACAAACTCATGGCCACTCTTTTGCAATTTACTTACAGTCGACTTGACTGAAAATTTATCTTGACATATTTTAAATAATAACAAAGATTATAAAAACCAGATATTTTTAACAAAAGTTTGTATTAATTTCTTCTCAGCCGTGGAGACGCTGATCCGCAAGCACGCCGAGTTCTCCAAGCTGCTGGACTCCCAGCTGGGCCGAGTGGACGAGCTGCAGCGGTTCTCTGCCAGCATGCTGGAGGACGACCACTACGATAGACCCTACATAGAGAAGAGAGTGCAGGAGATCCTCGCTAGGAGAGACAAACTTAAGGTCAGTGGACATATGTGTAGGCCGTGGGTATGTTAAGTTACGTTAAGACCACTCAAGATAGGAATATATCCTGTGTTGCGGAGGACTTTACAAACATACATGAAACGGACACAAAGAACACCCAGACTCAGAACAACAATTTTTGGCACAATTTTTTTTGTCCAATATGGGATTTGACCCCACAACACTTGGCGTAGTAGGAAGTGGCGTGGCGACCGCTTAAACCACTACGCCATCCGTGCAGTCAAGGTCAAGTCAGATGAGGATACTTAATAGAAATAATAGATATTGTTACGTGTTACGGTTCGTTATTTGGAATAAAATGCCTTGTGAGGTCTCTACAGATTTTATTTACCAATACATTTAAATCACATCAACAGCCTTTAATAGTCCACTGCTGGACATAAGCCTCTTCATAGAAAGGAGGTTTTGGCCTACTATACCACGCTGGCCAGACGGGTTGGTATAGGGTTTGTGTCAAGTTTTCCTTCTCTTTGCAGTGCTGTTGTTCTGCGTAGTTATTTCCCTTAGTCGGCTCTTACGACACCCACGGGATGAACAGGAATGATGACACTCCGTATTTTTAATCCATCACCACCCGGAGCATCAGGTTACCGGACTAACAAATATTGGCCCTTATGGCAAAAAATCTTATTAATAAAGATTCTCTAAAGATGTCTAGTTGTCTTTTCTTCTTCTTTCTCTGTTATCGCCTTCCCGTATAAATTGAACACTCTGCCTGATTGGTACTGATTGGTACACATTTATTTTACTTTTTACAGTAATACAAAGTTTACAGGTCGCCGTGTTCTTAATACGAACATTCTCGAAATCGTCTCTGTGGCCAATCACGTCGAATGCCATTCGGGCCAATCACGTTCGATTGCCATTCGGACCAATCACGTTCAAGTGCCATTCGGGCCAATCACGTTCGAGTGCCATTCGGACCATTCCCGTTCAAGTACCATTCGGGCCAATCACGTTCGATTGCCATTCGGGCCAATCACGTTCGAGTGCCATTCGGGTAATTCCCGTTCGAGTGCCATTCGGACCATTCCCGTTCAAGTGCCATTCGGACCATTTCCGTTCAAGTGCCATTCGGGCCAATCACGTTCGAGTGCCATTCGGGCCAATCACGTTCGATTGCCATTCGGACCATTCCCGTTCCAGTGCCATTCGGGCCAATCACGTTCGAGTGCCATTCGGGCCATTCCCGTTCGAGTGCCATTCGGACCATTCCCGTTCCAGTGCCATTCGGGCCAATCACGTTCGAGTGCCATTCGGGCCATTCCCGTTCGAGTGCCATTCGGACCATTTCCGTTCAAGTGCCATTCGGGCCAATCACGTTCGAGTGCCATTCGGGCCAATCACGTTCGAGTGCCATTCGGGCCATTCCCGTTCGAGTGCCATTCGGACCATTCCCGTTCAAGTGCCATTCGGGCCAATCACGTTCGAGTGCCATTTGGGCCATTCCCGTTCGAGTGCCATTCGGGCCATTCCCGTTCGAGTGCCATTCGGGCCATTCCCGTTCGAGTGCCATTCGGACCATTCCCGTTCAAGTGCCATTCGGGCCAATCACGTTCGAGTGCCATTCGGGCAATTCCCGTTCGAGTGCCATTTGGGCCAATCACGTACGATTGCCATTCGGGCAATTCCCGTTCGAGTGTCATTCGGGCCAATCACGTTCGAGTGCCATTCGGACCAATCATGTTTTAGTGCCATTTCGGGCCAAACGTTCGAGTGCGGAATAGTTCAGTGATTAAAGATTGAATGCGCGGTAAATTGAATACTAGTTGAAGCGTTAAAATTGTCCTTTACAAAAACATTCATAATATTACCAAGAATAATGCCAACTCTCTCAGTGTGATACTGGCTTGATGACGTAATGCCATTTCTAAATTTCGTAAAATTGTAACAACACGTGTTATTTTATCTCAGGAGTCGTGCAAGCTTCGAGGTGAGATGCTGGAGCAATCCCGTCAGCTGCACCAGTTCCTCAGGAACCTGTACCACGAGCGGGAATGGATCGCGCTTAAGATGCAGATTGCTAATGATCAGAATTACAGGTAAATATTTGACCTGTGACTCGCCATGGCTCTCGTGGATAATATTTTGTGGCTGTGGTGCTTCTCTGTTTAAAAAAGGTTTATGCCTATTTTAATTAATTTTGTCTCCCGCTTTTCTAAGGAGGGAAGTGGATTCCTTTTAAAATTTTAGATAAAACGTTGAATAAATTATATAAAACAGGTTAAAGTTATACATTGGAGATATTTTTTTCGTTTATTGTTATCAGTTTATTATTATTAGTATTTATTACACATTAGTCATAAGACCTACTGGTAAAATCATTATTATTGTGAGTTAGACTAGAAATTGATTTGAACAAGTATCAGTAACATGTATTTATGTTATTTGTAGGGAGCTATCAAACCTTCAGAGCAAGATACAAAAGCACTCCGCGTTCGAATCTGAGCTGGCGACCAACAAAGGACGTATCGATGACGTAGCCAACCACGGGGAGACGCTAATTGGTATGTTTACTGTTATAATTTTAAACAATAAAAAAAATACGGATATCCGGATAAGTACTGGCATCCGGATAAATCCGGATATTCTGGAATTTGCCACTATTATAAACCTAAATATATCCACTCTTCTGTATCAGCATGTTTAAGCTAGGGTCGACCATATATTTTAAGGACAGTACCAGGTGCTCCTCAGATATAACCGACCATAGCTTCGACGACCTGCTATTCAAAAGGTCGTGGGTTCGATTCCCGCTCAATTCAAACACTTTTGTGCATGAAATTGTAATGTTTGATTTGGTCTGGGTGTTTCTATGTATAATATGTATGTATTTACTAAATAAAAGTATATATGTATTTATATCAGTTGTCTAGTACCCATAGTACAAGCTCTGCTTAGTTTGGGACTACATGGCGTTGTGTGAATGTGGTACAATATTATTATTATAGCGTAATAATTAAAACATTAAAACAACGGACAGACAACACCAAAACTACGAAACTACATTTTATGAATACAAAACTTTGTCTCGCGGGAAACGAACCCCAACCCAACTATTTAATAATCTCTTTTTTCGCAGAGAGCAAACACTACGCGTCTCAAGAGATAGCCAAACATGTTGAGGAGTTGGAGAACCAGTGGCGGGAACTGCAGGCCGCTGCCAAACTGCGACGAGAGAGGCTTCAAGAGGCCTACCAAGCCAGAGTCTACCTCCGAGGGCTGGATGACTTCACAGCCTGGCTCGATGAAGTTGAAGCTCAGCTCTTGAGCGAGGACCACGGTTAGGATTGACCTTGAATACATACATATATGCGCTATTGTAAAAAAAACTAAAGGATTGGAGAACTGTGAATAAATTATCGGTATAATAACAATAAGGCCGGCAACGGGTTTGTGACTCCTGAGTTGCAGACGTTCATGGGCGGCGATAGTCACTTTCCATCAGGTGACCCGTCTGCTCGTCTGCCCCCTCTAACAAAAAAAAACATCATTTTCATCACACACTCACTCTCTATTTCCTATTCTCATTCAACTTGACTCATTCTCTCCTTGAAGAACATCAGGAGCTAAATATCAATTTCTCACCCTCAGGCAAAGACCTGGCATCAGTGACAGCCCTGCTGAAGCGACACACGCGATTAGAACAACAGGTGTTGAGCAAGGCCGACGTGGCCACGCAACTAGCGGACAACGCCCAACAACTCGCCGACAGCAAGCACTTCATGGCCCCGCAGATATTGAGTAAAGCGGATCTCGCTGTTAAAAGGTTTGTAGATGATATATCGATATATGTATATGATATAGCGGTTTACTATGGGGATCTTGTGTCAACTAGGGTGAATTTCCGTGCGTTTAGGCGATTCTGCCATACATATTATAGAAATCAAATATAGCTCACGTAGGACCCGTAATATTTTGTGGCCGTGGCGCTTCCCTGTTTAAAAGGGTGTATGCCCATTTTACTTCATTTTGTCTCCCGCTTTGCTAAGGAGGGAAGTGGATTTACTGTATTTCCAACTCCTCCAATTTTCTTCTGATTAATTTCGTTGCGGGTTCCAAGACAGTTTAATTTCTTCCTGGGACTTCCCGAGTGTCATAACTCGGTGTGTTCGTGGGTCACTGCTGTGGATCCTGGTGTACAGGAGTTACAGTGGTGGCCGTGTGGGTGGGATTAGTCCCATAAAAAAAAGATGATATATAAATAGTGAGATAGCAAAAAGATATCTCATACATTTTTATATGTAATTTAATAATAGTTTAGATATCCGGATATTCTATCAACGTCACTTACTAATTACAAATTTAGCTGTGTTGTCCGTGTAGTGACGGATTAAGAATACGGAATGTCACTACCCCAATTCATCCCGTGGGTGTCGTAAGAGCCGACTAAGGGGCACCAGCACCTCCAAAAGGAGGAAAACTTGACACAAACCCTATACCAACCCGTCTGGCTAGCGTGGTATAGTAGGCCAAAACCTCCTTTCTAAGGAGAGGCCTATGTCCAGCAGTGGACTATTAAAGGCTGTTGATAGCTGCGTTTTCAGTCCCTGGGAGCGGTTAAGCTTGATGTTACACAGTCTAAAATATTTTTCAATAAACAGCCTCTTATTGAAATAAGATTTATTTAAATCCGATTGATAGTTCCAGAGATTGAGATATAGAAATAGGTTATGCCTAAGCGGTCGTATCTTTTTTAGGGTACCGTACCCAAAGGGTAAAACGGGACCCTGTTACTAAGACTCCGCTGTCTGTCCGTCTGTCACCAGGCTGTATCTCATGAACCGTGATAGTTAGACAGTTGAAATGTTCACAGATGATGTATTGCTGTTGCCCGCTATAACAACAAATACTAAAAAAAGAATAAAATAAATATTTAAGCCGTTTTTATAGATGATGGTACGGAATCCTTGGCACGCGAGTCCGACTCGCACTTGGCCGCTTTTTTTTTATGATAACTTAGTATTACTTTACAGCGTCAAGGGTTTTAATTTCAACTCGATAAAGGGTCTTGACAGACAGACAGACGAACAACAAAATGATCCTATAAGGGTTCTGTTTTTTTTTTCTATTGGAGGTACGGAACCCTAAAAACAAAAATAATGTCTTACTACAGTTAAAATATACCCTCGTCCATAAAATACACAGCAACCCTTGACTTAACCTCATCATCCCTCAGATACCGCCAGCTACAAGAGCCAATGCAGATCCGTCGCGATAACCTCGAAGATGCTGCATTACTCCACAGATGGGATAGAGATGCAGATGAAGAATTCAGATGGTAAGTCATTCTCTTACTGATAAACACAAATTGCAAAGTGAAGCAATCCTAGCCAGGTCAGTCTATGGATGGGTGACCATTCTTAAAACATTGAGGAGCACGTTAAGTCTTTCGCGGTTGCCATATGGACATCAGTGCCAATCGTTACGGGTACTTGGAGCCCTAAAAAGTTCGACAACAGTGAAGTCTATCTACAGAACTTCATAGACATAGGACATAGACTATAGTCCATGAACGTCGTGCGCGACCGTCCTGCGGGGTGACAGACGGTGGCGGGGACGAGGTACTCATGATGTCAGCGGGTAGCGGGTGGTGTAGACTATAGTCCATGAACGTCGTGCGCGACCGTCCTGCGGGGTGACAGACGGTGGCGGGGACGAGGTACTCATGATGTCAGCGGGTAGCGGGTGGTGTAGACTATAGTCCATGAACGTCGTGCGCGACCGTCCTGCGGGGTGACAGACGGTGGCGGGGACGAGGTACTCATGATGTCAGCGGGTAGCGGGTGGTGTAGCGGGGAAGGGAAACACTTCTCTTCGTGTGTAGCCGTGTGCTAGAATAACATAATATAATATAATAATATAATATATCTCACACACTCACACACGGCCGTCTGATCCCAAACTAGGCAGACCCTGTACTATGGTAACCAGACTGCTGATAAACATACTTATATATTCCTAAATACATACATATTATAGATAAATTACACCCAGACACAGAACAAATGACCGTGCTCATCACACAATATTTGTCCTGGGTGGAAATCGAACCCACGACCTCCGGTTTAGCAGTCAGGGTCACTAACCACTAGACCAACAGGCCCGTCAAAGAATGAATGACGCGCTACCTCGCCCCCGCCACTGTCTGTCACCCCCCGGGACGGTCGCGCACGAGATTGCCGGGTTATAGACGCAGATGGGTGAATTTTTGTTCTTTATTTACTCTGCGCTGTTTTCTTCTTACATTCTGTATAATACTATACCCTAGACTGATAAAGGAATCAAAATAATTAAGGTCTTTCGACAGAACTTCGATATCGTTTAGTACTTGGGTATTGGAGCTCTGATGGAAGTCGCTCCGTGTAAGAAATTAAAAGCCGTGTTTTAGTAGAGTTAAAGCCGACTCCAACTTAGAGAAATAGGCTCAGAAGAAGAAGATTTGATAACTTAAGCTAAATCTAGAATGTATTTTAGGATGCAAGAGAAAGCGTTGGCTGTGAAGCAGGAAGAAGCTGGCGCCACTCTCGCTGAATCCCAGGCATTGATGAAGAAACATCTCGCTCTCGAAGCTGAACTTATTTCAAGGTATATAGTTTTTAAGTGATAAATTTTGACTTTGATAGCAATTGTTAATGAAAGGGGGAAAGGTCGCGGATACGGTGCTCGTTTAAAGCAAATATTTGTGTGTATGGACATATTTATTCTAAAAAGAGAGATGGAGGAAGGTTAAAAGATATTTTTACTTATTCTAATATTAGACCGAATGCGCCGATTATAATAATAATAATCTCCCACATTTTACACGTTGGCTGTCGGATCCCAAACTAGGCAAACCCTGTGCTATAATAACCAGACCAGGTGGAAGTAAATAACACCCACATAGATCAAATGATCGTGATCATCACACGATAATTTGTCCTGAGAGTTAATCGAACCCAAGACCTCTGGCTTAGCAGTCAGAATCACTTACCACTAGACCAGCAGGCCTGTCGAAAAAATGTTGGTTATTATAATTCGTTTGAAACTTGAGATTTGAACGTTAATTTTGACAGAGAGCCGTCAATAAAGGCGTTGATAGGTCGCGCGTCCCAGCTGTCCCGGCGCGGGCACTTCGCGTCGGGCGAGCTGGAGGCGCGCGCGCGGGACCTGGCCGCCGCCTTCCGCGCGCTGCTGGACGCCGCCGCCGCCAGGACACAGCTCATACAGGAGCGCTGCGAGCTGCTGCAGGTCAGTGCTGATGGCGTGGCGACGCGTCGCCACCGCACTACAGATACTGAATATTAAATTTTTAATTTATTATTTCCTTTCCTAAGCTATCCTTTTATACTCATTATTTCTACAAAATAGTTTTGATGTTTCATATCTACCAAACGTCCTGCGAAGACTCTAGTTTATTTTTTAATCAAGAAATATTGAAAAATGCAAATCCGTGTTCTAAAGCACACGGATCAAGCTATGTTTAATTTGAAACTAATGGTGTGTTATGTGTCACAGAATATATAATAGTTAAGAGAGAGCTGGAAAAGCCAGGCTCAACTCAAACTCAAACCAAAAATATATTTATTTCATAAATTAAAAATAATAATTGAAATCGTCTCTTGTGTAGACTCTAAAGTCATAGATCAACACACACAATAGCAACAATCTCTGTTTTGTCAAATATTTAACAAAATAAATACCTAATTAATATTATTTAACGGGAATTAACGCGATCTCTTATTTAGGGTATTACATACCTCTGGTTTGCCTGACGTTTCGACCAGGTTGCACCGGCCGTGGTCACAGGCTGACTCAAATAAAAGTTAAATAATATTAATTATCATGGAACGCGAAAGTTTAAAAGTTAGTAAATAAATACCTATCGAAAATCTATGATATGCCTGTGCCGATCTACAACCGCCCGTTTCCAAGGGGATGAGCCTTATGAGAAAAAAGGGCAAACAAACTAAGCCCTCCCTTATACCTTATTTAGGGCCAACTCACTTGTAACTGAGTTGTATATGTCAATGGCCCTTTTTTTTTGATGGGGTGGAAAATCCCTTCGGATCTCCTGCTCCTCGGGGCTAGGAGCTAGGAGTATGTGGTGATTCCACTAGAAACCACCCCGACGGCCGGCCTCAGGTGCCCTACTCTGGGAGGACCTGGACCATGTTATTTCAGGTCCTCCCCGAATTGACACCATGCCTAGTCAGGCTCTATCCCAGGGGAAAATCACTTCCCCCCTAGATGTCAATGGGCCTAGCTAATCAGTTACCATTAAAACACCTACCTATATCTTAAACAATAAAATACCGATATTTTTTCTTCTTGCAGCTTGCATCAGAAATAACAGAAGCTGAAACCTGGCTCTTAGAACGCCGACTGTCTCTGGTCTCCTCGGATGTTGGGCGGGACGAGGATTCGGCGCTGGCGCTCGTCCGCCGGTTGGAAGCCACGCAGAGAGAACTCACCGGGTTCGATGCAACGGTCGTGAAACTGGAGAAGACTGCTAGTGGTCTGATGGTGAGTCTTATATTCTCAAAGAGCTTTTGCAGTAGTTAGCAGAAGAAAGAAATCTTTTTTTTTTAAATAACCAAAGACAAAAACAATAATTCCGGTCTTACATCGTTACAAATAACACACAGATCGCATAAATTATTGTTATAATAAAAAAGATAAATAAAATTAATTACCGTTGTGGTTTTACATCCCTCCAACACAAAGGGTTGATCACCCGATGAGGCGAGGTAATCGTGCCTGGCGGGCCATAAATATATTATATCGGGCGGGCGGTATGTAAACCAATCAGCCTAAAGATTAGCAGTTACTCCGTGGTTTACAAGTGACGTCACAAGTTGCTATTCCGTATAACTACTCTATAGAACATACTGTTTTGACCTTTGATAAAGCGGACCTGGTTTGACTCGCCAGTCAATTTGACGTCTTAGATTGTTCCTGGTGTAGTGTACGATGACACCATACAGTATTGCCGAACAAACGGTGGTTCCATTAATAACTTACTTTTAGAATTGAATCCAAGATATATCAGTCTAATTCTTTTACCGACTTCCTAACTTCTACATGGTCCTTCGAGCCGGATGAATGGATTGTTTTATACTTATACAAACTCATTTTTCTTTCCTTCTGTTTAGGACCGAGCCACTATTGATGGAGAACAGGTCAAGATGAGGATGAATGAGCTGAAGACCATGTACGAAGACATGAAGCTGTTATCAGCTAAACGCCAGCAGCGATTACAGCAGAGCTTGAAATATTTCAAGTAAGTATAAATACCAACCCGTCTGGGCAGCGTGGTATAGTAGGCCAAAACCTTCTTTCTAAGGAGAGGCTTATGTCCAGCAGTGGACTATTAAAGGCTGTTGATGTGAAGTATAAACATTCCGACTTTGGCTAAAATGATTATATGTTTTAACTCTTACACAGATACATACATTCACGCCTGTATCTATAAAGGATAGGCAGAGATGTATTTTTCAAACTAAAATTTTGCTACCACCCACGTGATAAACAAGCTTATTGCTGTTTGCCGGGTATTTGGGAATGGGAAAGGTAGTTAAAAAAAAACAGGGCTAGAGAAAAGGGTATGGGCTAACGTTTATCCAGTAGAAACATAATGAACGCAAGTCACAAGGTAAAAGCTAATTTTTTTACTTACTATAAAAAGGGCCGTGTGGTGATGGATTAAGAATACGGAATGTCATCACCCCTATTCATCCCGTGGGTGTCGTAAGAGGCGACTAAGGGAACAATGTAAGGAGGACAACAGCACTGCAAAGAGAAGGATAACTTGACACAAACCCTATACCAACCCGTCTGGATAGCGCGGTATAGTAGACCAGACTATTATATGTCGATGATGATGTGGGCGGCGGTAGTCACTTTCCATCAGGTGACCCGTCGGCTATTTAGGACTCTATAACCATAACAAATGGATGTACATTAAAAAGTCGCCGGAGATCTCTCCCGCAAACAAAACGGGCTAAGATTGGCCCCAGATAATAACCTTTCTTTGTCTTCTTCAGATTCGTCCAGGAATGTGAGGAAGTACAGGAATGGATAGGTGAGCAGATGGCGACAGCTGCCAGCGAGGAGTACGGTCTGGACGTGGAACATGTGGAGACGCTGCAGCAGGCCTTTGATAACTTCCTGGCACAGTTACATGGTATGTAGACGATATATCTACTCGTAAGAGTGATGAATTTGATGAAAGAGCTGTGCTTCGGCAGAAATAAGCTGGTGGTTGTGATACCAGGGCCTCACAGAAAACTGGTGTAAAGCAGTTCTTTCCTTGCTGTTCCCCGCTTCCTACTACGCTGAGTGTTATAAATAGTTATATTATCAATGTATTTCAACCCAAACTCAACCCTCGTGTACACGGGGCCAATATAGGTAAATACTTATATACAGAGGTGTCGGTAACGGTAACAGTGTCGCGAGTTCAATGGGTTTTTCGCATCTCAAAAAATACATTTGTCCATTGTTCAAAAATGCCCAACGCACTTAAAGAAGATTTCACTTCAAAATTCATGATAAATGTTGTGGGAGGGCTATGGATGAGCTTACAGTAACTATGTGTATTATTCTACAGCCAACGAAGGTCGTATTGAAGGAGTTTGCGAAGCAGGCAGCGTTCTGCTAGAAGAGAATACTCCAGAAGCAGACAGAGTTAAGCAGAGGATAGATGACATTAAGGGACTGTGGGATGACTTGAAGGAGTTAGCTTTGGCCAGACAAGAGGTGAGGATCATTTTGATAAATGATAATATTTTTATGCTCGCTTGCTTGGTAGCGGGTTCGATTACCGATTTTATGTATAAATAGCTGTGCACCCGCGATTTATGAGATATTTACTCATCCCACGGGACCACAATATTCTTTCGGGTTAAAAGCCTCGGTGTCAGCTACCTCCATACCAAATTTTATCAAAATTGGTCGAGCTGGTAGATCGTGAAGAAGGAACGAATATACAAACATACACTCACAAGCTATCGCTTTTAGTGTGAAATGTGTAAATTAAATAATTGTCAATATAAGGGTTCTAGAGCACACACAGTACAATCTATGCTTGGTTTAGGTCTAGATAACGATGGCTGTCATACGCTCCATGGCCGGTAGTGATAGTTGTTTTACCGCGGTCGTATCCTCGCAGAAGGAGGCGGCGGAGAGGGCCCGGGAGGATAATCTCCACTCGGACCCAATTCGCCGCCTCCGAACCGGGTAGTCGGAGACGCTCATACCAGCGCCTCATACAGCCCTAAGTGTGGCCGCGGATGGACGGGACGGGTTTTCCCCTCCACCCGTCATAACGACCAGCCGCGAGGAGAGGCGCTAAATAGAGAATACACCGTGTGGTTTTAGTCGGTCCGATTCCGACAAGCACCAGACCGACCACCCCGCCGTAAACTCCGGTGGGGTGTCGGCCTGAGGGGGTTTCACCGATAACGAAGAGAACAGAAAGAGAGTCACAGAATATTCTTATTAATTGTCATTTGTACTTTTGTTCGTTAGGCGTTGGCAGGCGCCCGCCAGGTGCATGAGTTCGACCGTTCGGCTGAGGAAACAGCGGCCTGGGTGGCAGAGAAGGAGTCGGCCCTGGGAGACACCGCACCCCCACGGGAACTGCATGAGCTCCATGCGCAGAAGAGGATGCTGAGCGCGCTCAGCGCCGACTTGGACGCCATTAAGCATGCACACGATAAGCTGCAGGAGGAAGCTGTCAGGTAATTTGAATAGAGAATTAATAAAATCTCAGAGACTTAGCTTTTGTGGACTTAATATTTATTTCATTATGCCACTAAATAATATGGTCCTTCGAGCCACCAAACAAGTACGTTACTGAATCAACTTATAATTTTTCTTCTCTTTTAAATACAGACTCGGCACAGCCTTCCCCGACGCGAAGGAGCACGTAACTTCAAAACTGGAGGACGTTACGGAGTCGTTGACGACCCTGGTCTCTTTGACCCAACAGTGCAGCCAACAGCTGGAACTTGCCGAACAGTTGCAAGCTTACTTCGATACTTACCATGAGTTACTGTAAGTAAACAAACCTTGTCCAAAAGTAACCTAGAATCATCATCACTGCTCTTCTCCTAAGTATTGAAGCGTGATGGTAAACTTACATAACCTTCCTCAAAGATTAGACTATCAAATGCGAAAATAATAATTCCAATTATAAAAGTTCAAGTAAACAAACTAACTTTTAATAAACTAAAAACTAAATTTTAGTATAGATAATTCTGTTTATCTGTTGTTCTGTGTCTTTCTGAGCTTTGGATCTGACCACATTTTTCTATTCCTCTATTGAAACTCCCAAAGCTTTTGATACTTATGCTAACAACTTATCTTCAGGGCGTGGACCAACGAAACCCTAGCCAGAGTAACTGCTCCAGAGCTGGCCAGCGATGTCTCTGGTGCTGAACGTCTTTTGGCTCGTCACCGAGACATACATGTAGAGATCCAGGCTAAAGAAGATGCTTTCAACACCTTGTACAGTGATGGTAAGTTCTTTGTAAATACGGTGTTCTTCAAGGGCCTACAGTGGGTCCATTCTTGTGAACAATGCTTTATTATTCAATTAACCAGAATGAGATTATAAGAGAACAGAAAAAGAGAATGACGTGGGAGAGCCATGATTTAGCTCGACCGCAGTGATGCCACTGTCTCACAGAAAACCGTTGTTATACAATTTTTGAGTGAATAAGGTTACCGAAGGCTTGTCATCTGCTTTAGGCTTTTAACATTAAATTTCTACCTTAAAGTCTTATATGTTCTTCGAGGATTTATTCTTGGACATTTACCCTACTTTTTCCTGTGTGGAACTCCCTTAGGATCTCCCGACCAAAAACCGTACGCCGTCTCCAGGTACCCGTAGCCATGGAACTAGGTATAGCCTAGAAAGGAAAGCCCTGGTCACAGGAACAACTACCCCTAATTCTTACAGGTCGGGAGACCCATTCATTATTTCTCGTTTCGATAATACTCTTAGGCAGTAAATATTAGAATGGAATTTTAACGGTCTTCAAAAAAAGAAGGAAAGTTGTTTTTTTTTATTGGGGTTTTTATTTACATGGATACGTCAACCCCGTCATGCCTTATGCGATCTACATTCAATACATTCTTAAAACTAATAAGAGAATAGAAATACTAATCAATGAATTAAACCAATTGACTAAATCTTTTTGCCACTTCTGGTTGAACTTTGTGTATTTTTTACCTCAAAACTGCGTAATTTTTGAACCTTAACCTTACCTTTCGTCATAATCACCCCAGGTGAGAAACTGGTGAAAGAAGGTCACTTCATGTCAAACGAGATAGAAGAGCGTATGTCACATTTGCGCTCGCGCAGATCTCAGCTGGATGGCGCGTGGTCCAACCGGGAGAAGATTTACACACAGCATCTGGACGCGCTCGTCTTCAAGAGAGATGCTGATGCTCTGGATAACTGGATCACGAACCGGTGAGGAGATCTAACAGCTTTTTTGTTTAATAGTTTTATTATTATTTGTTTAAATTACGAAAAAATTTATGAGAAAAATTGAATTCTTTGTATTTTTATGTATTACTAGCTGAGACCCGCGGTGTTACCCGCGTTTGTTGTTATAACCGCGGGCAACGCCGCGGGGCGAAGCTAGTCTAAAAAAAGTAGCCTAAGTTACTCCTTATGTCATCAGCTATCTGCCAGTGAAAATTCCGTTGAAATCGGTCTAGCCGTTCCAGAGATTACCCGGAACAGACAGACAGACAAAAATTGTAAAAAATGTTATTTTGGCATATGTACCGTGTAAACATACATATGCATTTAGTAAAAAGCGGTTATTTTAATATTACAAACAGACACTCCAATTTTATTTATTTGTATAGATTTATCGATCGCAGAAATTATTTAAAACTTTATAAGTATAACACGCTTACCAAGTTAATTTAAATTACAAAACCAGACATTTATGGAAATACCAAATTAAAAATACGTAATGTAGAAAGCTTATGGATGTTAACAACTTAATTTAGGTTTAAATACACACACACAAACACACAACTAGACACACACACACACACACACACACACACACACACACACACACACACATACGCACATGCACACGCAAAATTATCAAAATATCTTTTGTAAGTATTGTTCAATGTTTCTTTGTATGTATTGTATCATGTTTTTGGGAAGGAACTGATCCCCGATATACAGCTCACGCTGGTTTAGGAATCATTGCTTATACTTGAATTATATGCATCATTTGTTACAATAAAGAATTTATTCTTATTATTATTAAATCTGAATAAACTTCTAACATAGGGGAGAGTAACCACTATTGAACCCGCGCTTAAATTGAACCACTTCTGTATTTCTACCAAAATGGCACTATTTTTTACACTAGCAACAAAAAAAGGAGCACTAGCAGCGCCACTAATACTCCGCCATTTTGTAGCGGTCCTTTTTGTGCCAGTATACTAAACCAAATAGTGCCATTTTGGTAGAAACACAGAAGTGGTCCAATTTAAGCGCCGGTTCAATATTGGTTACTCTCCCCTATATTCTGAGACTCAAAATTAGTCGATTTCTCAGTCAGTTTCTCAGAAGGTATTTAGAAGTGGGACCCGTGGCACTAAGGAGCTCCTTATCAAAGACCATTAGCCAGCAGATGCGTCGTAAGAGTCTGGCGAAATGTTGGATAGACTATAACAAGGCTTATGACTCGATTCCACATACATGGCTTTCAAAAGTGGTGGAATTGTATAAAATCGATACAACTCTGAGCACTTTCTTGGATTCATGTATAAGGCAATGAAGAACAGAATAGAAAATTGTATTTTGAAAATATGGGTAATACATGATAGGTGTGGCAGAAGCTCAACCATATTTTACCAGTGGCGTGCAAATTTTTTTTATATTAGCCTAAGAAACATGCTTTTAGACTCAATCCGCAATAATATTAATTTTAAGTCTTAAAATCTTATATATAAAATTCCCGTGTCACAATGTTCGTTCCCGTACTCCTCCGAAACGGCTTGACCGATTCTCATGAAATTTTGTGTGCACATCGGGTAGGTCTGAGAATCGGCCAACATCTATTTTTCATACCCCTAAATGGTAAGGGTGACCCATCCCTAATTTTTTTTTGTTTTGCAATACAACGTTTGCCGGGTCAGCTAGTTAGGTAATAAAAATCAGTAATGACACAATAGTAAACATACAATACAAACTCCACACTAGACATCAAGATAATATCCATATCATATCCATAATCATAGCACTTAAATCAAAAAAAAAACGATAAAAATTATGTTACACTGTTGTAAGTTTTATCTACTAGAAATTTACGTAGTCTACTCTTGAACACAACTGTTCCCAAATCTTCGCTATCCAAGATGTCGGCAGACTGCGGTAAACGATGTACTCTCAGCTACTAATAATTTTATCAAAATTGGTCCAGCCGCATGATAAAATAACAAAAAAATCACAATATTTCGCTTTTATTATTACCAGAGTGCCATTGGTTCGTGACGGCAAGTACGGAGAGAGTGTCGCTCAAGTAGAAGAATTGATCAACCGCCATAGAGATCTAGAGGAAACCATAGATGCACAGAAGGACAAGTTCAACGCTCTCAAGAGGATTACTCTAGTAAGTATTACACACCACTGAGGACCAGCGCTGACCGAGAGGATATTTTTAAAACACTCGAAAATAAACTTTAAAACTATTGCTATAAAGTGCATATACATGGACTTCGGCCGCGGGAACAGTTTTGATGTCGTGTTCAAACATGTATGGACTTTATCACAGTAGTTTTAAAGTTTATATTCGGGTGTCTTAAAAAATCCTCTACGTTGCGCTGGCAATAAGTTGAACAATACGTGTTTGGAATTTATGCCCAACTTTCCTGTCTAATTTTAAACTGTGGAACAATGCTGGTTAATTTTTTGCCACTATTTAGGTAGAACAAGCGTTCCAAGCGCAGCGTAACGAAGAAGAAGCGGCCCGGAGAAGAACAGCCGAACGGCAAGAGGCTGAACGTTTACAGCAGTATAGAAAGAGAGAGATGGAGAGGATTACGGAAGAGAGGAGAAGAGAGACTGCTCCACCTGTACCTATAGCTATAGAACGAGAAGTAAGTATCTATATATATGAAGAAAATGCCCCTGAAACCTGAAAATCTCTTTTATAAATATGGCCCACAGAAGCAAATTACATTTAAAATACTACTAAAATACAATCATTGTATGTAAAAAATATGTAAATATGTTAAAAACAATGAAACTGTAAGAGTCCAGTATAAATATGTCCTGTTATACTACAAAAGTATACGTAAAAGCAGTTCAAGTTACACTGGTCGTTAAAATAGGACCTTCAAAACGGTCGATATTTCGAATATCGATTATCGATATCGAATATCGATAAGCCGATTTACACAAAAAGATAGGGTCATATTTTAGAAGGATATTGAAGAACCGGATGTCCGGATAGTATCCGGATATTCCATGAACATGTTTTGTTTTACATGGATATTTTTAAATGAAAATATATTAAGCGAGAATCTAACCCGCGACACTGCAATCAAATGCACTACTGCGCTTTTAGACACGTTTCCAATCCTATGCTTTTTTATTGCTTGATATAGACTGAACGTGAGCGTCTCGTGGGTTCCGTGGTCCCCGCCTCCTCAGAGGAGAATATCACCCCCGCCCCACAGTTCGACAGACTACCCAAAAACGAACACAACGTGAAACGCGCCGAAAGCATGAGTGTAAGTAACTTATATTGGGTTCTGTATATAACAATCAATTAAAATATAATAGTGACTTCAATTCGACTTTTTTAAATCATGAAAAATTTCTACGAAGGGGTCGTAGAAATTTTTCAACAGCCTTTAATAGTCCACTGCTGAACATAGGCCTCTCCTTAGAAAGGAGGTTTTGGCCTACTATACAACGCTGGCCAGACGGGTTGGTATAGGGTTTGTGTCAAGTTTTCCTTCTTTTTGCAGTGCTGGTGTCATGCGTTGTTTGCGCTTCCCTTAGTCGGCTCTTACGACACCCACGGGATGAATTGGGGTAGTGACATTCTATATTCTTAATCCGTCACTACATGGACAAAGGCTTCTTTACCATTACAAAAAACATTACCACAAAGAAAAACCTTCATAAATAAAAGTCTACCAAAAAATCAGATTTTGTAATAACAGCGATATATATGATTTTAATTGTTTCAGGTTGTAAAGACACCTAAACGTACCCCATCGTTCACGACCAGGCGTCGAACCCAAAGCTTCCGCAGACACAGGCACGGCGACATTGCTGAATTACCACCTGTTGAAATAGAAGGTAACTATCATTTGTGATATGTCACGATACAAAAGACAACGGGAATAAAAATGAAAGAGAAATAGAGATAAGAAAGAGAAAGAGATGGGTAATAAGAGAGTAGGAGGAGAGAAAATGTGATTAAGACAAAAGAAAAGCGGTAGAAGGGGAGACATTTAGCCTTTTAATGTTATAGACACAGTGATAAGGAATAGTTTTTCTTCTATTCCTTTGAAGAGAGATATGTAGAGAATGGGCAGGAGGGAGATGAGTCATTTCAATATTTTACGTCATATTTTTCATACATTTTATTCCATATAAACCCATTAGATATCAATAAATTTATGTATGTATGGTCATTCATCCCGTGGGTGCCGTAAGAGCCGAACAAGGGGGCAAACTACGCAGGACAACAGCACTGCAAAACTTGACGCAAACCCTATACCAACCCGTCTGGCTAGCGTGGTATAGTAGTCCAAAACCTCCTCTTTAAGGAGAGGTGTATGTCCAGTTGTATGATGTATATATTGTATGTGCCCCCCTCCCCCTCGTCAGGCTACCTGGAGCGCAAGCAGGAGGCAGGCTGCGGTGGTAAGCGCGCGACGGTCCGCTCGTGGCGCTCCTACTACTCCGTGCTGTGCGGCCAGCTGCTATGCTTCTTCCGCGATGAGCTGGACTTCGCCAGCGCCAAGGCTGCGGCTCCTCCTGTCGCCATCCTCAATGTGAGTATATCGTATCAAAATTCATATAAAAGCAGTTCCACTTCCAGTAATTAAAAACAAAACTCTTGACCGTGGGAGAGCCATGCTTCGGCACGAATGGGGAGGGACTCCAAGGGTGGCAATGCACTTGTGACTCTGAGTTGCAGGTGTCCATGAGCGGCGGTAGTTGCTTACCATAAGGTGACCTATCTGCTCGTTTGCCCCCTTATACCATAAAAAAAAACATATAGGTCCAGCCGTTTTCTAGTGATTCAGAGTATTTCATTCTTATTTATACTAATGATGCCGTATTCCCCCCAGGCCCGGTGCGAGCCAGCTGGCGACTACACAAAGCGCGCTCACGTGTTCCGCCTGGCGTGTGCTGATGGCGCTGAGTATCTCTTCGCCTGCTCCTCCAAGGACTTGATGAAGGTACGTACCACACATGTACACCAGATTACATACAAATAAAAAGCAAAATTATGGTATATGAGTGAAGTTAAAAATAAAATACGGACTGTCTGGCCAGCGCGATGTAGTAGGCCAAAACCTTTCTAAGGAGAGGCCTAAGTCCAGCAGTGGACTATTAAAGGCTGTTATATGAGTAATATTAAATATCAACTTTATCTTCAGGACTGGGTAGCCAAGCTGTCGTTCCACGCGCAACTGCCTCCTGAACTTCAACTAACTCCGTACTCCGCTGTACCTCCTGGCGAGTCACCTACAGCGGAGATGAGGAGAAGACTGCACGAGTAAGTAGTAGAAAGACCGACTGTTTCTGTTCTTAAGAAATCCATGGTCATTGTAATTCCTCATATGCTTATAAGAAGAGAAAAATCCTTCTTAAGTAAGAGTGTATCCTCATCGACCAGAAGAGCACCAGTGAAGACCCATTGTCTTAGATAACCATTAAGTCCCATTACGCTTAAGTAAAGAAAACCCGTCAGCATAGATAACAACTTTTTATTCATCACCCAGGAACGCATCATCTTCATCATCACCGACGTCATCCCCCGAGCCGCGACACAAGCCGCGCTCTCAGGCTGAGATCCTGCAGGAACACCGCATCAGTCAGCAGGAACAGCGCGTCAGTCAGCACGAACAGCGCTCAGCACAGCCCTCACAGCAAGACAGACCAGACAGGACCAGTCAACATGATGTACACAGAGTTAGCAGTATACAGGAGAAAATCGGTATGAGAGACACATTCTACTCCTATTTTAATAATAAAAAAAAAGCCGTGTGGTGTCGTGGGACACCCGATAGGAACGAAGTTGTGACGATCGAGTTAAACTGATTCGACACGATTTTAATTACAACGCCATCTATGAAAGCGGCTATTACCTACATATTTTTCAGTTGGTTTCTAATTAAAACAATTTATACATTGGTAAAATCTCCTTGAGAAATGATGTCGAATACAATATTTTTTGCTCAACCTAAGAACATAAATTTTAATTTTACTGAGATGAAAAGCAATGATTTCTTATCTATTCGATAGATGACGCTGAATGACTGACAAGTGACAATTCAAAATAAAAAGTGTCGTTACAACTTTTCGTGAGATTTTTTTCCGTCTAGCCCCCTTTCACATCGCGCGATAAGGAACTTCCTTCCAATAACCTCACACATCTCACACACGGCCGTCTGATCACAAACTAGGCAGAGCCTGTGCTACGGTCACCAGACTGCTGATAAACATACTTATATATTTAGGTGGGTGATGACACGAACAAAATAAAAGGGTGTGGTTCTGACCATCATATTAGTGGAATTTACGTTAGAAATTTCTAAACATAAACCATTATAAACATTTATGTGTATACTTGAGACCTCTATGTATATATGTAGTTATGAATATAGTATTTTATTTATAGTATTTATAGTAGTAGTGTATATATGTAAGTTAGATTTATCCTACATTAATAAGTTTAATATAAACAAGTAAAATTCTCTGTTTTCTCTTGCACCTACAGCTTTATTTTTCTACATCACCCGAAGGTCGACTGGCAGAGAAAGCCTTGGGCATTAAGTCCGCCTTTGTACAACTAGTGCATTAAGTTAAATAAATAAATATAAACATTTAAAAAAACATGAAAAATTATGTTTTTTTTTTTCTCAGAATCTTCTGTACTCCCCTCCCTACCGCCCCGACAACCCCCACCAGAGGAAGACGCCACCGATGTTATACTCAGGTAAATATTCTACATCATCAATACTAGCTGGTGCCCGAGACTTCGTCCACGTGGAATTTAAAAAGCGCTGCCATAGTGAGTTCGATTCCCGGACCAGGCAAAATTTCATAGTGTTTTTCCGAGAGCAAAAATAGCCTAAGTTACTCCTTATACAGACAGCTACTTGGTAGTATAATATTATCAAAATTGGTCCATCCGTTTTAAAGATTACCCGGAACAAACAGACAGACAGACAAAAAATATTTAAACTGGTTTTTAGGCATAGGTAGCGGTAAAATTAACATAAATTTTGGTACTTATAAATTTTCGCGAAAATAGGTAAACCCTCGGCGTACGAGTTCGACTCTTACCTGACCGGTTTTTTTTTAGTATCTTCTAACTTGTATTTCGGAAAAATAACCTTCAGATGTTTTATCCTTCAGAAGACTTTAGAATAGAGATCTGCTGTTCTCTACCAAAAACTATTTTTTTTTTTTTAATAAAACCATGTCATATCACCAGGAATACAGAACAGACTTCCAGCGCTTGGGGCAGATCGCGGTTCTCAAACGGCAGAGACATCAACGCTGAATTTATTCGTTCACAAAGAGACGGTAAGCACACATCTTCTAGTAATATTTTTGTTTATAATACTTAAATTTATTCCTGAATTAACGCAATCGTGTAAAAAGTACAGAACCTGGTCAAAATGTCAGGCAATCACACGGCCGTCTGATCCCAAACTAGGCAGAGCCTGTACTATGGTAACCAGACTGCTGATAAACATACTTATATATTTCTAAATACACACATATTATAGACTAGCTGACCCGCGCAACTTCGTCTGCGTCTCTCAATAGTAATAAATTTTCTCCGTTTTTGAAACATTCTTCATTGGTGCTCCGCTCCTATTGGTCTTAGCGTGATGATATATAGCCTATAGCCTTCCTCGATAACTGGGCTATCTAACACTGAAATAATTTTTCAAATCGGACCAGTAGTTCCTGAGATTAGCGCGTTCAAACAAACAAACAAACTCTTCAGCTTTATAATATTAGTATAGATAAATTACACCCAGACACAGAACAAATGATCGTGCTCATCACATCATTATTTGTCCTGGATGGGAATTGAACCCACGACTTTTGATTCAGCAGTCAGGGTCACTAACCATTAAAATAAACAGGCCTGTCAATACATATTTTTTTAAAGGTCTACTAGCAACTGAAATTACTAGTATTCAAGTTAACCCCTCCCGTTAAGCTAGGAGTGGGTTCACGTCGGTAGTGTACTGGTCAGGATTTGAACCCACGACCTCTTGATGTCAAGTCCAACGCCTTAACCACTAGGCTACCGGCGCTCAAAAAGCTGAAAGCTTATTACGTGATCGCGTTAATTCTCGAATATATTTTATAAAGAATAACATACACATACGTTTTAATAAATAACAAGAAATAAAATATTTATTTAAAGCTTTCTTGTGATCGTCTTGTCTTGCTATATCAATGTGGTATGTTATAGTCAATTTATTTTGTCGTCGAAACTCCGAAAAACATGCCAAAATGTTGCCAAACTCCAAAAATGTTTCCGAACCTTTCTCATTCTCAATTTAGGTAAATTTAATACAAATAATATTATGCAATTTAAAACATAACTATTTTATTTAAGAAACTTATCACCCTTTAAGAAAATAATCAATGCAGGTGATTAGACGCGGCACATTTTTGTTTGAAATATTAAAGCATTACGTTATACCTAGCTGCTGTATAAAAAGAGATATTAACATTAAATTAATAATAGATGACAATTCAGGTTGTACTTTAAGATTTTATATTTAATTATTTAAGCAAAATTGTGTATTTTATAAATAGGAATTTACCCTCACTAATCAGACATTGTCACTTGAGAGATTTTTTCCCTTTAAAAAACCCATAATATATTTTAACAACGTAATTTAAAAAACTAGCCTACCACGGAGCCCCACCTTTACCCCTATCGGGGCCTCCGGACCGTCCGCCATTACCGGACAGAGCCCCAACACTACCCGAACGCCCGCCGAACTTACCCGAACGGCAGCCGAACATTTCCGAACGGAACCAGGACAAGCAGTCTGTGTCTGCGTTAGTCAACAGTTACCAACAACGTATGTCGGGCAATTGGCAAGGCAGAGATGGTAATAGGAATACCACGTCGTGGCAGGGCTATAGCCAGAGTAGCCAGAATAGCCAGAACAACAATTGGCAGAACGTGGAGACGACATCGCATTTTTATTCGACGAGCGAAACTGGTGGGTCCAGTGTTGCCATTTTTGGTAGTGGTGCTTTTTAGTTAGATGTACATACTAACAATTTTTTTTTTTTAAAGTATTGCTTGGCTGTTTTTTTTATATTAAAACTGTCATATATAGAAAAAGGAATATATTTAACTGAGTAAATTTATGACTGCACAGTTGGTGTTGGTCCGTGTCAGAGTGTCACCACCCCTTTTCATCCCGTGGGTGTCGTAAGAGCCGACTAAGGGAGCAAACTACGCAGGACAACAGCACTGCAGTGAGAAGGAAAACTTGACACAAACCCTATACCAACCCGTCTGGCCAGCGTGGTATAGTAGGCCAAAACCTCCTTTCTAAGGAAAGGCTTATGTCCAGCAGTGGACTATTAAAGGCTGTTGATGGTGATGATGATGAGCTGGTGTGGCACGGATGGCCACTGCTTAATATCTGATAGATTGTCTAGATTCTTTTCTTGACCACACTCACCAAGTTGTCGGTATATTCAGCTGACACAAACACCCAATTCCAAAGTAAAACAAAACATTACGGATGGCGTAGTGGTTTAAGCGGTCACCTCGCAGCTTCCTACTGCGCTGAGTGTTGTGGATTCGATCCCCACACGGGACAACACTTTCTGTCATCAACAAATTGTTGTTGTTCTGAGAGTTTTTTGTGTCCGTTTCATGAATGTTTGTAAAGTCCCCCGCGACACAGGATATATTCCTAGTGCGGGATTTGTTTTATTTATAAAAAAAATGGTAATCCAATAATCATATGTAGTATCGTAAAAGCAATTCCTTTTTCTATAAATGACCTGTTGTATTTTGACTTTCTGTAAATTGTAGCCTTATCTTAATGTAGTATGATTATCCTTCAATAATGATCAAAATATTTTTATTATCTATAATTCTTTTAGTCTTCACACTTAAAAGAGAGACTCTGTATATATGTCTAACTTTAAGTTGTAACTGAATAAAAAAATCGGACTTTTTCATAAGTCCGAATTTATATATTGACGAAACGAGACAGTTATCAAACGGTCGAGAATAAGAATTAATAAAAAAGAATTGTTAATCATTTAGATCTACAATTTAGAAAAAAAATGCACAATTCGAATAATTTTTTTACTGACTTGATGACGTACCATCATGGCGGTTTCCGTTTTGCATAAACAAAAGACCGAAAACGAAGTAATCTCTTTAGAGTAAAACTTAAGTTAACCAAGCTAAAAGATATTAGTAAATATAAATTATATAATATTTTAATTATATATTTTGTTATTGATATTTGATAGGACAAAATGACTTCGAACTTAACCTGACCTTGACTTGACCTGATATTGACTTGACCTTACCTTGACCTTACCTTGCCTGACCTTTACCTGACTTTGACTTACCTATAGCTTTTCTGTGTGAGCTTTCGAAAACTGTCTTAAGTTATTAAAACAGGAATTAAATTGCACAGCTTAAGAATCCTGTCGCTCTATTTATTTAATTCCTTGTTTCACATTATATTTTCTTATTAAAATAAAAAATGTATTTGTAATGTTTATCAGTCACTTTTGATTAGAATTCTAATATGTATGTGTATATTATGTTGTATATAAATAAATCTTAGTTTAAATACTGTTATTATAAGTGTTATTTTCTTTTCAGATTATTATTTTTAAATAATTTAATATTTTCTCTTATGTGTACAGGGGCCAGCCACTTATTATATATATTACACCGGGTGCAATGTATGGAATTTATGTTTATTTATTAGAATTTAATTATTCAGTAAAATTGCTAGAAGTTTCGAGTAAAATTATAGATTTTTTGTCTGAAAATCTGATAATATTGTTTATGGAGTTTAAGATTTTATTTATCAGTATAATTTATTACTTATTTGGATATTTATACGTACAGGGTGTTTTAGAAAGTCGTGCTCAATTTCTAGAACATCGAAAAAACATTATAGAACAGTCAATTATCACTTTAATAAGGGGGACCCTAACGCTAGGCATCTGAACATTTCATCCTTTGTTAATATATAACTATAATGTATGACTTCTATTATAAAATATTAGCATTACTTGTCAATTAACGATTTGACAGATTAAAAAAAAAACTGTATTTAAAATCGACGTGTAGTGACGGATCAAGAATACGGAATGTCACTACCCCAATTCATCCCGTGGGTGTCGTTAAAGCCGACTACCGACTAGCCGACACCATCACTGCAAAAAGAAGGAAAACTTGACACAAACCCTATACCAACCCGTCTGGCCAGCGTGGTGTAGTAGGCCAAAACCTCCTTTCTAAGGAGAGGCTATGTCCAGCAGTGGACTATTAAAGGCTGTTGATGTGATTATTTAAAATCACGATTTCTAAAATAATTACGTCATTCATAGAGTGTAATAATATACGGCCCTAAAATATAGACACCTTTCCATTACACCCTGTATATCTGTATTATTTTTGCTATTATGTATACTTTGCTTATATTTATACTGTTAATATTTACTGTGTAATAATAATACATTTGACCTTCCTCTAACTTGTTCACGAATCGAATTGAAATTTTAAAATGAGTCTTATCACATTGTACGAAAGCACAATTTTAGTTTCCTCCCCGATTTCTGGGGGTAGGAATCAAAGGGAGGCAACAACACACTTGTGACTGGCAGTGGTCACTTACCACTAGATAAACCCTACACCAGAATAGAAACTGCTAATAATATCGTAGAGAGTAATTAAATAGATCAAAGAGAAATTTTTTAATGAGGTAAAGTCTTGTGGTATTTTTCTGCTATTGCGGGTACTTTGATATTCGAGGTCCTTATGGTAGAAGGTCAACTGTATATTTTTCCTATGTGGACATCTATCAGAGACAATAATTTAACTTTTTCTATTGGACAAGTTCTTATTTAAGAATTCTATATTATTATTAGTTTTAAGAAGGTATTGGAGTGTTGCCAGCTATAAAAAAGTTAAAAAAAAACATAAGTCGACTATTTTTTTCTGTAAATTTTTATCTTTGTTTTCTTGTTGTTTGTTTGTCTGCTTACTGCTGTGTGGGTGATGGTGCTATTATGTTTGTCTGTTGTGAATATATGTAATTAGATATTGTAAAAAATAACTACAGTCCATTCGCGTTAAGAATATAGTGACGTATCGAACAAGCCCCGCACCCTGACCAATCAGGTTCCAAGTTTTCGCACGAAACGATAATTTCTTGGAGCCTGATTGGTCAGGGGGCGTGGCTTCATCGATACGTCACTTTTTTTTTACCGCGAATTGGCTATAATAAATTAATTAGAAGTAGTTGACTAATAATACATTAGTTGTAAAAAAGAAATAATCTGAATAAATAGCATATGTGTTGTTTTTAGTTTATTAGGATTTTTTTCATCAATATGTCTTTGTTTTATTGTTAATTACTTCCAAGTTAACCATTCACTTATTTAAAAAAAAAATGGATTTTTTTTAGAAATTAAATATTTTTTTCATAATTCATCACTTTTTATAAGTAGAGATTTTCATACATTTGTAAGATATTCATGTTTTGTAAATTATGCCTATAAATCATACAATATACCTAAATTGGTTTTATATATTCCAGCGTACGGCGGCAACAGCGCAGGCAGCACTCGTCCGGCATCAGTAGCCGGTAGTGGAGGCTCACCAGCTCTCGACCAAAGACCGGCTTCTAGGTATGCTTTGATATTGCTATCCTCACTTCCAAAAGCATAGGCAGATGTGCTGTAACCCACATTTGAACTGATCTGTTTCTATGCTTCAATGACACTGACCTTGCGGATACCGTACTACGGAATAAGAATTACATTAACCCCACTTGAATAATATAATTCCACACAACGACATCTAGTCCCAAACTAAGCAGAGCTTGTACTATGGGTACTAGACAACTGATATAAATACATATATACTTTTTTTTTGTAAATACATACATATTATACATAGAAACACCCAGACCAGATCAAAAATTAAAAGTCCATGCACACAAATGTTTGACTTGAGCGCCACTACGCCATCCGGTCGTCGAATATCTAAACATATAAAATAAGTTGCCCTGGCTTTTACTGATTCATCAACGTAGCAGATGATTTTTATATTGTATGGACGCACTAAGAAAAAATGGATTTTTTGGATGAACAGTTGTTGTATTATCCGTTTGGTGACGGATTAAGAATACAGAGTGTTACCGCCCCTATCCATCCCGTGGGTGTCGTAAGAGGCGACTAATGGAGCAAACTACGCAGGACAACGGCACTGCAGAGAGAAGGAAAACTTAACACAAACCCTATACCAACCCGTCTGGACAGCGTGGTATAGTAGGCCAAAACCTCCTTTCTAAAGAGAGACCTATGTCCAGCAGTGGACTGTTAAAGGCTTGTTGATGTGATAGTGTGATGTGATGAATTTAATGAATTTACAAAGTTAGAAACACTAAATAAAAAATATCATGCGAGCCAAGCCGCGGGCAGTAGCTAGACTGTGGTACTTCCACGATATCCTACGGGACAGGTTACTTTCCATCAAGTGACTGCTTGTTTGCCCCCTGTAGTAAAAAACTTATCGTCCTTCAGTTACACACACGACGTAGGACATTAACGTAAGTACAGTCACTTGAGCGGGAGTCATAATCTAAACCCTATTCTCTTGTCACCAGGTCATCAGGCGAATCTGAACTGTCAGTGAGCGGGGTCACAAAGGACAAAAAGGATAAGAAGGGGGTGTTCGGCGGCCTGTTCAGCAGAAAGAAGCGGCCACAGAGCCATATGTAGCGTGTTACACTGTCGAGCTGTCAAAATGAATCCGAAAAAATAGCATACGTCAAAAAGTTTATTACACCTGTATACAAAATTTGACATTTCAAATTTTGACAGGTTACCTGTCAAAATATGAATCTTATATTTTGATTATTATAGAGTTATTTTGACAGCATACAGTCCTGTATATATGTGAATGATATATACGAAAATCTTAAAAAAAGAAGATGATTTTGAAAAAAAAAACAAAATTAAATTGTTGTTAAAAAAATGTGCCTTGTCAAAAGAAAATCGAGAAATTATTTTTGTCATTTTTTTCTAAATATAAGAACATATTTATGTAGAGTAAGTGTCTTATAATAATAATAATTATATTTTTTATATATTCGAATATTAACGTTCTGTAATACATTCCTAAATCAAAACTACGATTAACTAAGAAAAATCTACAAAAATAAAAAGACAAATTTAATGAAATAAAAAAGGATTTTAAAATAATCATGTAAAGGATTGCCGCTGCGGCAGCAATTCGGATGGGAAATCGGTATACGATCGTGGTATGTTGTCACAAAACCAATATTTGGGGCCAATTACGTAAGTTATAAGCTAAGCTGTGGTTTTAAAATTTTCTAATAACTACTTTACAAAATATTCGCATTATTTATTTGAACAACTTTTAGTTAACTTTTTCAAATCGTAACTAAAGTTAAAAATAAAATTAAGAAAATAATTTAAAAAAACATTAGCTTTTGACGAATACATTTTTGTGTTATTCCATACAATAAACCATCTCTGTGAAAAATTATTCCGTCCAGCTATTCCCATACATATTTTCTCATATACAATACTAGCTGACCCGCGCAACTTCGTCTGCGTCTCTCAATAGTAATAAATTTTCTCCGTTTTTGAAACATTCTTCATTGGTGCTCCGCTCCTATTAGTCTTAGTGTGATGATATATAGCCTATAGCCTTCCTTGATGAATGGGCTATCTAACACTGAAAGAATTTTTCAAATCGGACCAGTAGTTCCTGAGATTAGCGCGTTCAAACAAACAAACAAACTCTTCAGCTTTATAATATTAGTATAGAAAAGTAAGTTTGGTTACCAAGATCTTCAAACATTAAAGAAAAGAGCGTACTCCTTCGTCTTGTAACTCCTGAGTTGCAGGCGTTGATGGGCGGAGGTAGTCACTTTCCATCAGGTGACTCGTCTCCCCCTCTTCCATAAAGTATTAGAAATTTAAAATCACTCTTAGCTGTATTGAGGGCAGTAATTCAATACTTTCCAATTATTTAGTATAAGTATCTTATCATCTTTAATTCAATGAAAAAATATGGAATGGAAACTTAAAAAACACATTTCAAGCCAATTTTTAATATTTCATTTAGTGACGGTAGGTGAAAAAATTACAACGCAGAGCTATGAATATGGGTCACATTAGAATATCTCGAAAAATAAGAGGTAGCTTAGTGGGATTAATTGTTTTCCATATAAATTAAAAGCTCTTTGAATGAATGTAATAAAATTTATTTTTCAGTTTGTATTACCATATTAATAAAGAAGCATGTTAATAAAAAACATAAAATATCATTTTAGAACAAAAAAATAATTGTTAAATACGCTTTTATGAATCTTAGATTTCTAGTTGTAGTGTTGTATGCAAGACAAAACAACAGAGCCCAAACTTGATTTGTGTACTTTGTTAGTTAAGTAGTTCCCATAGCTACCTTCCGGCTCCATCATCAGAACAGCTAAGATTCATGCCTAACACATACATACAAACGTTACAAGTCAAACAAAAAACTTGTAAAATAAAAAAATATCATATTTTCATAAAATATTATAGTTTTCTCAAAATTTTTAAACTACGAGCTCTGAGCTTTACCATTGTTGTACTGTTATTGCATGCTGTTCACCAAGTTTCTTACAGGATACTAGGGAATACCCTCTTATTCCTCTGTGAGGGCAATTTTGAAGTTCACAATCCGACCTGGATTCGTTGCTCTCGAGTGTACGTCACGAAAACGAATGCATACTAAGAATTTGAGTTTCCAATTTCGTTTAAATTCATAATACTTGTTATAAAGTCAGCATAATTCTAAGTTATGTCTTAATTTTTTTGTTCTATACTATTATAGTTATAATAAAACATTACTATATTAAGATATGTGGTTTTATTCTAAATTAAAATGTTATGTAAATGGTATTAATAATAATACACATCTCACACACGACCGTCTGATCCCAAACTAGGCAGAGCCTGTACTATGGTAACCAGACTGCTGGTAAGCATACTTATATATTTCTAAGTACATAAAGATGATGAATAAACTACACCCAGACAGCTCGTCATCATCAACCGCCTTTACTAGTCCACTGCTGGACATAGGCCTATCCTTAGAAAGGAGGTTTTGGCCTACTATACCACGCTGGCCAGACGGGTTGGTATAGGGTTTGTGTCAAGTTTTCCTTCTCTTTGCAGTACTGTTGTCCTGCGTAGTTTACTCCCTTAGTCGACTCTTACGACCCCCACGGGGTGATTAGGGGTGGTGAAACTCCGTATTTTAATGTGTGCGTTACCCCAGCAAAATAATGTCGAAAATGGTAATTTTAACTTTATAGATAATTAGTTGCTCCCCTTCTGTAATTGTTAGGCACATTTTTAAATTTGTTCCACTTAAACTTTTTTAGTTATTTCAAAAAAACATTTCCTGCTGGGGTAACGTTTGAAACGTTACCGCAGCCAGACATTTTCTTTTTTAATTGTAATATTGAAATAAATTTTAGCTAGATAATTAGTTATCTGGACTAGGTAAATGTTACAACTTATTTGGTATTTGTATTTTCTTCGGCTGCGAAGTTATTCGAAATCCTGCTGGAGTAACGTTTGTGGGTTTGCTGGATCTCTGAAACGGGTAAGCGGATTGTAACCATCTTTTGTACATAACTTCTTAAGGATTAGTTTTAATTTGTTCGACAATAAAATAACAAAAATAATGGACCGTTTAAAAATTATTTAGGTAAGTATGAAAACACTTCAATACGTCCTAACACTTTAAATAAGACCTCTAAAGACTTACTTGAAACGTTATTCTATTGCTTGTAACTACCTTCAAATGTATACGAATTTTCGTAAGAATACTGTAAGTGACTAAAAAGTTATGATGAAATGTAGCTCTCCACGTTCACGATCACAATGTGTGCGGCCTTTTTTGGCCACCGATAAACCTGTGTGTGGATATATAAACTGAATGTTATGCCAATAATTAGTTGTTTAGTTCAGTTGTCTACCTGTAGAATTCCAGCGTCGTACATATAATAATTTACGAGATAATTAAATAAAAGTCATTAGAAGGTGCAAGTCCGTGGTAATCCGACCATGTTTAGGTGGTTACAAAAAAGCGATCACCCAGTACATTGCGCTGTCTTTTAAAATGTTTAGTGTAATACACCTTACGATTTCGGTACAGTTGCGTACAGTGTTAAATACATTCAATATTTATTCATTATTATTACCTATTATTTATTTTGTTTTTTTCCCTAATTGATCTTAAGCACTTGTTTCTTTACTTAAAATTTATTTAGTCTTTTTTACTACCGGAGCTACAATCAACAGAAAATCTGCACTGGCCCGCTAAAATTATAAATATGTAGATACATGTATGAACGATTCACCTGACTGCAATAAAACGAAAATTTAAACCAATAAGAAATCGTTTCATTTCTTTGATTTTTTTTTGTAAAGAAATAACACTAAAGTAATTGTATTTTATTTTGGGGTGTATAGAGTTTAGACTTGAATGCATCAAAATATTTAAAGCAACAAGTCATCTACAATAAGTTAAAATAGACCGAATAGTAGAAGAATACAGTTGTAAATTAGAATGCATCAACATTGCATCGCCCAACAGTCGTATACCTCGTATGAGTAGGTAATATTGTTCTGTGGTCTATACCTAGAACCGAGAATTATCTACACCTATGTACCTACCGTTAAGCGTTGAGCCCGTGACTGTTGATTTCTGTTAAAAACGAACAGTTGTTGAATGATATTTTGACATAATAACGGTAATTTAATTTATCGAGTGAAAGTGATACATTTTTATAGATAAAATCATTGGTCAGATAATATTTGTCAATCAAGAATCGCTGATAATACATCCTTCGCTAGAACGCGGGAGGGGAGGGGCGAAGGGATACTTCATTGTTTGCCTTTTGCATCTAGTGCACTAAACTTGACCCTTAGGCAGATAATATACGTGTTGTAAAGTACGTGTGCGCTTCCGCTTCCTATTTTTGCAAATATTTATCGTATTCTTGAGAGTTCTTCAATATGTGTGTACCTAATTACTAATAATAGGCATTAATGCTAATTCGATTCAATTTAAGTAATTGTCAATTCTTGTCTTAGGATATTAATTACTAATGCTAAAATATTGAAATTTCGTTCAGGGTGAACAAATTAAAAACGATCATAACTTTTAGGTAGGTATATCACTTATTACTAATTTTACATAAATAATTTATTTTATTATATAACTCACCGCGATTTTGTGATCAAATATTTTATTTTCTCCAACATTATTACAGAAATAATGCAATACAGAGTTTGTTCGCGATATGCTAGCCTAAGTCGATTCATCACTTAAAAAAATCCCCATCTATTCACAAAATATCTATTTACAACGCATACGTTACACTCTTCAAAACTTATCATTTCATTTCATATTTCTTAAATTACCTATACCTACCCTAAAATTAAACTTCAATTAACAAATACTACGCAGGTACCAATTCTATGAACAACTATAAACAATTCACCTAAACATTACGAGAAAACAAAAGCATTCAAAACAATACCTAATCTCCCGGCTGATTACTAATTATGCAATAAACAATCCTAAATAAAAAATATTTAAAAAACATGTAGTTTTTTGTAACACTTATGTACATATCCGTAGTAAACTTCCAAATAATATCCTACATATTTTAAAAGCCAGCACAATGTACTGGGTGATCGCTTTTTTGTAACCACCTAAACATGGTCGGGTTACCACGGTCTTGCACCTTCTAATGACTTTTATTTAATTATCTCGTAAATTATTATATGTACTACGCTGAAATTTTACAGGTAGACAACTGAACTAAACAACTAATTATTGGCATAACATTCAGTTTATATATCCACACACAGGTTTATCGGTGGCCAAAAAAGGCCGCACACATTGTGATCGTGAACGTGGAGAGCTACATTTCATCATAACTTTTTAGTCACTTACAGTATTCTTACGAAAATTCGTATACATTTGAAGGTAGTTACAAGCAATAGAATAACGTTTCAAGTAAGTCTTTAGAGGTCTTATTTAAAGTGTTAGGACGTATTGAAGTGTTTTCATACTTACCTAAATAATTTTTAAACGGTCCATTATTTTTATTATTTTATTGTCGAACAAATTAAAACTAATCCTTAAGAAGTTATGTACAAAAGATGGTTACAATCCGCTTACCCGTTTCAGAGATCCAGCAAACCCACAAACGTTACTCCAGCAGGATTTCGAATAACTTCGCAACCGAAGAAAATACAAATACCAAATAAGTTGTAACATTTACCTAGTCCAGATAACTAATTATCTAGCTAAAATTTATTTCAATATTATGTCTGGCTGCGGTAACGTTTCAAACGTTACTCCAGCAGGAAATGTTTTTTTGAAATAACTAAAAAAGTTTAAGTGAAACAAATTTAAAAATGTGCTTAACAATTACAGAAGGGGAGCAACTAATTATCTATAAAGTTTAAATGACCATTTTCGACATTATTTTGCTGGGGTAACGCACACTATTTTAATCCTCATCACACAATATTTGTCCTAAGTTTGAATCAAACCCACGACCTCTGGCGGTAGTCAGGATCGCTTACTACTAAAGCAGCTGTCCCGTCAAAAAGATGTACCTTATAGGATTACACCCAAATCTATTTCTAAGGACTATTTTCAGGCCTGACAAGCCGCACCAGAGACTTCCTTTCTAGGGTATACTTGGTTCCCCGGCTATTAGTACCCGGCGACGGCGTGCGGTTTTAGTCGGTTCGCCGGTTCGGTTTTTCCGTGCGGATTTCCGCACGGAAAAAAAAAAGGCCTGACAAGCCTTGCGTTCCATACACCCAACTTAGACAGGTCGCTTTACTTCTTAGCAAAGGACCATCCAAATAAAATTCTAAAAAATACAGGAAAATGTTGATGCACGGATGGCGTAGTGGTTTAAGCGGTCACCTCGCCGCTTCGTACTGCGCTGAGTGTTGTGGGTTCGATCCCCACAAGGGACGAAACTTTGTGTGATCCACAAATTGTTGTTCTGAGTCTGGGTGTTCTTTGTGTCCGTTTCATGTATGTTTGTAGAGTCCCCCGCGACACAGGATATATTCCTAGTGCGGGAGTTGTCTTTAAAAAAAATGAATTAGATTTATAATTAAAAATGTGAAAGGGGAATAATTGAGACTTTTCTTTAAGTTTTTTTTTCTATTTCAAACCAATTTACCTAAGAGATGTTTTAAAATAAAACAACGTTTATGACAGAATAATCTTTATTTTACTTTATTTAAATTTCCTGCAAATATATTGTCATAAGGCGGTCATGTATATGTGGATAACATAACCAGCCGTGTTCAGCGCATAGTATATTCCCTCTAGTATGTTATATATTGGACCGTGTGGTGACGGATTAAGAATACGGAATTACACAACCCCTATTCATCCCGTGGGTGTCGTAAGAGCCAACTAAGGGAGCAAACTACGCAGAACTACAGCACTGCAAAGAGAAGGAAAACTTGAAACAAACCCTATACCAACCCGTCTGGCCAGCGTGGTATAGTAGGCCAAAACCTCCTTTCTAAGGAGAGGCTTATGCCTAGCAGTGGACTGTTATAGGCTGTTGATGATAAAACGTAAATTACTATTCAAATATTTAGTTTTTTCACCTCGCCTGGTAATAAATGACCGCTGCTAATATCTTTCCTGTGATACGTATACATAATCTACAGATACATAAATAATAATGACACTTAAATTACTTATTATTATACAGGTTATTACATTAAAAAGACTATAGTGGGTAGGGACAAGGAGAACCATCTCATATGGAGAGAAAGTTGAAAAAGTGTCCAACTGACTGCACGGATGGCGTAGTGGTTTAAGCGGTCGCCACGCCGCTTCCTACTACGCCGAGTGTTGTGGGTTCAAACCCCACATAGGACGACACTTTGTGTGATCCACAAATTGTTGTTCTGAGTCTGGGTGTTCGTTGTGTCCGTTTCATGTATGTTTGTAAAGACACAGGATATATTCCTAATGCGGGAGTTGTCTTTAAAAAAAAATAGAAATAGAAAACTACGATATGAACATAGCTGTTGTATACGGAGTGAAGTGTGCTGAGTTCAAATATTATAATCCTTTAATAGAGCCGACTAAGGGAACAAACTACGCAGTACAACAGCACTGCAGAGAGAAGGAAAACTTGATACAAACCGTATACCAACCCGTCTGGCCAGCGTGGTATAGTAGGCCAAAACCTCCTTTCTAAGGAGAGGCCTATGACCAGCACTGGACTATTGAAGGCTGTTGATTGATTGATTGATTGAATCCTTTAATCGTCTGAAAGTTATTACGAGTTTATTTATTGTCTGTAAAACTCATTGACTATTTTCGTGGTCTAGTACACAGTGTCTTATTATTTAATCCTATATAAATTTTATCCTTATGCTACCGTAGAGAATTTGAGAGACACTTGATACAGAGAGATGGTTCTCCTTGCCTCTACTCTTCATGAAGACTTAAAAATATTACATAGATGTATTATATCCGTAAGAATAATTAAGAATCCGCCAGCCCCTTCAACACACCGGCTGTAAAAGCGTCCTGAACGGCCGGGTTGTAATTAGAGCCATATCTTTGAATTACCAAAATGTTACCGGTTTCGAAAATTTGTTGCAACCCTAACCTGACCTGAGCAGCTTGGGTTAAACTGGGGTTATAGTTACGTCCAGGTTTAGTTTTCACATAGTAACTTATATCTTCGACTGGGCTCGTGGGGATTCTTGGTAAATACATATGTTCATATTTTATCGATCTTTTAGTAATCTTATGTGGCGTTTTATGCATCTTTTTGTATTTAATTTCGAGTAAATTGTTTAGATAAAATTGTAACTTTGATTTTTTGTGCGAGTGTTTGTGTTTTTTTAAATTTGAATGTCTAAAAGGCCGAGGTAGCATAAAATTACTAGTTTTCTTATGAACTAATGATCTTTTAGTTAAAAATTTTGTTTTCAAATTATTGTTTAGTTCGAAATTTGACGGAGGTTTTTTACTGGATTCTAATGCAGGATTTGAATTGTCCCAAACTTTATGTTTGATGTAATATTTTGTCAATTTCGAAAGAGGATCGCCTACGGAACGTTTTTTGACAGTATCGACGGCTACTTTGACAGGTGCTTTTTGAAATGTCAATCTATTTAACAAATTATAAGACCTACCACTATTGGAAATAGAGCGTTTTTTGAATGACTTCGTATTCACTACAGAAGCATCTAAAATTGGGAATTGTTTAAGAGATAAAACTTCGATAGTCGATTTATCGTTATTGACAATTGAGTCATCAGATTTGAGGATAGGGTTATCAGATTTAGCAATCGATTCATCAGGTTTAACAATCGATTGATTCATCTTTTCAACATTGTTGGTATTGTGTTGTTGGTCATTGGATTCATCAGATTTGACAATTAATTTTAAGGGTAATTGTCCAGAAACTTGATTCAAAAGAACGGACGTATTGTCATCAATTGCTCTTCTGTGCAAGTGTTTATGGTAAGCCAATTGTGAAATAAAATCGGCTACAGCATGCTTTTTGACAGATTTCACGATAGCCTTCAAATTTGACAGCTTTTTGACAATAAAATCTACAACGGGCTTAGGTTTTTCATGAACGGCGATTGGCACAAAATATTCGTCTGTGGATCTTTTGGTGATTCTTCGTGGTGTTCGGTAATCATCGCCGGTGATTAGGATTTCCATGGATTGCTGTTGTTGGCTGTCAATATTTGCTATAGGAACTGCGGCGTTGACATCTGACCGTGGTGAGGGCACACTGGTGGCTAGGACAATAAATAAACTTAATTTTACTAACTTTAGACCAAGGCTGCCGATATCGGGTAGCTAGACTTTGTCTGCAATTAATAATAATAACTTAACACATCTCACACACGGCTGTCTGATCTCAAACTAGGCAGAGCCTGTACTATGGTGACCAGACCATTAAACATACTTATTTATTTCTATAAACATACATATAGATAAATTACAGCAAGACACAGAACGAATGCTATTGATCATCACATAATGTTTGTCATGGGTGCAAATCAAACCCACGACCTCTTGCGTGGTGTCAATGTCAGTGATGATTTATCACTAAACACTAGACCAACCAGTCTCTGTCCCGTACATAAACAATTTTTCGAATCTGACTGATAGTAATAAACCATAGTAATAAACAATAAACAAATAAACAAAAAACTAGTCAGCATTATTACATTGGGACAGATTCCACCCTTATTAGTTACCCTTGATATTTGACGTTTTAAATTACTTACGTTCACCGACCGTAGCAGGCACGGGTAGAGGATATCTGCACCTATCGACGGCTGGAACTGAGGAGTTCGCTTTTATGCAGTTGATCAAGATATTGGTCAACTCCTGGGTTTGAGGCACCAAGGTAGGTGGAGTTGGAGATGTTGTTGAAGTTGCTGGGAAAAGAAAATATTAGTAAGAAGCGGCTCGAAGGACCATGTGTGAAGTCCTTCACAATTAGTAGTATGTTTTTAGTAGGAGAGAGTTCTCATTGCTATGCTCGTATGGGATTCGAATTCCCAACCACCGGATTACAAGTGCGATGGTTATTAAGTTACCATTATTGACACTAGGTTTCTGGTACTTATGTGACGATGCATGACTCTCCCACGGTTTTCTTCCATCAGTTTCTTCTACTATCAGCACGAACAAAAATAAAAACTATATTACATTATGCATAGTTACAAGTAGACTTACTTGAGGACCTACGAGTCAGATATTGGCTGTAATCTGGCTCGTAGCCTGTCAGGAGTGCCAGCTGATCCAAGAACCATGCCAGTTTTAAGATCAGCTCGTTTTCTTCGTAATGTTCCGTCTGTTGGACGAATAACCTTTATTATTCTTATTATTTTTCCTGGTCATACTACAGAATATGATAAAAAAAGTATGACAGCCTAAGACATAGACTAGAGGCGGATGGGTGGATTTATGTTCTTTTAATCTTTATTCACTCTGAGCTGTTTTCTTCTTACATTCCGTATAATACTATACCCTACTAGACTTATAGAGGAAACAAAATCATAACAACCACAAGCTGGAACTATGGCTCAGAGCTGAATATTCATGTTTATGAATTTTTTGCTTTTAGGGGTCCGTAGCCAAATGGCAAAAAACGGAACCCTTATAGATTCGTCATTCATGTCTGTCTGTCTGTCCGTCCGTATATCACAGCCACTTTTTCCGAAACTATAATAACTATACTGTTGAAACTTGGTGAGTAGGTGTATTCTGTGAACCGCATTAAGATTTTCACACAAAAATAGAAAAAAACAATAAATTTTGGTGGTACAATACTTAGAACTGAAACTCAAAATTTTTTTTCATCAAACCCATTCGTTTGGGGTGTCTGACCAAACCCATTATGTTACTTGCTGCTATGGAACCCTTCATGGGCGAGTCCGACTCGCACTTGGCCGCTTTTTATTAATTTTGATCTTTGCCATATTACATAAAATAAAATATATTTTCACTGCTAAAACTATCTCCCTACCAAAATTTCTTCCAAATCGATTCAGCGGTTTAAGCGTGAAGACAGACTGGTATTGGTTTATCATTACCTCTTGATATCCCTTCGCGTACGCTATGTCCTGGAGACGCTTTGTCGCCCACATCGCCAGGTCAGCATACCGCCTCACTGATTCACTGGCTTCTGATGCTTCTCTACACGACATATTCCCTATACGTCTGCTGATTCTTGAGAGGAAAAAAAGAAATTAAGACTTGACATCCCAACCGCTATTTAACCAACTCGGGCTTGTCTGACTTGGTTAAACTAGTGGTTTCTGAACGTTGTGTTAGAACTCATGATTTCGGTACCCATTCAGAAGAAATAAATATGTAACGAACATGACGACGTCTGGTGATGGATTAGAAATACACGACCTCCATGTCACTACCTCTAAGAGCCGACTAAGGGGGCAAACTAAGCTGTACAACAGCACTGCAAAGAGATGGAAAACATACCACCTTTGACTCAGGAGCGGGAATCACTAATTATTTAGACCAAAGAAAACGTTTCTTTTTGACCTTTAATAAAGAATTTCCAGTCAATTATCGTTGAATATTATTTTTAGATTAATATGACAACTCGCGCATTAGGAATAAATCCTGTGTCTTTACAAACATACATGAAACGGACACAAAGAACACTCAGAACAACAATTTGTGGATCACACAAAGTGTCGTCCCATGTTGGGTTTGAACCCACAACATCCGGCGTAGTTGGAAGCGGCGTGGCGACCGCAGAAATCAAAGCCGATCAAATAGTTTAAAATGATTACCCAGCAGAGTCTTTAGCTCGCGTCGTCATTGTCCAGTCAGATGTGTTAAAGTTTTGAGGATTTCGCAGGTTTAATATTGTTGATATATTGCCTCGGCTTGGCGTATCTGGTGGCATCCAGGTAGAGTTGGAGTTTTGTGACTGAAACAAATAAATAAAATAAAATTGCCTTTATTGCTGTTAACTTTCTTACAATGAATATGTATTATAGGATGCCTACTTCCTAACTTTTAATTCTAACTGCATGTTTATCTGCACCTAAGTGCATCTAAATTCCTTTCCTTTGCCAAATATGTCCATACTGGACCAGCTATTTTCTTGAAGTCATCTTCCCATCTTTTAATTTGTCTACCTCTATTCCTTTTGCTTTCTCTCGGTTACCATTCTGTTACTACTTTAATCTATTTGTCTTTACTTTCTCTTAGCATATGCGATGTCCATCGCCGTTTTAGCTGCCTGTAGGTTGTATGTGCATTTTTAAATTTTGTTTTCCTTTTAATTGTTTGTTTATCTATACGTAACTAGCTGACCCGCGCAACTTCGTCTGCGTCTCTCAATAGTAATAAATTTTCTCCGTTTTTGAAACATTCTTCATTGGTGCTCCGCTCCTATTGGTCTTAGCGTGATGATATATAGCCTATAGCCTTCCTCGATAAATGGGCTATCTAACACTGAAAGAATTTTTCAAATCGGACCAGTAGTTCCTGAGATTAGCGCGTTCAAACAAACAAACAAACAAACTCTTCAGCTTTATTTTTTTTTTATTTTTTTTTATTTTGTTTATTAAATGCACAAAACACATTACAATCAATTGAAACATAAATCATAAATACATCATTTAGATCTGGATCGTAACGTAACTCAAATGTACACAAAGAAAAACAGTGAAGATTATACAAAAATTATCTCTGATTCATAATACTGCAAGTAATACAAAAATAAGTGACAAAGTAAGCAAGCAGCAATTGTGATGTAGATTTGAATGCTAATCCAAACGCAGCCCACCATGGAGGATGTCTTTCACCAATTTTGTATATCTGTTATAGTTAGGATCAAAAACGTCTAGTAATTTATTGGATTTTGAGATATCATTATATTGACGGGCCATTCTTGTTAATGGATTATAGTAAGAGATGTTATTTTTATATATTTGAAGGGCAAATATATTCGTATCATTAGCCCTACGGGCACTAAATTTAATATTAAAACTGATTAGAGAAAGTAAATCCGGTGAATCAATAATATAATGTATAATTTTGTAGAGATAAACCAAATCGACATAGGTGCGTCGGGTTTGTAATGGCTTATTTATAATATTAGTATAGATATATTCCTTTCTATGACATTTTGGCATACTTTTACTTTGTTTTCTAGTGGTTCTGTTAGCGCCCAAGTCTATCACCCGTATGGCATTATGCATGTTTCGTATAATTTATTTTTTCCTTTCATATATTATCCTTCATTATTTCGCTAAGGGACCAAAACCGTTTCCAAGTAATAGGTCTTTACCTATGAAATTGCCGTTTTGTATGCAATAAGTGAAAGTACTTATTTTTTCAAACTTTCTTATTTCTGTTATTCGAAGTAATCACCCATGCAATCGACGCATCTTTGCCAACGCATTGGCAGTTTATTGATGCCCTTCTTGTAAAAATCAGCTGGACGGGAGGCAGCAAACTCTTCAAAGGCATTTTGTACTGTTGCCTCTCGGGAATTGAATTTTTTACCCACTAAAAAGTTGTCTAAATTTTGGAAAAAGTAATAGTCGGTAGGTGCAAGGTCTAGTGAGTATGGCGGATGAGGGAGAGCTTCCAACCCCAGCTCTTGCAGCTTGGAGACTCTGTTGCGCAGTACAGCGCGCATACTGCGCAACAGAGTCTCCAAGCTGCATATATAGCTCCAATAACAGAAATAAAAAAGTTTGTTAAAATAAGTACTTTCACTTATTGCATACAAAACGGCAATTTCATAGGTAAAGACCTATTATTAGAAATTCTTCGTTCTATTTCTTTATTCATGCAATCTTCGTAGCTATAAGTTGGCCTAAATTTATGTAACTATATATTTACGTTTTCTATTTGTTCGCTATTTACAATTAAAGTCTCTTTTTGTTCAGATTCGTCAAAATTTTAGTTTTATTTAAATTCATTGTCAGGCCGGCTTTAGCACTTTCAACAGATAATTGCTGTAACATTAATTCTATTGTACCCGCGTCTTCTGGCGAATAAAATTATATCATCCACGAAGAGCAGGTCCCTAAGATTTTCGCCATCAATGTTGATGCCTTTTTTGATGATGGCCTGAAGGCATTTTTTTGTAACACATATATACTTGCTAAGTTAAATACAACATTCATAAATAAATACTTATATTGTAAATGTTAAAGTTAGTATATTTGTTGATTACGCTTTCACGCCTATTTTAATAGTTCTTTCACCAATAGAAAGCTACATTATCAGCGAGTAACATAGCGAGTCAGCGACAGACGCGCGGGCGGAGCCACGGGCAAAATCTAGTAATTTACAATGCAGTATGGTTATGATGAATCTGCTAGAGTATTCAAAGTTTGAGCTCGAACGGCAGCTGGGTGCTGCCCTGATTTCCAGAGGGAACGCGTTCCAGAGGAGGATAGATTTTTTACTATTTGGGAACATTAGATATAACAGGATAATCAGCTAAAAACTTACCTAAAAGTTATAACTTTATAAAAGACCTTATTACAAACTATGTATTTAAATTCCGTGTGGTGACGGATTAAGAATACGGAGTGTCATCACCCATATTCATCCCATTGGTGTCGTAAGAGCCGACTAAGGGAGTAAACTACGCAGGACAACAGCACTGTAAGCTCCACAAAGAGAAAGAAAACTTGACACAAGCCCTATACCAACCCGTCTGGCCAGCGTGGTATAGTAGGCCAAAACCTCCTTTCTAAGGAGAGGCCTATGTCCAGCAGTGGACTATTATAGGCTATTGATGATGATGTGATTTAAATTCTTACCATACTTGCATTCTCTTTTCTACACTCTTCTAAGAACCTACTGTAGTCCTCCAAAGCCTTCCTCAACCCCTCCAAGTAGATGCCGCCATCATGGACAATGTCTGATACCTGCAATTAAGGAACTCATCAGTTTTAATTTTATCTGTCAGGAACTGTCAGGTTTCTTCTGAACATAGCAGTGGCAGTAGCGAAATGCTGTACATACTGTTGAGAGTACTGTAACTGGCTTAGCCCTAACCCTCAAGCCTCAAGACGAAGCACGTCAGCTTTGTGGTGGTGGTTCTGGTTGACTACAGGACACGACTGCTTGGAAAAGTACCGGGGAGAGTGGATCGATCTCCAGGGTCTCAGGTGTACCCTTGAGATAATTTCAGAGTCAACACTGGCAGCCTTAGTCGTCTATTTAACAACATGGTTTGATCTCCTATTTGATTACATTCTCCCTTGAAATTTTAATTTTCCAATTTTTTTATAAATTTGAGAATTAAGTATATTTTGCAATCTTTAAGGTTTAATTTGTAAAAACATAGCACAACACGTGAGTGCGTATACACACACACACACTGTCACCTATCACACGGCTGAATACTACTTCACAAGATACAGGCTATCTGCCAAGTCATCAACAGCCTTTAACAGTCCACTGCTGAACATAGGCTTCTCTTTAGAAAAGAGGTTTTAGCCTATACCACGCTGGCCAGACGGGTTGGTACAGTAGGCCAAAACGATTTTAAATCTGCCCAGTAAACGATTAAAATTTTACTTTAACTTTATTATTTGGCATAATTAATATTTATGTAGAAAAAGTGCACAAAGCTAAAATGTTTAAACAATATGTGTGGCACATTTAAAGTTACAAAAAACAGTGGCACGCCGGGAATGCCGACAGAAGTGAAAACTTATATACTTATATACAGAGGTGTCGGTAACGGTTACGGTAACAGTGGCGCGAGTTCACTAGTATTTGCCCCATCTCAAAACAAAAACGCGCCTAAAGAAGTTTTCACCTCAAAATTATGTAAAAAACCTATATAAAACCATAAGATCCAGTATATACCTGCCCTGTCACGGTAAAGTGTATGTAAACAGTAACTTATCAAGTTATACTGGTCATCATAAAATAAAATAAAAGGTTAAAAAAAAACAATTTTCGGCCGCCAGGCGATCATTATTATTTTATTAATAAATATTTTAGACAGACCGTGTAGTAATAGTTATGCAGATGTGAATACTTGCCTTTTTCTCCATATACGATTGATGGCCGAATGCATTAGCGTACTGTTTGGTATACTGGTTATTTATTTCGCCTTCATCAGAATTGTGTTTACTATTGCCTTGAATATTGCTATAAAATTCCTGACCATCGTTTATGTAATTTTTGTATTCATTCTTACTATATTTCTTAACTTTATCATGTTCCGCAAATAATTGTTTTCTCACTTCCGGTAAATCAATTGTCCATGGTGTCACTTTTGTGAATACAAATATAAAACAAATTAAAACGCGCAAACTATTTTGAAACGTCATATTTTAGCGAAAATTTTGATATTACCAGTTTAATCAACAATTCATATTTTTGTATTGTGATATATTATTTAATTTTTCGTTTTAATAATGATGCGTGGTTTTTCGGCGGAGTTTAATTAATAACTGTTAAGAAACAAACGGATGATTTTCCGTTTAATTACAAGTTTCCCGCGCCGTTTGTTCGAGGCCGAGTGGAGAAATACTTGTGCGTAAGTACAATATTGTCCGTGGGCTACGATACATAATGAGTCATTATATTGTTAAAACTTTTCTAAACCTTCAAGATTTTATCAACAAATTTAATTTCAATTAAGCATGTATAACGGAACTACCGTAAATTGATTACAGTCAGGATAAACAGCATCCGCCCAATAGACTAATATGCAGTAAAAAAGAACATGTACTTACAATCAATAAACCATTGTGATTTTTATTTTTATTATAATACCTAATAATAGTATAATGTTACTCGCTGATAATGTAACTTTCCATTAATAATTTTTAATATCGAACGTAACTAGGAAATAAATTATCGCGTTAAAAAGTAGCTGTGGTGGTTTTTTTTAAATTGATTAAACGCTTTAAGCGTTAAGCGTAACACCCAGAGTTAGAACAACAATTTGTGGATCACATAAAGTGTCGTCCCATGTGGTGATCAGACCCACAACACTCAGCGTAGTAGTAAGCGGCGTGGCGACCGCTTAAACCACTACGCCATACGTGCAGTCAACCATATTATCATTATTATACATACATGATATTATTGTAGTTAAACAGCTGTCCATTGTACAGACGCCATACGGTATTGCATTTCCCATGTTAACACGCATGCGTAACCGGTCAAGGGAATAATGTATTACGTAATACGTACTTACCTATTGTCTATTGTGATTACTATATTTTGCCGAGAACGTATTAAAATTTATTGAACTAATCACCTTGCAGTAGGAATGTATAAAATTAGGAAAATGTTAACACAAATGTTTGTTAAACGCTACATGGTAAGAATAAATAAATAAATATGGTTTCTCTCTCGATATGTGTCATTCTTTTATCATCATCATTATCATCAACAGCCTTTAATAGTCCACTACTGAACATAGGCCTCTCCTTTGAAAGGAGGCTTTGGCCTACTATACCACGCTGGCCAGATGGGTTGGTATAGGGTTTGTGTCAAGTTTTCCTTCTCTTTGCAGTGCTGTTGTACTGCGTACTTTGATCCCTTAGTCGTCTCTTACGACACCCACGGGATGAACAGGGGTGGTGACACTCCGTATTCTTAATCCGTCACCACACGGACCTTTTATAAGCCTCAAGAAATCACGAAATAAATGCATTTTAAAGCAATTAGGTCATTAACTTTCACTTAGATTCGATTGGGAAACTTTCTTAATTGGGATAATCCTCCTTCCTCCTACTTTCAACTATACTTACACCCAATTATCCCATCTCATCCCTAACGTGACTTGTCGATGGTAATGACGCATGCCACCTAAATCGTTCACCATCAGCCTAACGCCGTTCGCTGCTGAACCAAGGCCCTCCCATATTATTATTTTTTACGTGTGGAAACCCCCACGGGCCGTCAACCTACCGGGGTTTGCGGCGGGGTGGTGTCTCAAAAACGGGCCGACTAAAACCACACGGTGTGCCACTCTGCGCCTGTAATAGGAGGGATCCGGGAACTGCTGTTATTAAGACATCAACCAAGGCCTTCCTAAAAGGAGCGCCAACTATCTCGGTATGCAGTCCGCATCAATCCACAGACACTTTCTTTAAGTCGTCGGACCATCGCGCCGCATGGCGTCCTGCACTGCATTTGCCTATTCGCAGTCTCCACTCTCTAGCACATTACGGCTCCAAAAACCGTCAGTCCGTCTGGAGACATGACCCTATTACATAACTAGGAGTAAGTTTACCGCTAATACAGGAAATTAGTGGTCTTTTTTAACTAGCGATAATGAAATTAACTTTATCTCCTAATGATGACGACGAGCACGGATGGCGTAGTGATTTACACGGTCCTCTCGCCGCTTCCTACTGCGCGAGTGTTGTGGGTTCGATCCCACATGGGACAACACTGTGTTATTCACAACTTGTTGTTCCGAGTCTGGGTGTTCTTTGTGTCATGAATGGTTCTAACGTCCCCCACGATACAGGATATATTAAACGAAGTTGCCGTGAAGGGAACGGAAGGTAACTGATGGAAAGTGACTACCGCCGCCCATAAACGCCTGCAACTCAGGAGTCACAAGCGCGTTGCCGGCCTTTTAGGAAGGAGTACACTCTTTTTTGTGTCCGTGTGGTGACGGATTAAGAATACAAATTGTCACCACCCCAATTCATCCCGTGGGTGTCGTAAGAGTCGAATAAGGGAGCAAACTAAGCAGGACAACAACACTGAAAAGAGAAGGAAAACTTGAAACCAACCCTATACCAACCCGTCTGGCCAGCGTGGTATAGTAGGCCAAAACCTCCTAAGGAGAGGCCTATGTCCAGCAGTGGACTAGTATAGGCTGTTGATGATTGATGATGATGATGACACTCTTTTGAAAGGTCGTATCGGTCGCATACGAATGCGGCCCAGAGGGAGAAGCTGGTACTAGGGTGCCCCTAGAGTTGAGAACACTATTCCAGTTGCGGCCGGATTTGCGCCTTAAGAGTTGGAGGCAGTGGGCTGGAGTGAAAAACTGCCTCGATCTGTTCAGCACACAGAGCTTCGTAGAGGTTCATTCCAATACTGGCTGAGGCAGTTAGGGAGGTGGCTCTCAAACCAAGGTGATACGACATACAAAACTGCTGAAAACATTACATTTGTACATACTTTAAATAAATTACAAATAGTTCTGTAAAGAGCACGATTCTTTGTTCTGTCTAACAAATGATCGTGCTCTTCACGGAACTATTTGTCCTGGGTGGGAATCAGAATCACTAACCACTGGACCAGCAGGCTCGTCACTTTATTAGTTAAATAACAAGAAAATAAAACAAAATTATAGTATTTCGTGTAGTTTATTAATACAATTATTAATAGTTAATACTAATAACTTAGCTCTAAGCGTGAGGCTCGTCAGAATTATTGCACGGAGAACAATACACAGAAAAATCTTTTTCTAATTTCATTGTTACAACAATTCCAAGCTATTATTAATTCCAACGAGTAGTAAGGCGATAAAATTGTAAATTGGCATTGATATATAAAAAATAAAGCTCAACGACTATCAAATAACAAGTTAAGTGATGTTCCAACAGGCCAACTCATAGATAGGTGTAATAAACATAGACCAGCATGTTTTCATCATCATCATCATCAACAGCCTTTAACAGTCCACTGCTGGGCATAAGCCTCTCCTTAGAAAGGAGGTTTTGGCCTACTATACCACGCTGGCCAGACGGGTTGTTGCCAGCATGTTTTAAATTAATGAAAAAATAAATATTTTTTGATCTACATCTAAACCAGAGCCTAAACCGCGGTACTACAAAGAACTGACATATTGGCAGGTGATGCTTTCGATGTTGTAAACAACCACTAAAAAAGGATTTTAGCTAAAATAACTGATGAACGACTGTACGGAAGTTCATCATTTTCAAAGTAAGAAATAAGTGAAGTCACGGGCAATATCTAGTTTTCAATAAGTGTTTATTTAACCCTTGAACTAGTGACCCAGTCACAGCTGAGCGAAGTCATTATTACCTCAATATCTACGTTATTTTATAATTATATTCAATAAAATAAACATATTTGGAATCCCTGATATATATTCTTCTAAATGTTGTGACAGAGACGCTACCGCGTAAAAATTTGGTGTCACAACTGTTGTGACGGCGACGCGTCGGAGGTTAAGAGTCGGTTGCAAAAGAAAAGCAATGTGTGACGTCACAAGTTACTATTGTATTTTTGACCATTGGTTTAACATGTCAGTCAACTGTCGTGAACAATTTTATTTATGCATCAATGCGTTTTAGCATCTATTTATAGACGCCATGTTGTCTCTGATTATCACATAATAGTTGGTGTTCTCAGCCCATTCGGGGTCGTCCCATGCCTCTCCCCGCCACTGGCATCTGGTCACCCCCTTTTACATTCTTTATGGTCTCGTCTACAGACAGGATCTGGAAATAGTAAAATTATATTAATAACAATTATTTTTTATGGTATAGAGACAAGCGTGTCAAATGGCTACCGTCGTCCATAGACACCTGCAACGTTTCGTTATTGATCCTCTTCATAATTCAACCTAAAATTGATGGATTTGTACCTGTGCTGCAGCTTCACAGGCGGCGGTAATAGCGTTGATCTTGACAACGGCAGGCTCCCACACGCAGCTAACGAAGTTATCTCCAATGTCCTCCTTCTGGATGTCAATACCGTACCACACTTCACCTGCAATACCCATTCATCAGTAACAGTACCTACATTTTGACTGTTATAGAAGAGGACCACGAATAGGTCCCTGTGGCACTCTCATATTGAAAACTTATCTCGATTGGAATTGATAATGTCGATGTTAATAACTAACATACTATAATTAAAATAAGATGCAAAATAAGATCCAACCATTTAATTTTAATATTAAAATGTCAAATTTTAGTTCACATTTCATGTGCAAGTCTATCAAAAGCTTAAGCAATGCCTTAAAATTTCTTTAATAAAAGTAAAATCTAACGGAAGACATTCCCAGATCGTTCTTTAAAAACTCTGTCTTTTCATAAATTCTTAACATCGAAAATCATACTCATTTTGTGTGTTAGCCTGTTTTTAAGGGCACATGCTACGAACCATTGTGATGCTTGTTCCTAAGCTTGTTAAGGATGTTAGTGGCGTCGAGCCCGGCGTTGTCGCACAGCTGTCTTGGGATAGCCTCGAACGCTCGCGCCACTGCAGCTACGAGCAGCTGTTCCTTGCCTGCCACCTGCTTGGCGTACTCACGCAGATGCTTTGAGATCTCCATATCGATCGCTCCGCCACCTGTATATACAGCATATGGAATCGCAATCAAGTTATTTGTGTATTAATTATTGATTATAATTACAAAATTCCACTTAAATTTTATTTCTGAGATTTCGTGATGTAGTCCTCTCCTAGATGTCCGACTAATGGAAATACAATGGGACTAATCTTATCTCCTTTGGAAAATTATTTATATATTAAAGAACCGAAAATTTTACGTTATTTTTAAAAATACCCGCAAATAAAATCTTACAATAATAAATAATATTGTACCACATTCACACAACGCCATCTAGTCCATAACTAAGCAGAGCTTGTACTATGGGTACTAGACAACTTATATAAATACATATATACTTTTTTTTGTAAATACATACATATTATACGTAGAAACACCCAGACCAAATCAAACATTAAATGTTCATGCACACAAATGTTTGACTTGAGCGGGAATCGAACCCGCGACCTTTGAAATAGCAGTCCGTTACACAAACAACTACGCCATTCGGTCGTCGAAAAAGATATACTGAAGATTAACCAATTTATATTTCAGAGGAATAACAGAGTATTAGCGGCATATCAAGAAGACGCGGCCCCCACTAAGATTATCATTATCAACAGGGACCTTCTCGGTCCTTAGTCAGCGATAGAGATCCATTACCTCCTAACTTCTATAATATTAAGAACAATGCCAAAACAACTGATCATTTGTTCTGTGTCTGGGTGTAATTTATCTACAATATGTATGTATTTAGTAATATATAAGTATGTTTACACGTGGTGACGGATTAAGAATACAAATTGTCACCACCCCAATTCATCCCGTGGGTGTCGTAAGAGCCGACTAAGGGAGCAAACTAAGCAGGACAACAGCACTGCAAAGAGAAGGAAAACTTGAAACAAACCCTATACCAACCCGTCTGGCCAGCGTGGCATAGTAGGCCAAAACCTCTAGTAGACTAGACTAGTATAGGCTGTTGATGTGATGATGTGTGTTTATCAGCAGTCTGGCTACCATAGTACAGGCTCTGCCTAGTTTGGGATCAGACGGCCGTGTGTGAGATGTGTGAGGTATATTATTAACTCACCAGCAACAACAGCGTCATTCTTGATGGTACGACGGACGATCATAATAGCGTCATGGAGAGAGCGTTCCGTCTCCTCCAGAAACTGCTCCGCTCCACCACGGAGGATCAGGGTGCAGGTCTTAGCAGCGGGGCAACCTGGATATATTTATAAAAAAATACAACTCTAGCACCTAGGGATGTGACATTAAAATAGTAATTATTCCCTACTAATAGTATAAATGTAACTGTCTGTTACGCTTTCACGGCTAAACCACCAAACAGGTTTTTATTAAATTTAGCATGCAGATACTTTAATTCTTGAGGAAGGACATAGGCACAGTAGATGGCACCTGACGCAGCAATCAAAAGTGTTATTGCCCAATGCTGGTGAGAAATAATTTTGTCCGGTTAAGAATTCTGACTAACAAATATAAATAAATTCTATGTTATGGTTTTTTAAGTGAATAAATATGTTAGACACTTCTTAACTAAAACTTTAAATGTCAATCGTGAATATAGCCTTCTGACATTTCACTGAATAGAAAGCCCTCATTCCCATTTAGTAGAATCTTCTTCCTTTTTTAGTTGAGTTTCCTAATTTAATTGTGCTACTGCTATGAATATCATTGTAAAGCTTTTGACTGGTTCTCTTTATGGCTTCCGCTTACCTGACACCAACCCTCCTTAAAAACAAGAAGGTAATTATTGTATGGGAAACTGGGCTATGGTAAGGGATGCCCTCAGTCTCGAACAGGCATATGAGCGAGACTGAGGGCATCCCTGAGGTGGGCAGGATTGGGTATCTGTAAGTCTATCCTGAGATTAGAAAAGCATATCAACTGGGTTATAAAAAAAACCACAAGTTTTTACACGCGGCTCGCTATATTTCGCTTATAACGGTGATCACCGTTATATGCTTCTTACAGTATACTAGCTGACCCCGCAAACGTTGTTTTGCCATATACATTATGTCGGTTTACCATAGCAGTGCCATCTATTGATTACTTACTCAATCCAGTCGAAAAGTATCGCCATCTGTTAGAATCTTTTGGAGTTAACAGATAATTGTGACTATCAATTAATTATAGACCAATAATTTGCAATAAAATAAAATTGCGACTATAATTAAAGATCTAAGCTATCCTATCTCTTAAGTTGGACCAGACTGCTCACGGTGTGCCAATTTAATTTAAAATCGGTTAAGTAGTTTAGGAGTCCATCGCGGACAAACATCGGGACAGGAGATTTATATATATTAAGATTTGTCTATCTACAGTAACGCCATCTACAAATATATATAAAACCAAGATATTCTCACCTTCCGGAGCCATATCTTTATTGTAACCTGTTTAGGAAAAGGATAGGATTAGGAGAGGTTAAGGAGTATACATAAAAAAACGGAAAGGGGGCCCTTTCTTTAAAAGAGAAAAGAACGACAAAAGACTCTTCGGGAGTTGTCTTTTAATATATATATATACCAGTTGCACAGGACCTTACAAAGCTCAAAGCATATTTTATAAAGGTTTGTGAAAGCTTACAAAACCCTTTTTATGAAACTGACACAAAGAACACGCATACTCAGAACAATAATTTGGGGATCACACAAAGTGTTGTCAAATGTAGGAATCAAACCCACATCTTTTTGCGGAGTAGGAAGCGGCGAGGTGACCGCTTAAACTAGTACGCCATCCGTGGAGTCAAAATATACTTTTCTTTGTTCTATTTGAAAGTGTTTAAGGACCCAAGAATTTAAATAAAATTGAAAAAAGGGCAGGAAATGGTTTCAAAAAGGAGGTAGCTTTTGTGTGTGTAACTTTTAACTTATCTTTTGGCGGTTAATTCTAGCACAGCGCATGTTCATCTTTCAAATCAAGTAATGTGCGCTTTCCTGCTTCTTATAACGTCTGTTGGTGCGTTTTCAAGAAATCACTCTTATCATCATCTTCAACTAGTCTACTGCTGAACATACGCTTCTCCTTAGAAAGGAGATTCTGATCTACTATCACTCTTATAAACAGGAAAGCGCATTCGGCGAAGATTTCAATGTGGTCACTATGGGAACGTGTTTGTAACTTCTCAGTTGCTGGCGTTCATGGGCGACGGTAGTCGCCTTCCATCAGGTTAACGGTCTGCTCGGTTGCCCCCTTCTTGCAATAAAAAAAAAGACAATCAGGTCCTCTGGTTGCAAGAAATTATAGCATCGTAGAAAAGCTTGGAATTTGATCGGTTAGGATTAGGAGTTTCGATCGATGCGTCACTATTTTCTTAAAGCGAATGGACTATAATAAGAATTTTATGAAGTAGTAGTGAGCGGTGTGGGTGTGGTGTGTGTGTGTGGTGTGTGTGTGTGGTGTGTGTGTGTGGTGTGTGTGTGTGGTGTGTGTGTGTGGTGTGTGTGTGTGGTGCGTGTGTGGTGCGTGCGTGGTGCGCGCGACTGACCGGTGAAGAGGTTGTACCGCTCGCCGCCGATCTGTCGCTCGGTGAAGTGCTGGCACGAGCCCAGGGCGGCGCGCTGCAGGTCGCGCGTGGAGCTGAGCACGGCGCCGCCGCACGCGCGCTGCGTGCGCCGCAGGTCCTCGTCCGGCACGCGACCCGCGCAGAACATGTCGCTGGGGGGGGAGGTAGGGCTCAACTCGGCTCACCAAACGGGTCGGTATAGTTTTTGTATCAAGTTTTCTTTCTTTTTCTATCGTTAATATTCCACTTGTGTCTCAACTCAGGGTCACCACAACCAATATATTTTTTGTGGGATTTTGAATGCCTCATATCTACTATCGACGATCCACACAGCCATTCAGAAATTGGATCCGTTAGTTTATAATCATCGGCTTATCCCGAACAAACAAATAAAATTAAAAAAACCCACTCGCAAAGGAAACCCAGGACTAACTCTATAGTGTTTCATCATCATCAACAGCCTTTCACAAGTCTGTCTGCTGTGGACATAAGCCTCTCCTTAGAAAGGAGGTTTTGGCCTACTATACCACACTGGCCAGACAAGTTGGTATAAAGTTTTTGTTAAGTTTTCCTTCCCTTTCAGCAGCCCTTACGGCACCCACAGGATGAATAGGAGTAATGACACACCATCTTCTAAATCCCTGACCAAATGGTTAAGTACCATAAAATTCAGTAAAAATTTCAATCTCACCGATCAGCAAAGTACTGTGTGGCTACATCACCAATGGGCAACTTGCTCAGCACGACGTTGGCACCGCTGGCATGGAGAGCTGCCAACTTCTCGTACAGAATCTGCCACTCAGCGTCCACAACCTTCTGATACTCTTTAACGTTGTCGACACGGACCTGGGAATATAACAGGCCCCTTTAAAAAAAAAAGTGCTACACGCAATATTAATTTCAACGCCATCTGGTGAACAAGCCGAAATACTTAGTATGTGGAGACCCAGATACAAGCAATGAGAGGTATAGTCACTTTACCAGTGGAAATCTCAACATATGAGACCCATGCTTCATCACGAATCGGTCCACTCTAAGTCCCAAGAAGAAATTAAACTGTCTGTGGAAAATTGGAGGAGTTGGAAATACAGTAAATCCACAGACAGAAGTGTAATCAAGACCTTCCAGAAAACTGCATTTCTTTGTTGCTTTTCACCAAGTAAGTGAAGTTATCAGAGACCTGACTCCTCCGCTAATTCCCACGGGAGCACTTAAAGGCAACGCACTTGTATTGGTGGTAGTTACTTACCATCAGGTGACGCGTTTGTTCGTCTGTGCCCTAAAGGCTAAACCATAAAAAAAAATCTCTTTTCTCACCTCAGCATTGTCCCTTTCCGCCTTGAGTTCCAGCTCAATATTGAGCAGAGCAATCTTGCAATTGTCATAACTCTTGGGCTGCATCTCAAAACCAGCGTAGGAGAATGTCTTCTTGAAGGCGACACCAGCTACCAGGAAAGACTCTTCTAGAGCACCGCCAGATACTTTCTTTATACCTTAGGGACAAAATAACATGTAATTTTTAAGATGAATCTATGATTAAATAATTACTTGTAATAAAAATCTGTACAAAATCATTATTTACCTACTTTCTTTGTACACATAAATAATAATTATTTTTCTCAAAGTATTGTATTCGTATTTGTAATCTAACAGAAATTTTAAACATGTACTAAAATTTTTGGATAGCCATATTTTTTTTATTTGTTTTATAATTATTATTATTTTTATTTTTTTAAAGACAACTCCCGCATTAGGAATATATCCTGTGTCGCAGGGGGCTTTACAAAGGAGCGGGACCGGAAGAGGTTTAGAACTCTCCCGGCCCGCCAGGCCCGGGAACGGGCCAGGTACCGCAGGCGACTCAGGCGCCGGAGGTCGCAGAACGACCTCCGTGCTCCATAAGCGCAGGCCTGGGGGTGACAGGTGAGGCCATCTGTCACCCTAGGGGTCAAGGTATGTTGGGGCACCAGGGACTTCCTTTCTAGGGTATACCTGGTTCCCCAGCTATTAGTACCCGAGACGGCGTGCGGTTTTACTCGGTTCGAGTCAGACATGCCACCATGGTGGTATCCGAGGGGATTTCCGCACGGAAAAAAAAACTAAAAAAGGGGGCTTTACCAACATATATGAAACAGACACAAAGAACATCCAGACTCAGAACAACAATTTGTGGATCACACAAAGTGTCGTACCATGTCGGGTTTGAACCCACAACACTTTGCGTAGTAGGAAACGGCGTGGCGACCGCTTAATCCACTACGCCATCCGTGCAGTCAAATTAGTAGTAATTCTTTAAAACTTGTAGATGTAAGTCGTGATTGCCTGAACTTGGGTCATATTTTATACAGGCAATATTTTTTTTTTCTTTAATAACACTTTATATACCCTAAGTAACCTAAGTATTAAATAAATAAATAAACTCTACAATTTGACGTAGGTTGATCACCATAACATATGGACCAAGTAAGTATGTGTATTTTGCAATAAAAAATTTACTTCCTCCACTCCTGGGGTCATACGGAATCCAGGCAATCACGCCGCTTATTCTTTACTAACGTGAATACCATCATTCCTGATGGTTTTCATCAATATAACAGATGGCTTGGAAATTTTGAGGTAGCCTTTGTCACTAAATGACTGTGAATAGTGATGTTACAACAGCGTGGTTCTCCCACATGCAAAAAATGATTCACTGTGGGAGAGCCATGCTTCGGCACCAATGGGCCGGCTCGACCGGTGTGATACCACGGCCCCACAGAAAACCGGTGTTAAGCAATTCTTTCGTTGCCTTTCACTGAGTGAGTGAGTGAGGTTACCGGAGCCCAAATCCGCTCGAGTCAGCGGGAGGGACTCCAAGGGCGGCAACGCACTTGTGACTTTTGAGTTGCAGGTCTCCATGGGCGGCGATAGTCAGTCATCAGGTGACCCGTCTGCTCGTTTGACCCCTCATACCATAAAAAAAAACCTGCTGGAGCTAGGGTCACCACAACATTTCCCTAACATATTTTTTGGGGATTTTAAATGCCTCATATCTACTATCAATGATCCACACAACCATTCAGAAATTGGATCCGTTAGTTTATAATCATTGGCATATCCCAAACAGAAAAAATATTTAACATTCCATAAATAGACTTAAAGAACTGAATACTAAAGTAATCCAAGACTAAACCTGTAGTCTGGTGTTCTGCAATGCAGTTGTATCACTCCAATCTAGCTGGCTTATACTTTCCAAAGCATGGTAGAGCCATCATCATACACAAGAGTGATCAGTAATTTATCTAGTATATATCATCATCATCATCAACAGCCTTTCATAATCCACTTCTAGACATAAATAAGCCTCTCCTTAGAAAGGAGGTTTTGGCCTACTATACCACGCTGGCCAGACGGGTTGGTATAGGGTTTGTTTCAAGTTTTCCTTTTATTTGTGCCGTTGTGCAAAATAGTTTACTCCCTTAGTGGACTCTTACGACACCCACGGGATGAACAGGGGTGGTGACACTTATTCTTAATCCAATAATTTCTAACCAATCATGTCCAATGGCAGGAGTGGTTGATCCAATGAGAGTACAGCATCAACAACAATCTTCGAGAAGTGTTCTTTTTGCTGGTTGATGAGCTTCGATGACATGGCAGTGGATGCGCACTTGCTGAGTAGGTCTCTGGCGAAGACAAAGTTTTTATTTATTAGTTATGCACGTTATGTGTAGGAAAGGTACATTTTCTTTATGACATTATACCTAAGGCATGACATCACACCACACCCTAGTATTTCTGTTAAGGTTAGAAATGCGCACTTATGTATTTTAAATTTTCCCGCGCTTGAGCCGCCATACTCGGATACCACCTGTCGGTGGCATGTGGGACTCGAACCGACTAAAACCGCACGCCGTCTCGGGTACTAATAGCCGGGGTACTAGAAAGGAAGTCCCTGGTACCCCGACATACCTCGGGTCATCTACAGACGAGTAGACGACCCCCCCGTGTGGGAACCCCATGTTCCCGGTGCTCCCTGGAAGCGAGCGCGCTTCGCAACGCGCTTGCCGCCACCCCGGCCTGCTTCTGCTAGGGTGACAGATGGCCTCACCTGTCACCCCCAGGCCATACTTGAACCCCTGCATTCTATATGTCAATTATTACTTGCACCGCCATTGTGTATGCTCTGCATATCTTTACAATAAAACACATCTTAGTGTATTCAGTATTTTTATTGCTTGTTAACCCATAAATATCAACAATTTCATAGAACCAAACTAGGTAGAGCCTGTGCTATGGTGACCAGACTGCTGATAAACATACTTATATATTAAATACTAAATACATACATATTATAGATTAATTACACACAGACACAGAACAAATGATCGTCCTCATAAGACAATTACTTGTCAAATCGAACCCACAATCACGGACTGCTAAAATCTCGATCACTAATCACCACCAGCCAAGCCCATCAAACGATGGTTTCACAGAGCATTTGGACGTTTAAAAAGAAAATATTATATTTTATTTATCCGTGTGGTGATGGATTAAGAATACAGAGTGTCATCACCCCTATTCATCCCGTGGGTGTCCTGAGAGCCGACTAAGGGAGCAAACTCGGCAGGATAATAACACTGCAAAAAGAAGGAAAACATGAAACAAACCCTATACCAACCCGTCTGGCCAGTGTGATATAGTAGGCCAAAACCTCCTTTCTAAGGAGCGGCCTATGTCCAGCAGTGGATGATGATGATTTGTATGTACAGTCAAATACTAACCTCTGTTCTTCTGGAGACTTGTTATCAATCTTCACAGCGAGTTCCTTAACCCTGTCGACTGCGAGCTTTGCGGCCGTGCGGACTGCACGAATGATGATGCGGGGGTGAACACCTGCGTAATAAAACATTATATAATAGTGTTTTAGTTAATGATCTTTGTGGTGACAGTTCAAGAATATGGAGTGTCACCACTCCTATTGGTCTCATGGGTTACGGAACAGCCACCTACGAAACAGCACTGCATAGAGAAGGAAAAGTTGACACAAACCCTTAACCAACCCATCTGTACGTGGTATAGTAGGCCAAAACCTCCTTTCTGAGAAGAGGCCTATGTCCAACAGTGGACTGTTAAAGGCTGTTGATGATGACGACTTCGTAAGTGAACGAGACCTGAGACCTGTACTACTGATGAAATACTAAAGGCCTTGGTCAAGATACGCCCTTATTCTTCTCTACTCGACACAACCCAACCTCTTCAATCTGCAGCAGTCCTGTTGCCCATCCGGGTATTGATTACCCTCGCTTCCTCATTCTATCTGATTGCTTTAACCCTAATTAACTTCTCCCTTTGTCCCAGCTCAAAAAGGTTTTATTCTTAAGGGGGGGGGGTAGATGTTTGGCAGTCTACTCATTGAATTCTGATTCAGCCTCATATTTATTACTTATAATCCACACAATTCTTCAGAAATTGGATCCGTTTGTTTATAATCATTGGCTGGCACAGAACATGAAAGTAATCACAATTGTCACATTATGACACAATATTAAAAACCAGGTTACCATGTCGTGGAAATACCATCAAAGTAACAGTATACGAAATATCCTCATCATCACCCACAGTCTTCACTATTCCACTGCTGGACATAGGCCTCTCCTTAGAAAGGAGAGGCCTATTTTCTGGAGGTTTTGGCCTACTATACTACGCTGGCCAGACGGGTTGGTATAGTTTGTGTCAAGTTTTCCTTCTCTTTGCAGTGCTGTTGTCCTGCGTAGTTTGCTCCCTTAGTCGCCTCTTACGACACCCACGGGATGAATAGGGGTGTGAAAACTAGGAAGTGAGCTGATGGTCACGGGAGCTATGATGCCAAAGACACACAGACAGATAAACAGTTTAAACTTAACGCCCCTCTCTCCGTCGAGGTTTAAAAATAGAAACCCAACTGTGTGAAAGACATACATACACTCCGAAGTACAGAACCTTTCTGGCACAGTCGGGTAAAAATCAACCGAAGTAGTTTTATTACCGTCTTCTACGAATGGCTTCAGTCTCTTCAATAATTCTCCAGCCAGGATCACAACCGATGTGGTGCCATCTCCAACCTGGAATTTTATATATTTTGAATTTTTTTGTAAGTTATTTATAAATTGTGGGTTCGAGGACTCAGGACAAATATTGTGGTCTGAGTATGATCATTGTTCTGTGTATTATCGTGTATCATTGTTCTGTGTATATATAGGTATTATCTATAATCACTTGCAAATGAAATGCCTGGCTCATAGGATTGTACTTAGGTGTTTTTGGAACGAAAAAATTAGAGACGGAAAAAATTAAGACGAAAAGTTGTAACGACACTTTTTGCTATTGTAAGCTATTGTAAGCCGTGCGGGGTGCGCATGTTTCTCTGTCTGTCTCTGTGTGATTGAGCCTACTGATTAAGTTTATATTACATTATATTTGTTAATAATAAAAAAAAAAATACAATTCCTTCACTAATTAATCGAAAGGTACTTCGTTCCATCCTGGGGTCTCTAGACACCTCTCAAGTTTTATTAGTCTTCATGGAGAGATTACACACGTTAACACACTCAACCAAGAATCTTCAACCACAATGTTGCTACTTTAACAAGCACAATAACATTTTAATAATAATAATTTATGGTTGCCATAAACAATGTTTATCTGCAATTTGGTTACTACCCTGGTCGAATGAAAGTAAACAACAAAAGTAATTAATATGCAGTCCCTCGCAGCGGTACATATATAAATACAATACACACATAATAATAATATTTTAGACATCTAACACACAACGCCATCTAGTTTCAAACTAAGCAGAGCTTGTACTATGAAAGCTAGATTGACTAATAGAATACTTATATACTTTTTTTATGTAAATACATATTATACATAGAAAACACCCAAACGCCGAAACAAATATTTGCACAGCATACAAATATTTAGTCCGTCCCGGGAATCGAACCCAAGACCTCTGAACAGCGGTCGCATACGTTATCACTGTGACCATTAAGGCATATAAATAGTTTTTAAAACATACACACATAAGGTACGTAACTTCTTAGTCTTAAAAGTTAGTGTGAGTAATTAAATGTGTCCCGTAATAAATGTCTCCGTTTGTTCTGATCTAGCCTCATATCTACTAGCAATGATCCTCACAACCATTCAGAAATTGGATCCGTTAGTTTATAATCATTGGCTATTTATATTGACCAGATAACAAACTTATATAAGACACTAGCACACACACACATTATATCTAGGAAATATTGAAATAAAATATTTAGGGGTATAATTTAACCCTTTTTGTTTAGGGGTATGAAAAATAGATTTTGGCCGATTCTCAGACCTACCCGATGTGAACACAAAATTTCATAAAAATCGGTGCAGCCGTTTCGGAGAAGTATGGTAACTAACATTGTGACACGAGAATTTCATATATAAGACATAGAATTAAAGTATTTTGTTGTTCTTTGTTCTTTGTTCATTGTTCTTCAAATCTTGAGCCATGGGATGTCTGACAGATATGAAACATCGAATATATGGATTAGTACTGATTTCCCCCTGATGGTTGTGTTTTATTTAATAGATTCAAGTTGGAACAGTCAAAGAAAAAGTTATATTTTTGTATATTTGTTATAAATTATCAAATCACACATTTTCTTAGTCTTACAATTTAAATACACAAGCTTTCTTAGTATTTAAGGCATAAAATCTAAAAAAACAATTAAAAGAAAAATAATAATTACATTGTGTAAACATTATATGTAATAGGGGGAATCAGCACTAACCCAAATATATTTTGTAGAAATAATCAGTATAAAAGGATATATCACATGGCGTGGCTACACATGGCGTGGCAACGCATGCCGTGGCTACACATGGCGTGGCAACGCATACCGTGGCGTCGCGTCGCCAATAAAATTGGCGGTATAACTAACAGCTGCATACATAATACTTACAAAGACAGTTTAATGTCTGTCAACCCTGGGACAGATTTGAAACTAGGGGTGTCAATATTTACTGATTCTTATTGTCTTACGCACCTCAGCATCTTGGGATTTGGCGATATCCACCAAGGTTTTAGCAGCAGGGTGGACAATATCCAGCAGCTTCATAATGGTGGCACCATCGTTAGATATGACTGCTTTGCCTTGGTGATCCACAATCAGCTTGTCCATACCACGAGGGCCCAGGGTTGTGCGGACCTGAAAGAGTAAGTCAACATAGTTTTAAGAATATGAGTCTATTAAATGAAAAATAATTCTTATCCTTTAAACTCTGTAAATAGAACTGACCTAAGTCTCATAATAGTAGAAAAAAACTAGAGAAGGCACAAAGGACTACAGTAGACCAAAAAGAACTCCAGAAGACCAAAAAGACTACAGTAGACTAAGACAAAACAAATTGAATAATCACATTAAAAGGGTTTAAAGCTTCAGCAGGTTTAATTTATTGGTATTGGTGATGGTAAGCCTCATATCTACTATCAATGATCCACACAAACATTCAGAAATTGGATCCGTTTGTTTATAATCATTGGCTTATAGGGAAGTTGCACTGGTCAGCTAGTTGTACATATAGGTTAACTCTATTACTCTAAAGTAATGCACCTATGAACTGCTGAAAGTATTATTAAAACAGGTGCAGTTGTTTTGGACATAACTACTGATCACAACAAACTAAAAATTTGGACACTTTCTTTTTAATAGCAGTGTAGTGCAAAAGTAATGCACCTATGAACTACGGAAACAAAAATAAAAGTGGTAAATAGCCCATCTATAATAACTTTTCGAGGTCAGTTCCTATCTCAAGAGGAAAAAGAAGTGTACCTAAAAAATATATGTTATTTGACTTACACCATCTACGACGAGTTGACAAGCATTAATATTCGAGATGAGCTGAGCTTTCCCTTGGGACTGGTCAGTCCCCTCTTTCAATAACAGGATTTGTGGTTGCTGAAATGATAAAATTAGTAAGTACTAGCCTTTGCTCATGGTCACATCTGTGTTTGTGTCGGTTATCAGGGTATCAGGCATCTCCGTGACAAATTTAATTCAAAATCGGTTTAGCGCTTATCTGTGAAAGCGTAACAGACAGACAGTTACGTTCACATTTATTAGTGGAGACATGTTTATAGAAACCTATGAAATATAGAATAGATTTAGGTTTTATTCATATTTGAAAATGAAACCAGTACTGTGGGGACTCCCATGTTGATCTATAATAATTCATTACACTTCGACATGTTGGGTCGACATGAACAAAATCTGATTTTGAGGGTTGACGAGGTCTAAAACTCGACCCTTACAAAAAATTTTAAGATTTTTTTAAGGGATTTTTAAAGTTACTCTGATCTGGGGGTCTAAGGTATCAGTTCTTCTGGAAAAGGTCTCTTGACTAAAAATTTTGCCAGAGGTTGTAGGTTTGATTCCCACCCAGGATTTATATTTGTTTGATGAGCATGAGTCATTAGTTCTGTATCTGGGTGTATGTAACAAACACTAAGACAGGACTAATGCAATACAATAAACATAGTGTGTTTATCAGGAGTCTGGTACCATAGTACAGGCTCTGCCTAGTGTGGGATTGCCATCTGGGCAAGGTGTGAGGTGTGTCAGGTAATTATTATTTTAATAATGTAGGATAATCAAAAATATTGTATTGAAATAAACTTATACCCATAACGAGTAATTATTTTAAATAACGCCAAAGACCTGGAACATTATTTCTTATAACTTAGTAATAATTATTTATAAATATAACTTATTAAGACCAATAAGAATCGCCGATTCATACAAAAGATCATAGATTTTTCAGAAGTTACATAGTCTGTAGCAGTTTTGTTTATTTATTAGCACTATTTTTAAACTGTAATAAGTATTTCATAGCCAAATTGAAAATTCCATAGCGATTTAGACGTTAAAATCGTAGTCATGTGAACAGTTGGTCGCCGAAACGAGCGTTTCATAGACAAATGAACATCAGTTTTCTAACGCCGCAATAAAAAAAAATACGGCAAAACCGCTATGGTGTTATATCTCCCTGAAGTCCTCATTTAAAACAGATTATTTCATACCCTTTACAGTTGTTTCCTATTACTAATACAGACAATAATTTAAATTTGTTGCAAGTTTTCGAAATTTAACCCTTCGACTTTTATAACACTTTTCACTAAAAAATACACAGAAGTCAAATAAAATACTAAAGCGATTTAGTAATTTACACATTATTCTTCAAATATGTGTTATTAGATTTAGATAACTGTTAAAGATTATATCGGAAAATTAAAATTTAGTTACCATTTTGATATTATTTTTTCCACAAATAAACTGAACTGAATGACTTTGACATATGACTCAATGTGTTGCCGTAATATTCATAGGTAAAACCAGTAAATTGGGTAGAAGATACTTCATAATGGGACGTCACATAAAACTGTAAAATCAGTATAACTCAAAAGAAATATTTTTTTTAGCAATAATATTACACAAAAATCGATCATTATAAGGATTTGGAACTTTAAGTTATTTTCTGAAATCGGGTTATTTAACAAAATAGCGAAGTAACTAAACGTTAACCTGATTGGCTCTTCATGAAAGAGGAATGGAACGACTGCGGACTACTAGAGATGCCCATTTAAATTCAGGTCTATCAGTTCAATAGTTCTATCAGTTTGAAAATCGATTATTTTCTTACTCTTTTCTTTTAAAAGATTAATGAGATCTTATGTATGAAGTCGAATGAAAAGCAAGAATATTGAACTTTGTGTTAACGACCACATATTTAGTTTAAATTATTTTTTATTTTTCATTTCATATAATGAAATTACTTATAATAAAGTCACCCCTACAGTGCAGAACAAGACAATCTAATCAAAGGTAGACAACTACAATTTAAAAATAGCGTCCCAATGAAAAGATGTATTGAAATACATCAAGAAAATAACTGGTTTTCATTATAGTTAACACAAAATACCCATAATATGCTTAACAGTGGTAGTAGCTAACATTAGTGATGTGTCGGAAATATATATGTATAAACACGGATATCTGAAAAAAAAAACAGAGTGTTATATATATAGTTATATTACTACGACTACGACTATAGTCCAAACCAAGATAAAAACCAATATAAAAATTATGTATGTATCCAGACACTATTGTATACTAACTACATAATACTAAGATAGGCAGATCTATCTCTTATTTAAACCAAATGTGAGATTTATTATTAGTTTAACTGGTGAATATGATGGCAAGAGAGACAAAGAGTGACATTGTCCATTGATCAATCAATTGATATGTGATAGTACATGCAACATGTAGGTAATGCAGTGTATGCATGCATGTAATAATTTTATATTAAATTAATATAAACTTATATTACGTAAACAATTATCTTTTAAAAAAAAAAATGTACATATTTGATTTTTAATTGTTCTATATTTATTATTTTTACATTTATGCCATTCTTCTATATACATTAACTTTATAAAATAATTTCGATGTTCACATCTACCAAAAGTCTCTGATTAGCTAGATTTTTTAATTTTCAGGGTAATCATACGTTTGGTGCCTTAAAAATCAACTTTTGTTCATGAAAAATTCGTAACTTCTTATATACTTAAAAAATTTACTACGTTTTGATGATTGGTGATGTTTTTTTAATAATCAAGAAAAAAAGTTTTATAAACTTTTCATAGAAATAGGAAAAGGTATTTCACCAAGTAACTCGATTGATAAACATCGATTTCTTAATGCACCCTATTCTTAACACGTACATCACTAATACATCGGATAGAAACGTCAAATTGTTTTGCGCTGATTTACATGTGCCGAATTGCATTATTGGCGAAATTATTTAAAAACTATTTGGAACGGCGGTATATATATGAAAAATTCTTAAAACATGACCCGACAAGTGGATATCAAGGCATTGGTATCCCATATAGTGCGTGGAGACGGAGCAGACAGATGCCGAATATGTATGGGTGATACATCGGAAGGGCAAGTCCACTTGGAAGATACGGTTATGATGGATGGTGAAAAGCCCGTGACACTCGCTGAGTTGTTAGAAGTAATCACAGGAGTAGAGGTAAACAAATTATGACGCATATAAAGCTATACATCAAACGATTTGTTTATTTTCTGTGCATAACGGAACGGCGTCTTCCCGCCGCGGTATTCGTGCCAAGATGGCGGCTAGAATGTATGAAAATTTTTAAATCATCGTAATAAAATCGTTTGATGTAGAAGTTTTGGCTTAATTATAAACTTAATATAAGATACATTAAATAAGAATGCTCACAATGTGTTTTGAATATAAATTCCCCATACAATTCCGTAAATCATTTGAATATGAGTTTACGAAGATAGCTAGTATGACGTCACGTTTAGTTTTCAATGTTGCAAAAGACACTAATGCAAAGGGTTATAATAATTTTGTAAATCTGATTATAAAAAAATAAATTATTCAATTACTTTCCAACGTTTATATTCATATCAAAACTAATATCAACTTTTTAGTTCCAAATAATATTAGAAATAACCAAGTCACTATTGGATTTACTTAGGCGAGAGGACTCTGACCAAAAACAATATTATAGTTATCCACCCATTTTATTATTAAAATATTATGATACAAATTACAAATTTAAATGTGGGATATCAGAATAGGTTTTCCATTAAAAAATAGTTTACATTAAACAAACAATGCTTGTTTTAAAGTATCCTATCATGAGACAAAAAAGAAGTACTGGTGCTGTAGTACATTAGAAAATTATTATATTTTGAGCAAAACCCATTACTATACAGTAAACAGCATTTTAAACTCTTCAGTTGTCCTATATCAGTAAATTGTCATTTTTCTGTAAAGATCTGGTACCCAATATATCTGAAAACCGACTTCACCTAAAATGTGACTTATATGATATATATATGATACAAGTTATAATTGAATTCACACTATTTTGTTGTAAACTCATTAATTATTATTTTAAACTTTTTTGAGTCGTATTAATCCTTTTTTTTTTTTTTTTCGTGCGGAAATCCCCTCGGATACCACCAGTCGGTGGCATGTCGGACTCGAACCGACTAAAACCGCACGCCGTCTCGGGTACTAATAGCCGGGGAACCAGGTATACCCTAGAAAGGAAGTCCCTGGTACTGAGTTGTATTTATCCTATAAATTTATAACACTAAAATCCTTTCTAACACTTGAATACTATTTATGATTAATCATGAACTTTGACTTAATCATTTTATTGGTCTTTACTTATTACTCATCAATCATCATCATCAACAGCCTTTAATAGTCCACTGCTGGACATAGGCCTCTCCTTAGAAAGGAGGTTTTGGCCTACTATACCACGCTGGCCAGACAAGTTGGTATAGGGTTTGTGTCAAGTTTTCCTTCTGTTTGCAGTGCTGTTGTCCTGTGTAGTTTGCTCCCTTAGTCGCCTCTTACAACACCCATGGGATGAATAGTGGTGGTGACACTCCGTATTCTTAATCTGTCACCACACGGACACTAATTCCTCAACAATTGGTAACTGCAAAGTCAGGGTAGGGAAATGATGATCACACATATTTCAATACCTAATTAAAGTCATGATCGTAGAATAATTTCGGTTTTGAAAAAAATTCGAAATTTATTTTTTACCTTAGTACAGTATCTAAACTATATTGTCTAAATATTAGTACTACATTCAAGAAAAAAATTATATATGTTTTTCAGTATTTCTTTAAAAGGTGCTTAAAATAAATGAAGGATGTGATTTTTCTAGAAAATTGTAAAATTATTAGTTGTTATTTTTATTGCAATTTAAAACAAACTGTATTTTTCAGTTATATGCCAATTTTCATAATTACACATTTAGAATTAAAAAAGTTATGTAAAAAAAATAACTGCCCTGTAAAATTCAATAAATGTCAAACCGGACACTATTCTACTATTTTGCTAAATCTTTGTCAAAACAAAGATTATTACTATTGTGCGTGTTGATCGATGACTTTAGTCTACGTAAGAGACGATTTCAAACAATATTTGTTTATGAAATAAAGATATTTTGAGTTTTCGACAACTTGACATGAATAATAGGTGAATCTTATGAGATATACTGATCATAGCTTAAGTATGTATTGGTATGATTGTAAGACACATTTGATACTCCAAATAACCAAAAACTCTTTAAATAAGTATAGACATTAAAATTAAATTAGGTCCATTGTAACTTGAGAACACATAGAATCTCTAAACTGTAAAGATGTTAGCATCACAAGAAATCTTATTACTTACTCCTTGCCTGTTGTATAATAAAAAAAAAGACCATATATAGTGACAGACCTGTTGGCTCAGTGGTTAGTGACCCTGACGGCTGATCCCGGCGTCCTGGGTTAGGTTCCTGACTGCTCCTGTTAGGTTCTGTGTCTGGGTGTAATTTATCTATAGTATGTATGTATTTAAAAATATATAAGTATGTTTATCAGCAGTCTGGTGACCATAGCACAGGCTCTGCCTAGTTTGGGATCAGATGGCCGTGTGTGTGATCACATCACATCACATCAACAGCCTATACCAGTCCACTGCTGGACATAGGCCTCTCCTTAGAAAGGAGGTTTTGGCCTACTATACCACGCTGGCCAGACGGGTTGGTATAGGGTTTGTTTCAAGTTTTCCTTCTCTTTGCAGTGCTGTTCTCCTGCTTAGTTTGCTCTAGTAGCTAGTATATTATTATATTATCTTAGCCAAATAGTATGAGGTACTTATTTTTATTTATATATATATGCTTAAGTCTAAGAGAAACTTGAGAAAATATCTCTAGTTAATGTATTCTAAGTAGTTTCTACATAAATAATAAATATATAATAATGAGATACTTATTTGCACATTACCTGTAAGATTCAGTCTTTAAATTCTTAGATGCTAAATTTTCCAGGCCTGTGTTCAACCACAAGTCAGATTAATACATATTTGCATAATGTTACAATTCTAACCCCTCCACTACTACTAAACCACTGCCCTAACCAAAATGATGTAACTAAATTCAGTCTTTAACCCAAAAAATATACATAATTTAATAAAATATATAATGTTCAGTGGTCTCCAAACACAAAAATTATAAATGCAATGCAAAACAACTAGAAAAATCTAAAATTTCAAAGCATTTATAAAGACACAGAAACTGTGCAGCTTATAATGTATTAATTTATTGAAGATTATTGCTTTAAAATGGACCATACAAATAATTAAGTTAGTAAAACTGTAAGAAGAATACATCTTATTGGCCGTTTGACTAGTACGGTGGTTGCAGGTGCTGCTGGACGATGACCTGCCCGTAGGACTCTGCTCCACATGTTCAGTATCGGCTCTAGAAGCAGCTGACTTCAGATCACTCTGTCATCAAGCTATCTTACAGTGGGACACAACTGTAGAACTTCTAAACAATCTGCCACCTATTACGGAAAGTAATAAAAAGGTGATTGCTGTAATAACGGAAAATACTATATCTTTTCCTGTTCAAAAAGTAAAAGAAAATAATGAAGTACCTAAACTTCAAAATAAAGCAAAGGATCGAAATATTAAAAGCAGAAAGTGTCAATGTCCGTTTTGTGGTAAACGGTTTCTATATGCGAAACATCTGTGTCAGCATCTGAAAGAGTCATCAGATAATCAACGAGCCTGCCACATCTGTGCTGAAATAATGTCTAGAGACGAACTAGTGAAACATTTATTAGAGACACATAGTAGAGAACCGCATGCTTGCAAGAAATGTCCAGCTATGTTTCAATCAAATAAACAATATAAAGAGCACTTAGGCAGGGCACATGCTTCTGGGGCGTGTACATGTGGAGAATGTGGTCAAAACTTCCAAAGTTCTTATGCCTATTATGCTCATCTATCTGTTCACACGCCGAAACGATGTCCTAGCTGTGACGAGTTGTTCAGAAACCAAAAATGCTATTATTATCATGTTAAACGATGCTGCAACCTGGACAGAGATCGTGCAGACACCCATAGAACAAAATCTAAAGTAACTGTAACAGTTAAAAAGAAAAATAGAGACATAAGAGTTGGTATGAGAGGCAGTGCAGACTCTGAGTGTATATGTGACTATTGCAACAAAAAATTTGCTGGCAAAAAATTTGTTGCAGCACACATTCAGATTGTTCACATGAAAAACACTCATCGGCCCTGCGTATACTGTGGGAAATCCCTCGCGGCTGCACATATGACCACTCATATTAAAAAACATCTGACAATTGAATCTTTTCAATGTGGTTACTGTGGAATAATACTAAAAACTAAACTAGGGTACAGCCAACACTTACGTCTGCACACTGGAGAAAGACCATACGCTTGCAAATTCTGTGGAGAAACATTTACAGCATCGTCCAGGCGTTCAGAACATGTGAGAAAGTGCCACCAAATGACAGAAGTAGTTTTAAAACATGCTTGTGAATTCTGTCCTGCAAAATTCAGGCTACCGTACAGATTAAAAAAACATATTAGCTCTGTTCATGGCGGAGGGAAAGAACAATTGCTGTTTGGCTGCAATATTTGCCAACAGAAATTCAGTAGTTGTCGCGGATTGTTGCATCACAGTAGAAAACATCAAGAAACTGTTGAGAAACCAGAGAATATTTCTATGCTACCATTAAATCCTACTGTTTAGGAACTGTATTGAGTAAGAGAAAAGCGTTTGTTAATTTCAAGTACATCAAAAACTACAAATACGTAGTCATTTTTTATAGTACATGGAGCCATAAAGACTTTAGTTAAATAGCGTATTTCGGTAAATAAAATCTACTGAACCTATCATTGCATCGCAGAAATAATTCCCAAAAGAGATAATAATAAAAACCACATCGTACATAAAGTTAGTCCGTTGCAATACCGCCGGGAACCCCCATTTTATCATCTACCCCCAATAAAAAAATTGTAAAACAATTTATATTAACTTGCTCAAAAGTTGTCTTATAATGAAGCCTTGAAGATTCGTCATTGTTTTAGGTCGAGATTGTATCATCGATGCCTAAGAAAATCTGCGGGCAGTGCAAACATCAACTTTATGCCATGCTTCCATTCATCAACTTATGCCGAAATTCGTCTAAACGATGGAATGAAATCTCAAATTATTTGATTAGTTTTACAGTTCCAAATAAGACTAAAAATGCATATATTCTAATTAAAAAGAACATTGAAACATTGACGGATAGTGAAAGATATCCAGCCGGCAAAATTAAAACCCGTGAAGAGGCCTTAAAGCATTTCAAAATCCGTTTATCTCGTCAAAAAAAGTACAAAAAACGTATAGAGAATAGTATTTCCAACGGTAAAAAGATGATATGTCCTGAATGTCGCGCTCAAAGCTACGATCTTTCTAAATTCAATAAACACTTAGGCAATCTGAAAAAGAAAATGTGTGGAGTATGCTATAAGATCGTCGACGTAATTTCTTATAGGGAACATTGTATGTGTCATAATTTAAATATATATTCTTGCCGCATCTGCTTCGAAACTTTTGAAAAGAAATCTTATTACATATCACATCAAATAAAACACGAAAATGGCTCAGTGTCATGCGTAGAATGTCACAAAACTTTCAAGAATTCCGTTAATTTAAATACCCATATGAATAAACATAGGCCAATAACATGCGCGTGTGGGAAATGGCTGTCTAACCGTACTTGCTACTTTAACCACAAGAAAAAATGTTCCCAACATAAAAAGACGAAATCGAAATTTATTTGTGACCATTGCAAAAAGGAGTATAGTAAAAAAAATTGTTTGCGAATGCACATGAAATATTCGCACACTGTCGGATGGCTGTTCCAGTGCGAAAAATGTGGTAAAAAGTTTTCGAGTCAAGCTCATTTGGTTGAACATGAAAATACTCATGATAGAATTCCGGATAGATATGTTTGTTACTGCGGAGCGAAGTTCAGTTCACGAAGAGGGTATCAGAAACATAGTAAAAAGCATGCAACTACTTTTGATGGAGATAAGTACGGCTGGGTAGACCACACCACAGACCAAGATAACATGTAAAAGTCGACTGGAATCATTGCACAATTTCTGGAAAAAAAACTTATTGAACGTTTGAACTATCCATGTGCCTTTTGATTATCCTGTGTCGATACTGCTAGCTATAAAGTTAAAATTAGAGTTAAAATCTTGAAATGAGTTACATGCTGTTATTGCAAATGTTATAAAAATAATGTGCTTTTGACTTTTAATAAAATTTGAATGATGACAATTTTTTATTGACTAAACAAATTCGATTTTTCGTATTCGCAAGCTAAGTGCGTGGTCTTATTTCCTATCGAATAGGAAGGATATTTCTGTAGTAAACTAGCGAATCACGCCCAGGTCACTAATGTTGTTTGAATAGACTGACAATCCGTTAATTCTCGTTAATAGACGCTGATAATTCCCCTTTCCGCCTCGGGTTACACAGCAACTCTCTTGGCATTTCTAAGTATTACCTTCGCTAAATAGTTAAAAATAGTATGCTCGTTTATTGTTATTATTGTTTATTGATATATAATTTATCCAAGCGAAAACGATATGTTATACTATACTGTGAAGAAATTCGTAAAGGATTTTATCCTTGTTGCACAAAAATCTGTAGATATTCGTAAAGACGTTCACTTTGTATTGTGCAACTATCAACACTTTCAATGATAAAAGATATTTAGCCCCGTCTTGACATTCTAAAATTAATAAAGTACCGTATTCTCCATAAAAATTATACCGAACAAAACTACAATGTCATACACTTCAAATATCAAGTCCAAATATTGGTAATTTACCACACAAGACTGAACCAAGAGGAGCGGACTGATTGAAACCGTCGTTTCAGATGGAGATGGACCCCGCTCTTCCCCCTGGAATGTGCAGCTCCTGTTTCGAAGCTACAATAGCAGCTATATCCTTCAGAAACCTTTGCACGCAGTCGGCGCATCACTGGCTCGAGGCTGCGACCTATTTGTCTCAAATTCACCCGCCAACGAATGAGGATAAGGCTTATTTTATATTTTATAATGATGAAAAAACTATAATTAAAGACCAAGTAGACAAAGTCCCAACAAAGCAAGCCGCCTTGGAAAGGTTAAATTTAAGGTATCAGGATAAACCGGAGAAGGTCCGCCGGCCTAAGCGAACTCATGATCCAACTGCTATTTGCAAATGCCCGGATTGTGGAAAAGTGTTCTCAGTTCCAGATTACTTAAATTGTCATTTAAGAAATACTCTTAAGCGAGCTTGTACAAGTTGTGGGGTTGTTATGTCGAAGAAAAAGATGGCGAAACACATGGCTTTAGAACACGATCTCCTAGTGACTGATTGTACTATTTGTTACAAGTTGTTTGATGACGAATTCGACTTGAAAAATCACTTGAAAGAGTTCCACGGAGAAAATATTCATTGCTGTAGTGTCTGTGGCAATGGTTACACTAACGAGAGAGCCTTGAGGGCTCATCTGTATTCTCATTCGCTGTTTCATTGCAAATCGTGTAGCCTAAGCTTTGAAAATATAAAATGTTACAAATATCACCAAAAGCAATGTAAAATTGTTGAGCATCCAACTTTTAAACACTTCACATGCGATTTATGTGGAGTTACATACAACCGGAAGCCTTCGTTACGGATCCATATCGTACAGAAACATTTAAATGTTCTCCCATACGTTTGTCAGACGTGTGGGAAAAGGACATCTACGCTAGCACATTTGAGATCGCACGAGAAAGTTCATAAGACTGAACGTAAAATATATCAATGTTTTTGTGGAGCTAAATTGCGAACTGAACTTGGATACCAACTCCATCAGAGAATACATACTGGTGAACGGCCTTACGAATGTGAATTCTGCGGGGATAGATTTTTGTCTTCATCTAGAAGACTAGATCATATAAAAAGACGTCACAGGGGTTCGAAAGAAATGCCACACGCTTGTGAGCAATGCTCGGCTCGTTTCGTACGTCCTTGTGAACTTAAAAAACATTATTTGACTGTACATTTTACGGTGGTTGATGTTATGCCGGCAAAAAGGGAAATTAACCCTATAACTAAAAGACTGAGGAACACAATTCAAAAGCAATTATAAACATAGACTTTGTCTTACCTTATTAGAAATAAGTACCTGGATGACTTTTCTAAAAATGAAACTTAGCCAGATCGATTAATCGCCCCTGAAACCCCCTGTATACTAAATTTCATGAAAATCGTTGGAGCCGTTGCGGAGATTGAGATTACAATATATACAAGAATTGCTCGTTTAAAGGTATTAGATAGATAGATACATTTACTTTTTCAAAAGCAATATATCAATATTCAGAATAGTTTGTCTTCTATCCGCATTAAATGTTGCGTATTTCAATAACTACATATTACAGTATATATCTCACGTTAATAAACTACAATGATATATTTTCACTCATTACTAATCATGCTTTCTATATAAGTCTTTCTTTATTATATTCTACGTGTAATGAAATGAAATCGTTTTCTTCTTTTCAAAATACCAACCCATTATAACCAATCTATATATTTATAAAGTTAAAGTTGGTTTATATACGCTTCAACAATTCAAAACACTTCAAATATTGTTTTGCATTGATCTTCATTTTTCATTAATGCAACCTCAATGTACCACAGCAAATCAGGGTAACTAGTATACTTAAAATTCTCTTTTTATATAAAACTAGCTGACCGGCAAACGTTGTTTTGCCATATACATTATTTCTAGGCAATATTGAAAAAAAAAATTAGGTGTACCGTCACCTTGTCATTTAGGGTTATGAAAAATAGATGTTCGCCGATTCTCAGATCTACCCGATGTGCTCACAAAATTTCATAAAAATCGGTCCATCCGTTTCGGAGGAGTATGGTAACTAACATTGTGACACGAGAATTTTATTTATAAAATAATTAGCGCTTAGCCACATGCAGTTTTAATTGTCCTTATAATTATATTTTTGGCGAAAATATATACACATAAAGGAAATTATCCGTATAACACGTTCGCTATGATAGATGTCTCTGCGTCGACTCTTTATTATAATTGTTTAGAATAGACAGGAAGCAGTATCTTACCGTTCAAGTTTATACACATATAAAAAGAAGATACCAGCATTAGGATTTAACTACGCAATGTGATGTCCATCCATCCACAGCCTTTACTAGTCCACTGCTGGACATAGGCCTCTCCTTAGGAAGGAGGTTTTGGCCTACTATACCACGCTGGCCAGACGGGTTGGTATAGGGTTTGTTTCAAGTTTCCCTTCTCTCTGCAGTGCAGTTGTCCTGCGTAGATTGCTCCCTTAGTCGCTTCTTACGACACCCGCGGGATGAATAGGGGTGGTGACACTCTATATTCTTAATCCGTCACCACATGGAGCTGTGATGATGTATCAAGCTGTATTTTGAAGAAACTTAGTGGCAAAACTGACATCAATTTTTTCAGCACCTTTTAAAAATAATATAATAACACGAAGTTTTAATTAGAATATTAATATAATTTATTTGTAAGATTATAACTCTTGCGACGATAAAATTAATTTTAAAGCTAAACTATCCGAAAGATGTGATGGATTATTTCAGATAAATTATATTCGATTTACTATAGTAGATTCATACAAAACTACGTGAGTATTGTAATAAATATAACTGTACATAGAACAACTTATATACAAACAATCATCCACATCCTCTTTTACAGATGAAAGAAGAATCGTTAATACCAGTCGGAGCGTGCGTAGCTTGTGCCAGCACGGCTCTCGCCGCTCAGGAGTTCCGACTATTCGTAAGAAATTCACAAAAAACGTGGTGGAAAGCCATCCAAAATCTCGCCATAATTCCGTACACCACCACACCTCCTGTCAAATCTGTTTGTGCTTTCGTAAAACCAAGTGATCTTTCTATACAGACTTTCAAAGATTACACTCAAGGTGACGCTCGATCGATCCTGAATAGATTGAAGAACCGTGTCTCCAAAAAACCTATTGAAAGAAAGCCCAGGGGGGCACGTTCAGGGCCATCTTGTAACTGCCCCGATTGTGGAAAATCGTTTTTAAGCCCTTATTTCTTAAGTATGCATTTGAAAAACAGTGGGCATAAGGAAGCTTGCCAAATATGCGGTTCTGTGTTGATCAGAGGCAAAGAAATGAAAGATCATTTGTCGTCCGTCCACAAGGAGAACGTATTTTTATGTAAACAATGTCCAATTTTATTCACAAATGAGATACAGTTGAAAAAGCACGTAAAAAAAGCTCATAAAGCAGGAGCACTAACTTGTTCAGATTGTGGAAGAACCTTCCCAAGGTTGGCTTCTTTTGAAACTCACTCACAGATGCACGCAGTCAGAACTTGTAGAGCCTGCGGTGTACAGTTTACCAATCGGGGTTGCTACAGAGAACATAGGTCTCAATGTGAGCCTGACGCAAAGCCAAATGCTCAAAGCTTTCCTAGAAACCGCCGCTCAAACATCCGCGACCCAGCACAGTTTACTTGTGATCACTGTGGCAAAACATACAACTCCAGACCTCAACTCAAAAACCACATAATTTGGATTCATATGAATATACGACCTCATCAGTGTCAATGGTGTGGTAAAAGGTTTTACACTCCCGCTCGTTTGGCCGAACATACTGTTGTCCATACTCGTGTTCGAAATTTCGAATGCGATATCTGTGGCGTGAAGCTCGTTTCTAAGATGGCGGCTGTTTATCATAGACGGCGGCATACAGGCGAACGGCCTTATGAGTGTGAGGATTGTGGTGAAAAATTCATATCTGCGTCGCGGAGATCGGAGCACGCTAAACGTAGACATAATAAAGGTTATAGGATACCATGTTTAAAATGTCCTGCTAGTTTCGTTAGAAAACATGAACTAAAGAAGCATATGGAAAAGGCACATAGAGCGCCAGATGCTATTTTGACGTGGTGATTCTAGGCTTCGTGTTAGAAGCCAGTGATTTGTCTGAGTTGGGTTACGTAAGATGCAGGGTATCCTGATCTGTGGGTGGCGTGATAAGCGAATCCGTTGTCTGATTCACTTTTTCTCAATATAGGTGGAGTGTGATGGGTTAGGGTATTGTTTCGATTAGTTTAATTAATCTAGAGAGATCCTGGAATCCGTGGTCAGATTGCATTGTTAGATTGCTATAATCACAGCCACTTCTTGGTGTTCTTGTTTAGATTCTACTACCCAAGAAATATCCTCCTCCAATCGTCTGGTTATATCTGTCCTAAAAATATGGCGGTATTTTTTTTTCTTTTCGCTATGTATTATTAAGTACTAGCTGACCCGGCGAACTCTGTTCCGCCTTAAAGGCAACAAATAAGCCGATTTTCGAATTTAGTAAGTTAATTTTTTTCTTAGAAAAAATCTTCCCTCTGAAAATTCTTCGATGAAGCATTCCAAGTGTAATAACGTGGCATCTCCGAGTAAAGCAAATGTCGTGCAAACTTTTTTTTTTTCGGAATAAATAGTATCCTATGTCCGTCTCCTGGCTCTAAGCTACCTCCTCACCAATTTTCAGCCATATCGGTAAAACCGTTCTTGAGTTATAAATAGTGTAACTAACACGACTTTCTTTTATATATATAGATTACGGTCGTGACTATCAAAGTTCCAAAGCCCTATGGGATTGTATTAAATTAGCCTAGTTTAGATTTCATGATTTATAAATAAGGTATCATATCAGTAGTGATTTCTGGCGGGAATGTCATGGTCCTCCCCCAACCGCAAATTGTACACCCACAATATGCATGAAAGGCAATTGTCATCAGCTACCAGAAATGCTACCAGCTTGACCTACCTCCCCTCCCACCAAATCTTGGACTGCGACTGCCCCTGTATCTTATACATATCTAATAAGATTGACTAAATCCCAACGAGACTACAAAAGATTTTTCAGTAGACATGTACCATTGCGATATGACAATTGATGCTTCACACATCACAACAAGAGCATTTAATAGTCCACTGCTGGACATAGGCCTCTCCTTAGAAAGGAGGTTTTGGCCTACTATACCACGCTGGCCAGACGGGTTGGACTGGGGTTTGTTTCAAGTTTTCCTTCTCCCTGATAGATGCTTGGGAAACGTAAAATGTTCTGAATACAATATATTTGTTACTGAGTGCATATAGTCAATTATATTTAAAGCAATATTGTATGGTTTCTGTATACAATGATTATCCAAAGTTGTGGCTATGTAAGTGACCTTTTAGAGAAATTTAGTTATAAAATTGAATTTAGTTACTCGAATAGAAGACGAAAGAAGTAATGTTATTTAATGCTTAATATAAAATATACTTAATTTTTTTATTTACTCCTTTTCATTTATCCTCCTGGTTTTATCCTACCATTAAATAAACGTTGTCAGAAGAATGCAACTTGTAACAGCTATCCTGATCTTAATCCAAGAGGGAGACGGGACGAAGCCTCGTTTCAACTGTGAAACAGATAGGAGGTAAATTCACTCCTTCTGCGAGCAAGTTATGCTTGCGAAGGAGATGGCGATGCGGGACCGGGAGAGGTTTAGAAGGCTCGCCAGGCTTGGGAACGGGCCAGGTACCGCAGAACGACCTCCGTCCTCTATAAGCGCAGGCCTGGTGGTGACAAGTGAGGCCATCTGTCACCCTATCAGAAGCAAGCCGAGGCGCGCTCGCCCTTCCGGGAGCACAGAGGGAACATGGGGGTTCCCACACAAGGGGGGTCGTCTACCCGCCGTAGATGGCCCGAGGTACATCGGGGCACCAGGGATTTCCTTTCGAGGGTACACCTGGTTCCCTGACTACTGGTACCTGAGACGGCGTGCGGTTTTAGTCAGTTCGATTCCGACATTGCCACCGGTAAGTGGTATCCGAGGGGATTTCCGCACAGAAAAAAAAGGAGGTAAATTCAAGGCCTCCAGAAACCGGTGTTTTAGGAACAATGCTTTTTTAAAGTCAAGCAGGTTTTAACCATAGAGAAAAGCCAACCACGATCCGGGGATGTTGGTAGAAAGAAGACTGAAGAGAGAAGTATGTAAATATACTTCTCTCTTGCACCTCTGCTGATCTGTTCGCCCGAAGTGGTCGCCGTCTTCTTTCTCTTTCTACCGACGGGTCGCGACGTCGCTATTCCACTTGCAAGCAATCCAATACCTTCTTCACTTTCTGTATCGTCTCTATGGTTTTAACACGAAATCCCTAGATCAATTTTTAGAATATAGGGGGCAAACAAGCAGACGGGTCACCTGATGATAAGTTATTTGCTGTTTTAGCCTGTTCTACTCTGATTTCGTCCATAAAGATTGTATACGCGAAGAAAGTTCTCTGTACTTTTGAAACAAAATGGCGCATGGAAGCATGTTATTATCATCCTGCGAGCGTTTTTCCCAAACTAGATTGGGGTGGGCTTCCAGTCTATTACGATTGTTTACGTGGAGCGCCTGCCATCAGATCTTCACAACCTAAGTACTAGGCGATATCGAAGTTCTGTGGATACACTGATGTTGGACTTTTGAGGGCTCCAAATTCGCATAACAATTGCCACAAACGTGTAGGCTACTTGACGTGCTCTCTGAGGCACGGAGGGGCTCAATGTGTTAAGAAAGGTCACCCATCTATAGGCTGACATGGCTAGGATTGCTTAACTTTGCAATGTGCTAATCTACTCTGTTACCACTAAACCGCGAGCCCCTACATGTCATATTTGGAATACTTAATGTTTATTTGTACACTTGCAGAAGTAGAGTAGAAGAGATTTAGGTATAGGTCCAGTTTGTATTATGACTTCTTATGCTCACTAGTGTATTCAGTGACAGTGCTAGTTATATTGGTAATGAAATAAAACAAATAGAATTTATGTGGAAAAAATGTGTGATGGACCACAATACCATGCGGCGACTTTTCTGGTTTGGCATATCTAGTAGTAGTCAGTGGGATACTGTTCATTGGGTCACTTCTCGTAATAAATATTCTCTTCCCGTCTACTCTTGATCTCACAAACCTCACAAAAGGTATTTTCATAGTAAAATAAGGAAGTATTTCATATCCTATGTCTTGTAAATCGTCGACGATTCGCTGATTGTTACTTTCTTTTGAAAATTGTTCCTAATGAGATTGACTGTCCTAGCCTTCGGCAATAGGTAAAATTGAATGTCCATGTCCATAAGTCGATTACATTTTGTCCATCCATTTCTATTCCATTTTCTTCCGCCAACTATATAAAAAACTCATATGTTGTTCGAGCGAGCAGCGATTTCAATAAATTGTATAAGGAATACTCTTTTGATCACTTTAATACCAAAAGCAATCTAGTGCGCAGTATGCTAAACCTTAATTTTTTCCAATAGTAACATTTTAGATCGATGGTCATTTCTTGTAAAGGTGTAGTGTCGTGTTAGTTGGTGGTCCAGAACCTCTGTTAAATTACAATGATTCTATCCGTGAAAACCTGTAATTGGCCTGATGTGGTATATCAATCTGACCATTTCATTTTTGTAGCTGTTGGTACTCCTACCTGAAGTTAATAAATAAACAAAAAAATAAAATAAAAAAAATTACTAAGACTTGCAGATTGTCGATTAAAGTTCCGGTCACGGACGTTGAATGTTTTACTTTACCACGAAAATATCTTTTATGAGATCGAATCGGAAAAGTATTCAGGATTACAATAGTCGCAAAAGGTCAGTACTACATACTAGTAACTCTTACTGCAACAAATAATCACTTGTAGAAAACAAAATAGTACCTAATCTCAAAAATTACTCTATGATCACACTGTGCACTGTGTGTATTTTTTTAAAAGCAAAGAAAGAAAAAATACACTCAAATGGAATGGAATAACTGGTTAACTATGTCCCGTGCTTCGTATGTTTTCCAAAAAAAAAAGTGGCAGTCGTTTTTAAACTCTTGTTCCACGATCATAAAATCGAATGTTTAAACTACAGATATTTTTCATCTGTTTTCGCTGTCACTGTCACTAAGGTCCTATGTTTAAAATTAGTATCGTGAAACAAGTAGTTTTGCCTGTAATTTTCGTCGGAACACTGACCTGTGAATGTAATCTAATCCAGGATTTAAAATTAAATTTTGTAAAATGAACATGGCATTTAAAAGTGATTTGAAACAATTATTAAAGCCGTATTATTGGTTTAACATTCTATTGAGTTTGTCTTATGTTACTTGTAAGAGAACGGGTATTATTTGTAATTTCTTGTTTCCGGACACCGAATGTGAATTAGACAGTCGCGAAACGGAAATTCTATTTTTCTTAATCATTGTAGTAATGTTGAGGACCCGGAAAGCGGGAAGTGTAACTATGGTCAATTATTTATCGTCTTCATTCGTTTACACGAAGATTGCGAACTTAATATTATGGTTTTACGCTGATGTAAGGTAAATATACAAATAAAAATTATATTCATATGCTCTTGACTAAAAATTAGACACTATACATATAATTATCGCTCAAGAACTTTGTCACAGTTCTATTAGTATACTTAAGACATTCTGACGCATCTAATGCATAGGTTTACTTTAGTTTTAACATATGTATAATAATAATAATATAACTATTTTCAGTCTAGTGGTGGTCCCTTAAGGTTGACAGCATTATCACATTAAATTGCAATGAAAATTTCTCTAATTAAAGGCTGTTCTCGGATCCCTTCAACGCACCTTCGGGTTGACACCACCTCACCAAAAAACTATGGTGGGCCGAAAGACCAAAGGAAAAAAAAAAATTCCACACCTCAAAAATTTCTATCTAACTTCTCTTTTCAACACAAATAACGAAATTCTTTACAGGTATGGACTTCCATATGGTGCAATCCTCATTCTATCAGCTCTACTCATCCCAGAACCAACATACTCGGGTCCTGAACTTGTAACTTACTTCCGTGGCCCTCAAGTGTTGGAAGATGAACTGAAACACCATAAGAACAGCACATACATTGTGTGTTTGTATGCTGCATGGCATCCTGCCTGCGTTAACTTTGCACCGGTGTTTGCTGAACTGTCTGCGAGTTACAGTCTTGAGAACCTGAAGTTTGGGAAGCTGGATGTGGGGAGGTAATATTTTGTGAACAACCTTTTAATTATAATAAATCTCTAGTCAAAATGTGCCACAGCAAAGCTTAGCAGGGTAAAACTAGTAAATTTAGTGACGATTTTACATTTAACATGACAATTTCACATCATCACATCAACAGCCTTTAATAGTCCACTGCTGGACTGCCTCTCCTTACAAAGGAGGTATTGGCCTACTATACCACGCTAGCCAGACGGGTTGGTATAGGGTTTGTGTTAAGTTTTGCTTCTTTTTGCAGTGCTGGTGTCTTGCGTTCTTTTTAGTCGGCTCTTACGACACCCACAGGATGAATTGGGGTAGTGACATTCCGTATTCTTAATCCGTCACTACATGAACAGTGTCTATGACAATGACGTTTATGTTTTGAATAATTTTAGCCAGACATCAGGTCATTATCAACAGCCTTTGATAGTCCACTGCTGGACATAGGCCTCTCCCATTGCATGCTACTTAGATTGGTTTTGGGCTTCTCGCATCCAGGTCCTGCAGGCCATCTTGCGCATATCGTCACTCCACCTGGCCTCTGGGCGTCCTAAATATAAAAATACTTTCTTAATTAAATACCAGAAATAATCATTTTGTCTTTTCTTTCAGATATGCTGAATCAGCTACAAAATATAAAGTACTAGATGGTCCTACGAGCCGACAATTACCCACGATGATTCTCTTCTGCAATGGAGTTGAGAAAATGAGAAGACCACAAGCAGATAACACTGGGAAACTGCAGAAGTGAGTGTAGTTATTATAAACTTTGAATAAACTAGAGTGGCTTCTATGAACTTCATCAACTCAGTATCTGGTCCTTCTACCATGTCTTTTTTTTTCAAAAATATCTTTATTTTTCAATAGAATAACACTTTTAGCATTAATTTGTGATTGGAGCCTCCTTTTAAGCAAACAATGCCTGTGTTAGGACACTCCACTCTTCCATAACTAAATGTAAATTATACCAATATGTGTCTATGAGCTGTGTATATGTGTGTGTGTGTGTGTGTGTGTGTGTGTGTGTTTGGGTGTGTGTGTGTTTGGGTGTGTGTGTGTGTGTGTGTTTGGGTTAGTTAATGTCTTGTAAGTATGTTTCAGTTACTTCATAGGTCAGTGGCTTTAGCCAGGCCGTTACAAGTTTCTTACATTCATTCCAATTTTTATTATTATAAATATAAATGTACCGAACCATACCTCTTCAATAAAAGTCAAGGAATTATCCAAGATAAGCTCTATTAAACCATCTCGCAATCTTTGTCATAATATTTTGCATCTGTGGTGATTCCTTGTTTAAAAAGTTACTTCATATTGCTTCATTTTGTCTCACCCTTCCTTAGGAAGTGGAAGTGGATTTATTATATTTGCAACTTCTCCAATTTTCTGTTGATTAATTTTGTTGTGGGTTCCAAGACAGTTTAATTTTTTATGGGACTTCACGAGTGTCTTTCTAGGTGTGTCTCTGGTGTAGAGGAGTTACAGTTCCTCCGCGTGAGAGGGATTAGTCCCAATAAAAAAAAAAAAACTTTAAATACTCAAGTGTCTGACTTAGAAATCTGACCACCCTTGGATCACTAATTTCAAATAAATGCCTCCAAGAAGCCCGCACCCCAAAACTGTTTGAAATCGCCTTTTATGTAGACTCTAAAGTTATAGATCAACACACACAATAGCAACAATCTCTGTTGATCTTTCCACCATCCATCCATCCATCCCCCCCGATCTTTCCACCACAGTGCTAGAACAGGCAGGATTTAGCGCTCCCTTCATTATTGCAGACAGCAGTCTTTTCAGCCCATTGATAAATCAGGTAAATCAGAGTTGCTCATTGCTAAGTGTTAACCGAGTTGGTAAACCAGATTACTAAATTTCAAAGTTAAGCAATGCTAGTCAGGTCAGTCTATGGATGGGTGACCATTCTTAACACATTGTGACCCCTCCGAGAGCATGTTAGGCAGTCGGTCCCGGTTGCCATACTGTCATCTGTGATACGTTTGTCGTAAAAAGTATGACAACGGTATCTACAGAACTTCGGTATCACCTGGTACTTGGGTTGTTGAGGTCTGATGGTAGTCGTTCCACGCAAACAATCGAAGTTCAAGTATCGTAGTAGATTTAAAGCCGGTCTACTCAAGCTAACTATGTTTTTGTTATAGATTCTTATTCTCAAAGGATAATGTAAAGGCAGCATTCGACCTGGATGGAATTTACCAAGAATGTAAGGAAAAACTGGCAGCCGCAAAGAGTGTTAAAAAGACCGCTTAGACGAAAATACCAAATTTATTTAAGACTTTATATGCTAGATTAAACTCACAGTCAGGTAGTATTAACGTACGTACTAAATACGTATATATTATAGATATCTAAAAATCTGATCATTAAAATTGTTATTGTAATGATATTAGCAGCCAAATAAATACCATAATAATCTCTATCCAAATCAACCAACTATCAATCAATCAGCAATCAATCAATCAATCACAACAACCAATCAATCAATCAATCAACAATCACCAATCCCTATACAAAAGTCCCAAACATGGCTACCATTTTCCTTTATATAAGAGTAGCGTGTTAAAGAAACGCAATTAAAATTCGACTTTATAAACCGGTGTTTTCAGTTGCTTTTTATTTAAATTTAATGTATGGACAAAAATAAACTGGTATCTGTTAACCGATCACAAAATAAGGAGGTTATAATCTCGATTTTTTTATTGTTATGTTAATCAATATTAACTAATTGTTAATAGAATTTTTCTTTATATATTTATATTTTTTGTTTCTATAATAAGGGTGCGTCCATAAATTACGTCACACGTGAGTAGGTGGAGCCGGTCAACGGAATATCATCTATATCTTTTAGAAATAGATAATTCGACACTAGGAATATATCCTTTGTCGCGGGGGACTTTACAAACATACATGAAACGGACACAAAGAATACCCAGACTCAGAACAACAGTTTTTGAATCACACATAGTGTCGTCCTATGTGTGGATGAGACGAGGTGACCGCTTAACCGCTACGCTATCGCTATCAATAGAGTGACATAATATGACAAGATGCAAGGGGTCATAAGCTCCCGTAATAAATATTTTATCTTTAACTATAAAAAATCATCGCAATAAAAATTCAGAACTGCTGTTTTATGAAACCGCACAATATCAAAATATGCGCGATCTTCTAGAAAGGAAATAGATAAAAAGTAATGATATTTGTGTGACGTAATATATGGATGACTCCATAATTAAAATTAAAATCTTAAGGGTTGTAAAATAGGTAATAAATGTTTTGTGTCATAAATATTAATTAAGGTAAGTTATTTTGTTACCTGAACTCATACCTGTATGTCTATGTAGCGTAAGGCGTAACTGTGAAAACATAGATAAAGGATCAGTCATTAATTACGCAAGGCAACTTTACGTAATTAATGGATGACCTACCTACTAATCTCGTTTCGTAGTCAATTTGTTTGTTTTGTACACATTTTTATGTTAAAATATATAACTTTTATCACAGTTTTATCTGATTTTTTTTTTATTTTAAATATTTATTTAACCGTGAAATCTATTTTAATATTTATCTCAGGAACTATTCGTGTTGGATATCAAGGAAGGTTATGGCTCTATGACGCTATAGTGTATGGGCTCATGCTACGACTAATAGGCGATTGAGCATCAATGAAAATTTTTTTAAGAACGAAGTAAATTTATTCCTTTTCAGTGACGCTAACGGTCAGTTAGTATTTACCTTAAAACGGGGTTAATAGAAACAAACTGGACTTCAAACCAGTGAGTGTTGTGGGTCCACGGGACCGCAAGACACGGGATAACACTGTGTGATCCACAAATTGTTGTTCTGAGTCTGGGTGTTTTTACACGCTTTATATTAGCTTCACTTGTATGTTTTTTGTAACCGACTCCTTTGGGCGTGATTTTGACTGACTTTAAACGGTCAGAATTCGTTCAAACTTTGTAGATATATCGAGGACCGATGACAATACACAAATTTAGAAAAAACTAAAAAACACGCTTTTTATAGAAAACCAAACTAAAAAATAGAAAATCAATTTTAATAAATTTGAAATTGTTGTCAATAGTAAAAAGTACCCCACGCTTTTTTTTTGTGTCCGTTTCCATGTATGTTTGTAAAGTCCCCCCGCGACAGGATATATTCCTAGTGCGGAATTGTCTTTTCAAAAAAAAAAAGACTACCGACTTTAACAATATAAAATCTAAGTTTCAGGCAATAAAGCTGCTTTCATTGTGGTAGTCTAATGTTATTTTACAACCTAATTACAATTTCATTACAATTTGAATAGAGTTTTTAGACATGTTAAGTCTTGTAATGTCTTTTTGTATATAAAACCTTTGTATTATTTTAGTTTGTAGTATATTATTAACTTTTGTATTATTTATATAAAAATAACCTCACACATCGACCGTTTAATCCCAAACTAGGCAGAGCCTGTGCTATGGTAGCCAGACTGCTGATAAACATACTTATATACTACTAAATACACACATATTGTACACATTGTACACCCAGACACAGAACAAATAATCGTCTCCATGACACAATTTTTTGCCCTGGGTGGGGATCGAACTCACGACCTGCGGCTTAGCATCAGATTTACTAACCACTAGATCAACAGGCAAACTCAAATTATCTTAAAAAATAATGTTTGAAATCGTCTTTGATGACTGCAGACTAGTCATAGATTAACACACACAATAGCAACAATCTCTGTTTTGTGAAATTTTTAGCAAAATATTATTATATATACTTCGTACCGAAAATCTCTTATGTGCCAATCTACAACCGTTTCTAATAGTCTAAAATCCGGCTGCAGTAATGTCGGTAATCTGTGAGTTGCGAACACTATAACCCGGCAATCTCGTGCGCGACCGTCCCGCGGGGTGACAGACAGTGGCGGGGGCGAGGTAGCGCGTCATTCTAGCACACGGCTACACACGAATAGAAGTGTTTCCCTTCCCCGCTACCATCTTGAGTACCTCGTCCCCGCCACCGTCTGTCACCCCGCAGGACGGTCGCGCACTAATCTTGTGCTTAATCGGACATCTGTAGGTTCGCACCGTACTAGTACAATTCGTACAACGTACTAGTACACCGTATTAGTACTATTAGTACAGTTTTAGTAGAAGTAGAAAACTTAAGCGTTTGTATTGATATTACCAACATTAATGAAACGGAATACTAATAATTAAATAAATGAAAATACGTAATTTAAAAAAAAAAAATATAGTTTTTTTTTTAATATAGTTTAATTTTTATAATATAGATGGCTTTGTATTAGGCAGTTACTTTTCTTCAGTATAGAAATAATTACACAGTTCTTGATTATTTTTAATGTGTTATCCCTTTCTGAATCCCATAAACCCTAACAGTTTGACTTTTAAATACGATTTTTTAGATTACTTTACACTCAATTTTTAAGCATACTATTTGATTTGCCTTCATACTTTACAACGCAACGTATTGTAGTACATCCTGTATCGCTGTCCCTTTTACTCTCACACTGTTTACCAATACGGAACAATAAAGCGGAGCATTAATAGTACGTCGCACAGCGAACGAACGTAGACACTAGTAGACAGAGTAAACAATAGATAGTTTTAGTACTGGCTTGAAGTTGACACTGTGTACTAATAGTGCAAAATGTCCGATTAACAGCTGCCTTTTTAAAACATTACTTTTAGTACAACACCCAGTACTAGTACCTATCAGTACATCGTACGTGTACTACCCAAGACTATCCCGCACGAGATTGCCGGGTTATAGCATTCGACGTATGCGCAATGGCCTTAAAGCGTCGTACAGCTGGCAATCGCTATCCTCGTCTGACTAGTGATGTTACGCGCTAACTCTCTTTCACTCTAGGTTAAATATTTACCATCTTTAACAGCAGGAACCCTTATTTTGCGGCCGGATTTAATTAGGCAACCGTATTTTATAATAAACAGAAAAAAATAGCTTTAATTTGATCTAAAAATAATAAACGTACGTTATGAACGTATAAATGTCTCAAAATCATACCTGTTTACACCTTTTTTTTTCCGTGCGGAAATCCCCTCGGATACCAGCTTTTTTTTTTATTTTTTTTTTTTTTCCGTGCGGAAATCCCCTCGGATACCACCTGTCGGTGGCATGTCGGACTCGAACCGACTAAAACCGCACGCCGTCTCGGGTACTAATAGCCGGGGAACCAGGTATACCCTAGAAAGGAAGTCCCTGGTGCCCCGACATACCTCGGGCCATCTACAACAACAGGTAGACGACCCCCACCCCCCGTGTGGGACCCCATGTTCCCTCTGCTCCCTGGAAGCGAACGCGCTCGCCGCCACCCCGGCCTGCTTCTGCTAGGGTGACAGATGGCCTCATCTGTCACCCCTGCGCTTATGGGGGACGGAGGTCGTTCTGCGACCTCCGGCGCCTGAGTAGCCTGCGATACCTGTTTACACCTGGCTACGAAGAGGTGCGCAACGGCAACCGTGATTTTTTCAGTCTATATATATCGCCGTGAAGTAGACGATATTTTATTTAAAAAACAAATGAACGAATCGTTTCCCTAAAAATCAATTTTATTAACAAAAATGTAATTAAACATACTAGCGGCCACATTTTGATAGGCAACCTGGTAGATATATAATCTCCTAATCATAAATATGCGTAAAAACTGGGTTTTCAGCACATACTCGATGAGTGCACTGATTCTGCAGCCAGTCTATAGTCAGATGTCACACTTGCTTCTTGTGTTTTAAGCTATTTCTGAGGCTTACGATACACGATAAAGTGAATTTGTTAGTTACGCTTTCACAACCATTACACCGCTTTTAAAAATCTTTCACCAATGAAATGCTGCATTATTAGCGAGTAACATAGGCTAGGCATAGGCTTTTTACCGTGACAACCGCCATTCAAACGTAGCCGCCGACAAAAGCTTGCACAAAAATAAAACCACAATACATTACACAAATTATTTATTTGACTAGAATACAACAAAGTACATAGGCGCAACAAAAAACCGGGATGAGGGAGTTTCACTTCTCAAAGCCCCGTCTAGCTTTACCCTACTTTTTTATGGTATAAGCAGGCAAATCAGCAAACGGGTAACCTGATGGTGGTGGTGGATCCGTGTGGTGACGGATTAAGAATACGGAGTATCACCACCCCTATTCATCCTGAGGGTGTCGTAACAGCCGTCTAAGGGACCAAACTACGCAGGATAACAGCACTGCAAAGAGAAGGAAAACTTGACACAAACCCTATTCCAACATGTCTGGCCAGCGTATGCCAAAACCTCTTTACCCTTTGGGCCTATGTCCAGCAGTGGACTATCAAAGGTTGTTGATGATGATGATGAAGCGAGTACCGCCGCCAATGGACACATACAACTCAAGAGGTACAAGTTCGTGTCCTTTGAGTCCCTCCTCCTACAGAAAGGGGGGTTTTGGCTCCAGTAACTTCACTCACTCGGTGGACAGCATCGAAAGAATTTCTGAACACCGGTTTTCTGTTACGACCTGGTATCACTCCGGTTGAGCCACTTGGCCCTCCCCCGGTGGTCTTTTGCGATTGCGTGGCATCAAGATTGTTATTTTTGTCCGTGTCGTGACGAATTCAGAATACAGAGTGTCACCACCCCTATTCATTACGTGGGTGTCGTAAGAGAAGACTAAGGAAGCAAATTACGCAGGACAACGGCATTGCAACGAGAAGGAAAACTTGAAACAAACCCTATACCAACCCGTCTAGCCTGCGTGGTATCAGTAGGCTAAAACCTGCTTTCTAATGAGAGGCCTATGTCCAGCAGTTGACTAGTAAAGGCTGTTCATGTAATGGACATTTTAATATTACTAACAAGTAGCTAAAGGATTTGTATGAAGTCTGTAATCGAAAGTCTTCCATGAAAGCGTTACCCCTTAATTGCCCTCCTATTTTTTTATGATAAAGAGGATTAATGGATGGTTCACGGACTGGTGATGGTAAGTGAGTACTGGCGCCCTTGGACACCTGCTACTCTTGAGTCACAAGTGTGCTGCCACTCTTTCAGCACACCAACCTTCCTCGCGTAACTTCTGTGAGGCCGTGATGTCACTCCGGTCGGTGGCTCTTCCACGGCGACATGGCTAACTTGCCTTCTCGTACAATATACTTCCAATGACCACATATTTAATTCCCAAAACTCCAAATATTGATCGGAATAGGGTACCTTAGGCCCACATTTTAAAAGACGTCTCAAGTATCGGTTGAACTCTGATTGCAAGAAACTAGTTTTAAGTGCAGATCAAAACTTAAGTGCCGATCTTGAAGGTAGTTTCAAGTATTGATTTGAACTTACAGTCTGTTCTCAATTACGTTTCCGCATGATTGACGTTATTATTCCGTATTAATTAAAACTAAATCGTTGGAACAAAGCAAAATAATAAATTAATACACAATATTTTCAAACTTTATTTCAGTCACGTAGTTCAGTCCTGTACCGTAGTGTTGCGGCTCTTCAAGCTCACTTAAATACGAATGATGTTGAAATGTAAAATAAGCTATCACTCACTTGAGTATGGATCGGTGAATCTCGTTTTAAGTAACGTTCAATAATAAAATCTGTACTTAAAATTAGTTTTGAGACTAAATTCACGACTGAGACACCTTTTAAAATACGGGCGTTAAACACCATACGATAGAGAATATTGGAGGAATTACTCCTTTATATATGACAGAAGCAATCCATATTCATAACCTATAAATCCAATCAGTCAGATGATTGCAAGTGTTTAGGCGCTTATTCTTAAATAGGGTGAGAAGAACCCAAAAAAGTCTGATAAGTTGAAGCCGATAAATTCAATACTATTACTGTAGGTGTCAAAATCTTTGACATTTTAAGAAGGTTCCAAAACCCTTCGTGAAAAACCGTTATATACAATTTTAGTGTAGTATACACTGGGTTACACAATTAATAAAAATAATTCCACCACAATAGATAAAAACCTGATTTCCCAATACAAAAATTCACGTATCACTTTGTACACTTAGTCACATTAAATCCGTTTAGGGTCCCAATTATAAATAATTCCACAACAATCCATTTAAGGTTCCATAATAAAATTAAACCCAGTCAACTACATGGCTTTCTTAGAACTCCATACGTATTTTAGAAGTCTCAATTTCTCATTAGAGTTCCAAGGATCCATTTAGGGTTCTTAATTATTTTTTGTGTTTTAAAGTCTTTCTAAGGTCCATTTTGTATCCGCTCAGGGTTCCAGCTGACCCCAAAAAAAAATAGACTCCGGCGTAGTCGGCTCAAGAGCCTGACCACCCCCTAAATGACAAACATCTCGAATATCATATCGAGGATATTCAGGAGCTTCATGAACCGTGGCCTCGGCTCCTCGTCCACCTTGCGAGATGCTGGACGCTCCTTGGTGCGTTTGTCTGATTCTGAAAAGAGGAATTCCAGCTACAACAAGACGAAACATATCCTAACTTATAATATCAACTAGTTTATCGATTGTCATGATTTTCTGGAAATAAGTTGCCATGGGTACAGAGAGCGATAAGGGGTCCCTTTGATTCAGGAAAACCTACTGTTCCTTAATCATACTTAAGTTAATTTTAGACCCTCGCATTTTGAAGACGATCAATTAGTCGTAATTTACAAAATCTACATTAAGGCCACATAAACTGCAGGTAAAAGTTGGCTAATAATCATTAAATGCCTTAAAATGGCCAGTGTTTTCTTAAGCCTATTTTATATGTTAAAAGAAAGCACAATTCTTCACAGGGACTAAGAGCCAAGGGATTCGTATAGCCAAAGTCTGCTCAGTGTCCCGTCACAGACAACACACACCCTAAAATCGAGTTTTATAACATTTCTCACCGTGTTGTTCTCCAATTCTTTGTCCTCTCTCCATGGCAGCCAAGCTCTCCTCGTATTGCATCGCTGATGTGTCCAAGAAAACCTGGATGCTGTACTCCGAGAGCAAGTGTGACCAGTGGCCGAACACGCCAATGCCTGGGGACGGTAATAGTTACAACACGGATACAAACGACGAGAGAGAGAGAGAGTTTTAGTATTCACATAAAAAGAGAGAAGAAACTGCAAATTTTTTCATTTACTTTTCGGATCTCTGGCTTCTTAGGGACTTCGGAGTATGTGATATTTTGACTAAAAATCACCCTGACTGCCGGGCTCAGGCGATCTGATGATATTGACTGGAGTGGACCCGAAACATGTGATTTGAAGGGCCTCCCCGAAATCAAATCTTAGGAGTAAATTTTAAAACCCTGTCGTAAGAGCTGACTAAGGGAGCAAACTACGCAGGACAACAACAGAAAGAAAAGGAAAACTTGACACAAACTCTATACCAACCTGTCTGGCCAGCGTGGTATAGTAGCCCAAAGGCTCCTTTCTAAGGAGAAGCCTATTTCCAGTAGTAGACTATTTAAGGCTGTTAATGTGATAGGATGTATATGTACTTTGGATGACAATATCATTATTTGGTGTTTTGGAGCTGATGGGGTCTTCAGTAGCTACTAGTGAACTGCTCGAGTCTTGGTTTATGGTTTGGTTATAATGATGACTAGCTGGTACCCGAGATATCGTTCGTGGGTTCTATGCCCGGACCAGGCAATATTTTATAGGGTTTTCTGAGACGAAAACTTATTCCTTATATAGATAACTACTTGGTAGTAATTTATTTTCAAAATATATAAGTAACTATTGTTTTTGTTTTTTTTTAATGTTCCTAATCTTGATTTGTTGATTTACTATTTGTATGGTGATTTATTGAATGTTAGCATTAGAATTACGTAATAAAAAGGAAACTATAGTCTGTCTAATCTAAGAGGTACCGTTTGACAATTCTGACAGATTGAAGAATAGGGAGGGGGTCAAAGAAATCGAATGCTACAATATCCGATTCTTAAGAGATTTCGATACCATTTCTTTATATTAGTAATTGATTACATTTTTATATAAATATGTATTTTACTGGTTATCTAGGTTTTACTAGTAAATTTTAGAATACGAATGTGTGTAGGTAAATGTCAGAATTTTAGAAGAGAGGGATAATTTTTCGTGCTTTTCAGTTCCATCCTACCCTTACCCAGCCAGATTTCAATAAAAAAGGTGTGTTTGTTGTTTAGACTTGGACACGAGAATTAATGCCTACAAAAATTTATTTAAAATTACATTAACTTACATATTTTTGTTTTATTTAAGCGTTTTCGTTGACAGTTGTTGTTATTATTATATACTTAAAAGACTCCTGGATTGAAAATTACTCGTTATTAATAAATTCGTTTATTTCTACATTTTAAAGATTATTCGTATACAATTGAATTTGAAGTGTCACAACACTACGGTGAAGGACCTAACTACGTGACTTTGAAACGAAGTCTTAAAAAAAAGCTACCTATCTGTTGTATATATTGGTTATTTTGCTTTGTTTAAAAGATTTCAATTTGAATTTAGTAAATAAGAATTATATATGTTGTGATCAAATAAAAGTAGATTTAAAATTTTTTTTTTTTTAATATTTATTATTCATATATTAGATTAGATGTACTATAGACAATAAGTATTTTACTGTTTTTTTCTTTCGTAATAACTAAAAAAATGTTTATGTTTAGTGGAAAATTTAGCGACTAGTGGTAGTGGTTTTTGCTGGTTTTAAGTGTTGAACCTGGTGGAGAGTTAATTTAGCTGTTGGCAACACTGCCTCCATTTTATCCTTTGCTTCCGTAACCGGATTTTTCAACAGTTTTGAATAAAGATGCTTAGAAGTTAGAAAACAGGCGTAGGAGTATCATGGAAACAAAGTGTATTCGTTTAAAAACAAAAAGCGATTATGTTTATGTGACAATATTTAATTATTTAATAACACGCATCAAGTGAGATTAATTTAGTTATGGTGAAGAGTGTTTTAGTTGGAAATTTAAATTGTATGTTTTAAAAATATGTCATAGCAAGTGGAGTCGAAAGAAAATGAATTTCAAACTCCTTCACCGAAGTCAACAGTGATAGACGGTACCCAATTAGCGCAGATATGTTCACACAAAAGGTAGGCGAAAAACACTGTTTAAGTTTTTTGGTTGGGTTGGTGGAATATCATTCCAGCCCCTATTCCTAGTTTACTTAATACGTTTTACCAGTTTAATGCTTAGGTATAACCAGCAGAAATTAAGAAACTCGATGTATATGCGTGTTCTAGTGACTGGACCAGTCCAATTTTTTTTTTACAAATATTTTGACCGTTTTGTTAGTCACTGCAGAGAGCAGTGAAGGAAAATGAAGAAGATATGACAGGATTGTGGCGCTGCCCAGTAGGCGCTCTTATCAAAGACAATGTACAAAACCACTGAGTCGTACATTTTTAAGAAGTGCATTATAATGCGACCAATTTAAATGTACATATAAAAGTAGAACATTAAATATAATTTGACTACATATTATATTTGTATGGATATTAGATGGCGTTCATTTGTCGACCATTTTGTATGCCTTGTTCTATTATATTTATTTAATTTAATTTGATCTGTCACTGTATACATTTGTGGTATGAAAAATCAAAATATATACAAATCCCCAATACATAAATGTTGCCGTTTTTATTTAATTTTTAACCTTATAGCATGTATTGTTTAAAACTTAAAAAAAATATCATTTGGTTTCGTGTGCCATATTTAAAAAAAAGTATTACAAATAATGTTTCCTAGAGATATTTATTCGCGGTTCAGTATCGTTTTTAAATTAAGATTACGCGGATTCCTCTGACATCAGGGGCCCCGGCAATTTATATTCGTATCTACTAGTTAAAATATTCTTCAAAAAGTACTTACTGTACTCAGTCCACTGTTTCTTCAATTACTCCGTACAGAATATTTTACTGAGCTTTACTCACCAACAGGCCTGGGGAAGCTTGGTGGGATATTGACCATATCAGGTCCGCAGGTGGTAGAGCTGAAATTATTCTTATCCGCCTCATAGCTTGGTCTGTAAAAGTAAAGTTTACACTAAATCACCGTTCACAGGCTATGGTCAGCCAGTTTGTGTCTCCATCCGAAGGCCTGGCCAACATAACAACAGACATACGGATAAGAGACCCGGGCTCTTCAGTTTGACGACCGGATGGTATAGTGGTTTGTGTAAAGGAATGCTATTCCAAAGGTCGTGGGTTCGATTCAAACTCAAGTCAAACATTTGTGTGCATGAACATTTAATGTTTGATTTGGTCTGGGTGTTTCTATGTATAATATGTATGTATTTACAAAAAAAAGTATATATGTATTTATATCAGTTGTCTAGTACCCATAGTACAAGCTCTGCTTAGTTTGGGATTAGATGGCGTTGTGTGAATGTGGTACAATATATTATTTATTATTACAGTCCTGTTTACTACCCGAGAGTTGCAATATTCCTTTCCCTAGCTCCCTCTTTCCAGCTCCAGCTTTCATTACCATAATTTACCTCCCTGTTGGTCGACTGGTTAATGACCCTGACTGCTAAGTTATTGGTTGTGGGTTTGATTACCCACCCAGGACAAATAATTGTGTGATGAGCATGGTCATTTTTACTGTCTGGGTGTAATTTATCTATGATACTTTGTAGTTAGAAATATATAAGTATGTTTCAGACAGCCATGTGAAATGTGTGGGGTGTATTTTTATTCCTTTGTTCCACCTAAAAAAGAAAAATATTCCCAAGGAGGATTGCCATCAGGCTGCCTACCACCATTGTGCTTATCTTATAAACCCTGTCAAATTTATGTAAACTCATAGCGGAAAAAATATACTTAAACCTGTAATACTCTGTCCAATGACATTATTATTGAAGCCCTCTTTAAAATGAAAAAAGGTAGTAGAAAATGGACATTCAGTTCAAGGTATCTTTATAATAACATCAACTTTTGATTAATGGCTTTGTGCTGCAACCAAAGGTACGACTTTCCATTGACATCTGTCGACTTAATAATAAGTGTAAAAAACAATAGGGATCCCTGGATTCTGAGGGATTTCTGCATCTATTTTGAGACTGCAATGTCTCCAGCGGGAAGAACAGCCTCCACGACCCTGCCCGTAACAAATCGCAGGCATACATCCTCGCCTTAGCAGCTTCGGCTTGTTGGTCGCCTTCTATCTAATACTAATTTATAACAACTCCACGGATGTCAAAGGAAAACTATGCCCAAAAAAATAAATCGGCCATTTAATCGGGCGACAACACTTCTTTATATGGAGGTAAAGTTAAATAAGTGCGCCATACAAACCTCACACTATCCGATACATAAAGATCAGCATCTCCAGTTAATGAAGTTAATTCAACAAGCAGTGGTCCAGTATGTCCCAATTGCCAATAAGAAAAATTTCCAGCTCCGACAGCGCCAACCACAGTGTCTAATAGTATTTTATCCGTCTCTATTTGCGCATATCCTGACAGCAAGGACGAGAAAGTCGATACACAAATGATTCCCAACATTACTATTATGAATTCTCGTCGCATTTTGCCGGTTTAGCGGTTAATTATGGGAGCGCGAATATTTTTGCTACAAAGCTGTAGTTAGATGTCAAAGAAAATTTTCAATATGACATTTGAAATTATTTTGTTCGTTCTGAAATATCCACTACTCAGTGCATTTGCAAGACATTCTGCTATTGATTTTATTATAATATATTTACATTGGAATATTTATTTTATATAGAGCTATACTGCTTAACTAATAGGAATAGAAACCAATAAGTTTAAAATAGCTAGATTATTTATTTATTGTAGAAGCAAGATTAGAAACTGTTTTGACAACACAATAGCAATCGTTATTAACTATGTTTTTTTATAACGGATGAAACTCTCGCCTTTTAACAGCCGTAAATCTAGAACTATTTTATTATACGGTCGTTAAAAATTATCCTAAAATATGTAGTTTGAATACAGTAATGATATTAGTACTGATAATAATTCGTAAGCTTATGATGTATTTCGGCTGATCTGTAAAAATACCTACTCGCTAAATGGGCAAGAATGAATAAAATTGCTTTAGTGCTTTAGGCGCGAAAACGTAACAAACCAACTCACTTTCACATGTATAAAATAAGTATGGATTTAATATTCCAAGTTTTAAAACTGGGTACTTGTACTGTACTGCTTCACAGTGTCCTCCTTTTTAGGTTATCCCGTGTCCCTTGTAAAGGAACACCACGTGGTTTTGTTTGGCACTAGTCTTGGGTAGTACACGTACAATGTACTGATAGGTACTAGTATTGGGTATTGTACTAAAAGTAATTATGCCGAAAGGCAGCTGTTAATCGGACATTTTGCACTATTAGTACACTGCGTCAACTTCATGCCAGTACTAAAACTACCTATTGTTTACTCTGTCTACTAGTGTCTTCGTTCGTTCGTTCATTCGTTGTGCGACGTACTATTAATGAAGTACAAGTTAGTGTGAGAGTAAAAGGGACAGCGATACAGGTGTACTACAATACTTTGAGTTTAGATTTAAATTCTTTCCATTTGCAATAACGATTATTTTAGCTTGGCATAGATTTGAATAATAAGTCGCGTTACACAGCTGTAAATATTTCTCGCATTCATGATGTCAAATAATGTTAAGTAATCAAGTACGAATCGCGATCGACGGAGCACATACATAAGAATGCGAATATTTTTGTTTTTAAGTTTGCATAGGTACGTTATTTATATGGTGTTCTGTCGTATAGCGATAATTTATTGAGTTTTGTGCCTTTTTTGCGGTGTTGGACGCTTACCCGTACCTATATACCTTATTATATTTTTATTTGCGATGATGGACGCTTTTTGTGCTTTTATGTGAATCTGTTTTATAAACTTTGGAACTCTCAACTTTTTAACAATATTAACATTTCGTTCTTAGTAAAGTAAAACTAACAGTTACTAATAAGCCTTATCTACGTCATAGGTCATACTACCATTAAATATTTAAGTGTTTTATTCTTTTTTGAAATGGCTCCAACAAGACCAAAGCGAAGCCCTCTCTGGTTTCACTATAAGCAGGGTGACAATGAAGCCACCTGTAATTATTGCTTCATAAAACTGAGCACCAAAAACGGCTCCCTGGGAACCTTAAAGAGACATATGTTAACAAAGCATCCAACTATATCGCTGTGCATAGATAGACAACCAACTGCTGCAGACCTCAGAAAATAATATCACCTCCGTGTCATCCGCCCAATCCAGTTCAACTGCACCAAGTACAAGCTCAGGCCCACCCTTAATGCCGTCATCCAGCTTAATTACAAATTACATGCGGAAACCGCCGTCTGCGCGCAAGGTGGACCAGATTGATAGGCAGGTAGTTGCAATGGTGACTAAAGGTCATCACTCATTTCGCCTAGTCGAAGAACCGGAGTTCAAAAGATTAATAGATATGGTGTCAACATGTCCCGGTTACCAGCTACCAACTAGGAAAACACTATCCAACACTTTAATTCCTAAAAATCACACGGAAGTATTTCAAAAAGTATTTCAACACTTAATAGAATCATTTGCTATTTGTCTCTGTACTGACGCCTGGACATCTAGCGCTAATGAAAATTATATCGCGGTCACAGCACATTTTATTAATTCAAATACTGAGATGCAGTCTTTTTTACTGGGATGCATTAATTATAATCTAAGGCACACAAGTGACAATTTAGTTGCCTTCTTACGGCAGATAATGCAAGATTGGCAGATCACGAACAAAATAACATGCGTTGTCAGTGACAACGCTGCTAACATCCAAGCTGCTATCAGGCTAGGTGAATGGCGACCTGTGGGTTGTTTCGCCCATACATTAAATTTGATAGTGCAGAATGGCCTTAAAGTAATATCTGAGATTGTAGGTAAAGTCAAATCCATAGTGGAATACTTCAAAAAAAGTTGTACGGCGCAAACGAAGTTAGAATCGGTACTTAAACAAATGGGTTTACCGATATTAAAATTAAAACAAGAATGTCCAACACGTTGGAATTCGTGCTACGAGATGCTAGAAAGGATTCTAAGAGTAAAAGATGCTGTTATAAGTACTTTAGCTCTCATAAGAAATGAACTCAATCTTCAAATTGCAGATTGGGAAGTACTTGAAACCGTAGTGGCAATTTTGAAACCATTTTTTGAAGTGACAGTAGAAGTTAGCAGCGAAAATCATGTCACTCTGTCAAAGGTATTGGTATTTACACAAATAATGTCGAAGCATATTATAAAAAACCTTGCAAAAACATATAAGCACCCCGTGATACCTGAGTTACTAAACAAATTGAAAACGCAAATAGAAGCGCGACTCTTCGACCTAGAATCGAACATTTTATATGCCGATTCTACGATCCTTGACCCTAGATTTAAACAAAAAGGGTTTCGTACTCAAAAAAGCTACGAAAACGCGATTGAGGATATAAGACGCAGGATTAGCCGTATACAAATAAATTCTACGGTTGTCTATGAAAATCAAGTATGTTTAAATACAAATTCCGCACCCGTAGATACGGACAGTATGTGGGCTGACTTTGATACTGACATGAATCAAGGGGTTCGCCCAGAAAATTCTGTTGCGGCTGGAATACGAGAGCTTGACAAATACATGAAAGAGGAATACCTACACCGTAAGGAGGATCCCTTAAAGTGGTGGCACAGTCGAAAACACATTTATCCACATATTTATCAATTAGTTTTGAAAAGATTGTGCATCCAGGCAACATCAGTGTCCTGTGAACGTATATTTTCTGGAGCAGGTCAAGTAATAACCAATAGGCGTAAATTATTAAAGCCATCAAAAGTATCACAGGTGGTATTTCTGCATAGTAATATGTAAAAAATAGGTATAAAACGAAAAAAGTAAAAAAAAATAAAAAGTAGAAAAATATACTTAATAAAAGTAGAAAAAAAGATCCAATCATTGTACATACTTAGTTGATTTTTAAATACGCCATTCTAGTAATCCATAGCGTGCATTTATGCTAATTTGATCTTAACTAGTGTTATTATCACCACGTATTTTTAAATCTAGAATGCCAGTTCTAAGCCTGTTAAAGTATGAAGGAAAATCAAATAGTATGCTTAAAAGTTTAATGTGACGTAATCTCAAAATTCGTATTTAAAAGTCAAACTGTTGGGGTTTATGGGATTCAGAAAGGGATAACACATTAAAAATAATCAAGAACTGTGTAATTATTCCAATACTGAAGAAAAAAACTGCGTAATATAAAGCCCTTAAATTAAAAAATAAAAAGAAAAAGCGCAGTCTGCCTAAAGTCTATAACACTTTTTTTTTAATTACTTGGTGTTGCGTTTAATTAATGTTAGTAATATCAATACAAACGCTTAAGTTTTCTACTTCTACTAAAACTGTACTATTAGTACTATTACGGTGTACTAGTACGTTGTACGAATTGTACTAGTACGGTGCGAACCTGCAGATGTCCGGTTAAGCACAAGACTATTTGGCACTGAGTCCGACATATCACTTTACCAATAATATAATAATACATATTAACATAATATTGTACCATTTTCACACATCGCCATCTAGTCCCAAACTAAGCAAAGCTTGTACTAAATATACTAGACAACTGATAAAAATACTTAATATACTTTTTTGTAAATACATACCTACATATAATACACTGTCAAATAAAACACACTGATCAAGTCAAACATTAAATCTTTGTTCAATCCGGATAGGATCGCTCCATTCGACCAGTTGATTCAAAACATAATAAAAATATTTTTTCCTTTTTTCTTGCAACTAGTTTTGATTATCATCACTAGATGGCGTGGTGTTAACTAAACTTGCATTTAGCTTTAAAACTTTGTACGGTTTATGTTCTGTGTTGTATGTCAAACTAATGTTTTAAGAACTGATTGTAAAAGTATATTAATTTAAAATTGCAAAGCGAAATAACAGTTACATTCACATCAATGCCGGTACCAGAACCATACCTCATAATTTGGCGCATTGATGAAGCAAGGCAACGAACCAATATTCAAATCCGTGAATTCACGGTCATCTGATTCTGTTATTTGTGCTACTATATATTTTTGTCTCATATAGATAACTAGCTGACCCACGCAACTTCGTCTGCGTCTCTCAATAGTAATAAATTTTCTCCGTTTTTGAACCATTCTTCATTGGTGCTCCGCTCCTATTGGTCTTAGCGTGATGATATATAGCCTATAGCCTTCCTCGATAAATGGGCTACCTAACACTGAAAGAATTTTTCAAATCGTATCAGTAGTTCCTGAGATTAGCGCATTCAAACAAACAAACAAACTCTTCAGCTTTATAATATTAGTATAGATCATTGAGTTAAAACAACACTAGAGAAGCAAACCTCATTATCACACGTCGAAAAAAGTGTAACCACTTTTGAACTTTGACGACGTAGCTTTGATGCCACTACACATTTGAAAGTAAACATATTTATGTCTCATTTACACGCGAGACAAGAACAATACCATCGCTCGGATTAGACAAAGACAAAGATATAACTTTACGATGGTGGGCCAGTGTTGACTACCGTATGAAATTTTACCCATAACAACTAAGAAACAACTTTTTTTTAAAACAATTTTGTAATAAAATAAATTAATTTAAATATTCTAAATAATATATTTCGAATTGAATAGAATAGGTATAAATAATAAAATAACTGGAAATATTTGGTTAAAAGGGTTTATATTCAGTGTAAAATCAAACTGCGCTGTGAAGCATCAGTTTTGTATACAATTGTCTTTTAGACTCTTTTTTATAAGTTTGTGTGGATATTTTACTTTCATGATACAATCTTATTTTTACGTATGTAAAAATAATAGCATTTAATAATAAAAGTGAATGATCAACTTGTACTGATAATAAATAATGTCCAGGGTGTATTGTAAATTCTATTATAATTTAAAAAACAAATAAAAAAAAAAAAATTCTTTTTATTTTTATTTTATAAAAAAAAATTATTTATGTTTATTTACTTTTTTATTTTATATTTTTATGATAAACATTTATTATTATTATTATTATTTTGTATAATTATTATTTAAAATTGATAATAAATTAAGAAAAACAATGAATTAATTTTTTTGTACAAAAGTCTCCAGCACTGCGAGCTTGGCACTTCTGCCAAGCTCGCAGTGAACGTTCAACGGGTCCCTAAAAAAAGGGATCGGTCCAGCCCTAACAACTACCGTTCCTCCTATATTTTATTATTATTGGCAAAATGTTTAAAAACAGTATAAAGCATATTATTTCATAAATTATAAATTCTCCCACTAATGTGGGCAAACCAAAATGATTTTTTAATGGTAACACTGATTCTAAATTACAATTATCAGTGTTTTATGTGTGCGTTACCCCAGCAAAATAATGTCGAAAATGGTCATTTAAACGTTATAGATAATTAGTTGCTCCCCTTCTGTAATTGTTAAGCACATTTTTAAATTTGTTTCTCTTAAACTTTTTTAGTTATTTCAAAAAAACATTTCCTGCTGGGGTAACGTTTGAAACGTTACCGCAGCCAGACATTTTCTTTTTTAATTGTAATATTGAAATAAATTTTAGCTAAATAATTAGTTATCTGGACTAGGTAAATGTTACAATTTATTTGGTATTTGTATTTTTTTCGGCTGCGAAGTTATTCGAGATCCTGCTGGAGTAACGTTTGTGGGTTTGCTGGATCTCTGAAACGGGTAAGCGGATTGTAACCATCTTTTGTACATAACTTCTTAAGGATTAGTTTTAATTTGTTCGACAGTAAAATAACAAAAATAATGGACCGTTTAAAAATTATTTAGGTAAGTATGAAAACACTTCAATACGTCCTAACACTTTGAATAAGACCTCTAAAGACTTACTTCAAACGTTATTCTATTGCTTGTAACTACCTTCAAATGTATACGAATTTTCGTAAGAATACTGTAAGTGACTAAAAAGTTATGATGAAATGTAGCTCTCCACGTTCACGATCACAATGTGTGCGGCCTTTTTTGGCCACCGATAAACCTGTGTGTGGATATATAAACTGAATGTTATGCCAACAATTAGTTGTTTAGTTCAGTTGTCTACCTGTAAAATTTCAGCGTCGTACATATAATAATTCAAGAGATAATTAAATAAAAGTCATTAGAAGGTGCAAGACCGTGGTAACCCGACCATGTTTAGGTGGTTACATAAAAGCGATCACCCAGTACATTGTGCTGGCTTTTAAAATATGTAGGATATTATTTGCAAGTTTACTACGGATATGTACATAAGTGTTACAAAAAACTACATGTTTTTAAATAATTTTTATTTAGGATTGTTTATTGCATAATTAGTAATCAGCCGGGAGATTAGGTATTGTTTTGAATGCTTTTGTTTTCTCGTAATGTTTAGGTGAATTGTTTATAGTTGTTCATAGAATTGGTCCCTGTGTAGTATTTGTTAATTGAAGTTTAATTTTAGGGTAGGTATAGGTAATTTAAGTTTTGAAGAGTGTAACGTATGCGTTGTAAATAGGTATTTTGTAAATAGATTGGGATTTTTTCAAAGTGATAAATCGACTTAGGCTGGCATATCGCGAACAAACTCTGCAGTGCATTATTTCTGTAATAATGTTGGAGAAAATAAAATATTTGATCACAAAATCGCGGTGAGTTAAATTATAATAAAATAAATTATTTATGTAAAATTAGTAATAGTGATATACCTACAAGTTATGATCGTTTTTAATTTGTTCACCCCGAACGAAATTTCAATATTAGCATTAGTAATTAACATCCTAAGACAAGAATTCGCAATTACTTAAATTGAATCTAATTAGCATTAATTCCCATTACTACTTACTACACACATATTGAAGAACTCCCAAGAATACGATAAATATTTGCAAAAATAGAAAGCGGAAGCGCACACGCACTTTACAAGACGTATATTATCTGCCTAAGGGTCAAGTTTTGTGCACTAGATGCAAATTGCAAACAATGAAGTATCCCTTCGCCCGTCCCCTCCCGCGTTCTAGCTAAGGATGTATTATCGGCGATTCTTGATTGACAAATATTATCTGACCAATAATTTTATCTATAAAAATGTATCACTTTCACTCGATAAATTAAATTACCGTTATTATATCAAAATATCATTCAACAACTGTTCGTTTTTAACAGAAATCAACAGTCACAGGTAGGTACATAGGTATAGATAATTCTCGGTTCTCGGTATAGACCACAGAACAATATTACCGACTCTTACGAGGTATACGACTGTTGGGCGATGCAATGTTGATGCATTCTAATTTACAACTGTATTCTTCTACTATTATGGTCTATTTTAACTAATTGTAGATGACTTGTTTCTTTAAATATTTTGGTGCATTCAAGTCTAAGCTATATATACCTCAAAATAAAATACAATTACTTCAGTGTTATTTCTTTACAAAAAAAATCAAAGAAATGAAACGATTTCTTAATGGTTTAAATTTTCGATTTATTGCAGTCAGGTGAATCGTTCATACATGTATCTACATATTTATAATTTTAGCGGGCCAGTGCAGATTTTCTGTTGATTGTATCTCCGGTAGTTAAACAGACTAAAGAAATTTTAAGTAAAGAAACTAGTGCTTAAGATCAATTAGGAAAAAAGAACAAAATAAATAATAGGTAATAATAATGAATAAATATTGAATGTATTTAACACTGTACGCAACTGTACCGAAATCGTAAGGTGTATTACACTAAACATTTTAAAAGACAGCGCAATGTACTAGGTGATCGCTTTTTTGTAACCACCTAAACATGGTCGGGTTACCACGGTCTTGCACCTTCTAATGACTTTTATTTAATTAT